AAAAAATGAAAAAAATGAGACCCTGCCATACATAACATTGTTAACTTGTAACTATAGTTCTGAGATGATAAATTGAGAAGAATCACGATTTGACAACTACATTTATCCCACGATTAATGTGTTATCTGTACAATAACAGCTATTGATATTTCTGATTATTATTGAAATCCGTGTGATATTTTCCAGAAAATCGTTTATCAAACTCATATCCGTGTGATATCACATTTGCATTTCGCGCCACAATATTGTTGGAAATTAGGTCAGATAATTTATTCTCTTTTGAGAAAATAGCTGCTTAACCTTTAGCGTGCTGCCGGCGGACTCGTCCGCCGAGACTAAAATGTCTCTCACAACTGCCGGCGGACCCGTACGCCCGATTTCAAACTTTTAAAAACTTTACTTTTTCGCGCCATTCGTATTGTCCAATTAGATTGCCTGATTTATTCAGTGCCTAACATGACTTCCTGTTGACCTAGAAATGGCGATATTTCGAAAAATAATTCTCAATTCAACAATTTAAACAGTGTTTTAGTCGTTTTTAGTGAACGAATCGTACAAAATGGTGGACAAATACGATCACAACGAAAATGTGGAGGAAAAGGATTACGATTTCGAGCTCTTTAGGCTCTTGGAAGCCGATAACGGTCATCGAAAATAGAAACTAGAATATTTTCTGAATTGAAAAATTGAACATTCGATCGCTGCAAATTCAGATTTGGATTCTGACCAGACGAAGAGGCGGAGCGGCGGATTCCGGAGGAGTATTCATGGTATATTTATGCCCAGTCGTGTTAATGTACGAAAAAATTCATGAGAACATTTTTTTCATGAGCCAGGCCACTGTATCTTCCCTTTGTGAAAATTTTATCCAGATTCATTCAGTAGTTATTGAGATATTAATTATTTAGTCCAGGTATATCATTTTTTGCACTCTTTGAAAAATAAGCCAGTTGCGTGGGATATATTTGCTGAAATAAGGCAGCATGGTAAAGGTTAATAACGATTAAAATGGTATTTATGACAAACTATATCATGTACAGAAAGTAGTGCATGTTACTGTGCAGTGAGTAAAGTACAAATCAAAATGGCTGGTGCAAATTCGTCTGACCAAGAATTGGCGAATTGTAATCATGGGATAAACGCAATATCACCTAATTTCTCGGGATATCATTTTATCGCCTCGTAGATATCATCAAATATCAACACTCATTCACTTCGCTCACTCGTGTTGATATCAATCGTGTTGATATTTGATATCAACTTGGCGATAAAAATGATATCACTCAAAATGATGTGATATTCTGTATATATATCACATTTTTAACAACGACATATATATCATGTTTTGACAGCTTTTTAATTTAATAATGATAACTCGGTGATAATAATTCTTGTTTTGCAATATTAAAAACAGAAGTACATAGATACTCAATTAACAGAATCTAATCATACCCTTAATTAGTAATAGTAAGATCACAAAATGTTTTTTTTTGCGATCTACTAAACCTTATGATGAACCCAAAATTTCACAAAGTAGTGTAGCAGTATATTAGTTTTAAATTTCTAAGCATTTCCTCTACATTTTTGCCATCATTTATTATTCTAGCATAAATTTTTACCAGGTGTGATAAGACTGGATTTCTTATGATGTCACTTTAACAATTATTATTTTTGTGAGTCATAATAATATAAACCAGAATTATTATATTTATTAAATAATAAATGGGTGATAATAAGACCAAGTGATTATCTGAAAGTTTTAGAAATGTTATAAATTAAACAGCTATCATTTTTGTGAGTCATCATAATATAAACCAGAATTATTATATTTATTAAACTAGAACAACGGCAACGCCAAAGCGTAGCGAATCCCATCGAACATTTTTCAAAACGGGAACCTTCTACCAAAAGTGTCATTAGACAGTGTGCCATGCTTATAATATTCACATACCAAATATGAACAAAATCGCTCTACTACTTTTCGAGTTATAGTAAAATACGTTAAAATGGTGGCCATTTTGAAAAATGGCCGCCTTCTACCAAAAGTCTCATTAGACAGTGTGCCATGCTTATAGTATTCACATACCAAATATGAACAATATCGCTCCACTACTTTTTGAGTTATAGTAAAATAAGTTAAAATGGCGGACATTTTGAAAAATGGCCGCCTTCTACCAAAAGTGTCATTAGACAGTGTGCCATGCTTATACGTATTCACGTACCAAATATGAACAAAATCGCTCCACTACTTTTCGAGTTTTAGTAAAATAAGTTAAAATGGCGGCCATTTTTCAAAATGGCCACCATTTTTCAAAATGGCCGCCTTCTACCAAAAGTGTCATTAGACAGTGTGCCATGCTTATAGTATTCACATACCAAATATGAACAAAATCGCTCCACTACTTTTCGAGTTACAGCAAAAATCGTAAAAGAACGAGTAAAGGCCGCCATTTTTCAAAATGGCTGCCATGTGCTTTTTTGATATCTACATTTCTAGTTTTATTAATGTCCTATATAATTTTTTTTACATTTAAAACATATTGCTATTACAGTTTTACATATTGCACCTAAATTACTGTAAAATCGGCACTAAAATGGCCGCCATTTTTAAATGAGCGGCCATTTTGAAAATTGGCTTTCGAGCAGAACTTCTACCCTCATAGGGCACCTGTGTATAAAATATGAACAAAATCGGGCAAACGGTATTTGAGTTATCGCCCGGACAGACGGACGTACGGACGGACGTACGGACGGACGAACGGAGGCGTTCCCTATATCCCTCCGAACTTCGTTCGATGGGATAATAATAAATATGTGATAATAAGACCAAGTGATTATCTGAACGTTTTAGAAATGTCATAAATCAAACACCTATCATTTTTGTGAGTCATAATTATATATCTGGAACGTGCCTTGTTCGCAAATTCGATATATTTGGCATTCAGTTTTTTACTGTATTTTACTTTATACTATTCTATCAACCAATAGAATAAGGAGTTGCACAAAGTATTTTTCTGATGATCATTGTCATCCCCTTTGGACATTATGTCCAGAGCTAAATATATCCGCACATGTTATTGATTGGTAAGTAAAACCAATATATCCCGATAATGTAATATCTTTTTGATCATTTAGGAAATTTTAATCACAAAACATTCTGAAATGAAGATTGTCTGCATCTATTTTGGTTGTTCTGCTGGAAAAACAACGGGGTTCTCTCATTTGCATATCACGTGATCTTGTGTCATGCCAAAGACTGTTGTGGGGATTTCCGAAGCAGGGTAACACTGATCAGATGAAAACACAAAAATGTGCCTAGGTCTGAGACCTCACCCCCTTTGTCTACTAATGTAATAGGCCCTTAGGAATCCCCGGATCGGATGTCATTTCGTTTGTTCAGAACACTTACTAAGCCACAGGTATTAAATAAACCGTTGGATAAATAAGGAATATAATAAGAGCAAATGATTATCTGGAAGTTTAAGTCTGACCCCAGTTAGCCACCTGGTGTTGAAATAAATACATACTGGTCAACTTTCAGTTCACAATTGAACACCTGTTCCTTTCTGTTGATCTCAGGGACATTTATTTAAAGCAGTGTTTAAGTTGCTCTTGAATAAATTATATAACACAATCATGATATTTTAGGTCAAACTAACAATAACATCAATTAAGTTATAAAAATCTTAATGTATTGTTATAAACAAGTCCCTTTAAGTAAACACCAGTCCTTCAGTTAACAAGTGCCGTTAAAGTGGTAATTCAAACATAAAATTAAAGAAATTTATAAGTTGAAAAAAGTATAATCAATTCTAATTCTATAAATGCTATAAATTGTGCATCACAATAAAAACTCGTTGATTCAAATCGATCACTAAAATACAAAATATACTGTTTTGGCTTGTTGGCTTTAGGAAAACTTTAATATGCCATTAAAAGTCATCTGTATGAGGGACATCCAAATATTCTACTAAATTCATTGCTATAAATTATTTTAGTTAGTCAATGTTATTTTCACAGATGAAATGAAATTCATCTAGAAATAGGACAGCAAAACAATTATCTGGATTAGAATAATATTCTAAAGTTATCTGCTTATTTATTGTTTCCAAAATAGTAAACAACATATCTATCTTACCTGATTTATATCTGGTAAATGTTAATCTAATACATTATCATTATAAATTATGTATAATTTTCTAACAATTATCATTATAAATTATAATATTCTAATAACAAATATTAGGAGGGATGGTATTAACAATAATACTGCCACTTTAATACTCATTAATTATGTAAAAATTGAAGCCCTTATTAAAAGTACTAACTCCTTGAGTTTAGAAAATTGACTGACCCCCAGACATACCCTTTCAATCTTTAAAAGAGATGACCATGTCTACACTCTGAGATACAGATTGTTATATTCTATGAGCTACCCTATACCTAATAGACGTCTGTAGAAAAAATCATGACACTGATTTTTCCGCTAACATTCGCTTTAAAAAAACTCTCAATATGCCATGCAAGCTACGTCACAGATGGTTAAAATCTTATCAGTAAGAAAAATATGAAATCATCTGTTATAAACAGAGGGTAATGTAGCTAGCTGATAAATTCAGGGTAAATAGACCCCTTCAGACAATGTACTATTCCAGTAATAAATTGTAAATCTAGATATACCTATTCTGAGTCTTATCTTTAAAATATCAACCATATATATACATTTTTTTCTATTCTAAAGGACTTCTAAAGTCATTAGAAGGACTATTCTAAAGTCAGGAATAAAAAATTAATTAGATTAGTCATTTCATATTTAACAATTTTTCACAAGTATTTTAATCTCTCAAATTTTGATTATTGACATTTTCTGCAAAGGATGTCACAATTCCTGACCAGAATGTACGAAGGACACATGCATGGGTCACATGTAATGGTCACATGTCATGGTCACATGTCATGGTTAGGTCAGGTTGGTATCGTACTTATAAGTCTGATGAAAATCGACATCGAGAGATTTGAAAGTAAGCTGAGGAAACTCGATTGTCTTTTTTCAAAACCACACAAACTCTTCAAAATGGTGAAAATGTACAGTTTGAAGCAAAATTTGGGTGAGAAAAGGTCTCAGAGCCAACAACAAATAATAGAGCCTCACGTTACAATAGATGATGACACAGATACAACAGAAGAACGAAAGCCAAATCTGGACACCAAACAGAAAATACTGAAGAACTTATTTACTCTAACCATTGGAGCAATGATAGTCAATATCCCACATTTTAGTTTGACCGGCCTTCAGAGTAGTTTAAATAAAGAAGGAGGCCTTGGGGCAGCTGCTATCAGTTGTCAATGGGCTGGGTATGCCATTTCTAGTTTGCTCATTGCACCTTCTTTTTTCAACAAACTTGGTCTTAGAAAGTCATTTTTCGTCTCTTGGATGTTATTGCTGACTTTTATAGTAGCGAATGCCTTTCCCAGTTGGTATAGCCTCATACCAACGAGTATATTATATGGAATTGGAACAGGGATAAACTGGGTTGCCAATCCAACTGTGGTTACATCTCTAGCACTGGACTACATATACATCAAGAAAACATCAGACACTCGCTCGATAATTGACTCATTCCATGGTCTAATGCTAGCAATGGTCAACAGTGCAAGAATCTGGGGGGAGTTAATTTCAGCTAGCATCCTATTGGATGACACAGAACCAATCGATGATAATATCAACAATGCTACAACACTCAACGATGTCTGTGGTCCAGAATTCTGCCCAAATTCAAATTTGACCGGAACAAACATCATTCGACCACCAAACGAGAAAATCTATCTCCTAGTTGGTGTATATTCTGGATGTATCGTCCTTGGAATGTTGACACTGTTCATAATTGATCCACACAAACCAACCAAAACTATTTCAGCAGTAGATAGAATATTAAAGACAATCAAACTACAGGGGAATCCAAGAATGCTGCCACTCATAGCATTGTTTGTATATAATGGATTTAGAAATTCACTCATATGGGGTGACTTTACTCAGGTAAGGGAATGAATAAAGACTTTACATATATTTCTTTTCAAAAACCCTAGCTTTCCCTATAAACAAATAGAATCACACTCAAAACAGTACTATTACAGAGTGAGCCAAATCAAATAAGGGTGACATTTTTTGGCCTACCCTGTAAATGGCACTAAAATATAAAATCATTCTATCAACCTGCCCAATATGAATGGGAAAAGTTTTGAACCATTCTGTTCTACAATAAATATGGACACTTGGAATACACTTTTGTAATGTTAATGTCATTTTTAATTTTATTTACGCCATTTTTAATCTTATTTCCAGGCCTATATAAGCTGTGAGCTAGGGGTTGGTTATATTGGTCTCACCATGTTGTGTATGGGAATAACTAACACCATTAGCGCCAGCCTCATTGGAATCATCCATCGGTGGATACCAAGACAGGTCTTTGTCGCTATAGCAGCATCTCTTAATATGCTCGCCATAGTAACAATGTTGCTATGGGAACCTTCCACTGATCAGTTCTGGTTGTTTTTCACACTTCCTGCAATTTATGGCTTGGCACACGCCATATGGCAAACACAGGAAAATTGTAAGTTGAATTTGAAATGATAATCAATCAATGTAATATCTGTTACAAATAAAAAATAAAAACAATCATCAATAAAAAAATAGGTCAAAGACACTCAATCACTCATATTGTATCTCAAAGACATGAACATAAATTATAAACAAGAATAATTTGCATATTTTATTAAGAATCAATACAATCTATTCAAAACTTCACGAGACCTGACATGCTCCTGGTATTTTTTGACTGTAAAACTGCAGGGGTTGACTTCACTTATGAATAAAATAAAAAATATATAAATTATTCTCTCATTTTTTTAGCTATCATCAACATACTATTCCCTGATACACTGGACTGTGGTTTTGTGAGTCGAAACATGTGGCAGTCTATAGGCGTATCAACATCATTTGCTATCCAGGCTTTCTTATGTGTATCAACCAAGGCTTACATCACCATAGGAATGTTGTTGGTTGCCATGGTGAGCTACACAATACTGGAACTTCTTATACAATTCAAATGGAAACTTCAAACAAAAAGTGACACTAAGTGAATATGGTGCCATAAAGTGATTATGGTACCATAAAGTGAATATGGTACCATAACATGAATATGGTACCATAAGGTGAATATGGTACCATAAAGTGATTATGGTACCATAAAGTGAATATGGTACCATAAAGTGAATATGGTACCATGAGAAGTACTACTTTTGTAAAATGACAAAATCAGACCTGAATGAATGTGAGTACAAACTTATATGAAAAGTAGTTTTGATTTGTACCAACCACGTTGACAAATGGATATACTGACAAAAGGACAAATGGATGGACTAACAGTTAGAAAGACAGCCAAATGTGTGACACATCATACGTGTTCTCCCACATGGGTACATGAGTCAACAACTAAATCACATAATTAAGTGATAATAATCATCATTTTGCAATATTTATAATAGAAATAAATAGATGATAATAGTTGTTGAATTCAATGAACTTAATTCTATTCTTTATTAATAGTTAAATCACAAAAAAAATTTGGAATATATTATACCTCCATGATCAATTCCAAAATTTCATAAAATAGCAGTACATGTAACATACTCATGATATTTTAGCTCAGACAGACAATATAATGTAATAAAATGATATTTTAGGTCATGCTGACTATATGACATAACATTGATATTTTAGGTCATACTGACTATATGACATAATAATGATATTTTAGGTCATGCTGACAATATGACATAATAATGATATTTTAGGTCATACTGACTATCACATATCTATGTGAAAACATCCGCCTGATGATTTGTAAATACAACAAAAAAAGCAATTTATCATGCATAATGTCGTTCTGCTGTTACACTCCTCAATTTATGATGCGATTATCTCTACAATGAAATATAAATTCTCTGTTTAACTTTCTATTTATGATGTCACACTGCTCTGGTTCTATAGAGTAACCTGATATTGGCTTTTACTACCCTTTTAGCAGTTGAGAGGGATCCAGCTATACTCTTTGAATATGCCATAAGCTTTTGATCTAGCATTACTTAATCGGAGTAAGAAGTATTTCTTCATATTGAATCCCAATTGAAAAGCTATAGCAGATAATTTTGAGATTATTAATCGTATCAGCATAAAAAATGTAAAAATCTTACAATAGGGTATAGGGTAGTGATAAACTATACAGTTAAATGTAAATATAGTGAAAACCCATGAAGCCACAAAAAAAGAGTTCACGGAAGGTAGGTGTTTACTACAGAGAGGGAATTCTATGACAGAGTTAATATAGAATGCCTTAAGTGGTGTTCACTGAACTCAGGTGTTCACTAGAGCGAGGTGTTCACTAAACAGCTTTTGACCATGACAAGCCAAAAATAATCATACATATCTTTAACATTTTCACAAAATAATCCTTTTATCATTATTTGAATTTTTGTGAATTGAACTGCAAAAATAAAGACGTTCCAATTTTTATTGGCCCACCCTGTATATTCATATGCAATTATGAAATAATGATCTTTTTATCTCTGAGGGTATTCACCAGTGAATTCCTTTAGTTATAAATATTCAATATGAAATAATGGATCAAGATGTCCAATGGATTTATTTTCTGGATGACAGCATATAATATTAGGTCATACAAAGCCTAATTAAAAATTTAAGAACATAATAAATGAAGTATGTATTTTTAGTGAATTTTACCGAAAGTAACTTTGGTAATATAGTCGAGCTGACTGAATCTAAAATCACCTAGTAGCTAAAAGATTAAAGGAATCTTGCCCCACCCAACTATAGCTTATATAACTTAGTCTGCGCCCTTGAATTTAAGTGGGCAAAGTGGGTTATCACTTCCTATATGCTACAGAATGTTATCTCAGTGCCAGAATTTTGGCAAATAGACAAATCAACAAAACGGAAATGCAAAAATTCTGCCGGATATCAGTGGTTGCGTAAAATGCTTATTTCCACTGTATCCACAGAGTGCATAAATTATCTTTGATACATCCACATTTTTGTTCAACTAAATCATCATTTTCATTTTTAATAATTTCCTTTGCTAATCCATAGGCTTTCATGTTAAAACTCCCAAGCACCATGATATTGAACTAAAGGGGATGTACTCTTATGCAGCATGTGGTTGCGATTGCTACTCAAGTCAAAACAAACCCAAAATAACTGCTAAACTTCCTGTACAAATCAATACACAATCTTCTCATCTTCAACATCAGGTAGGCGGATCGCAAGGAGGGGGGTCATTGAACAGATGAAACCCCTGAGATCCAATCCCCCATTAATCTGAGTCAATAACCTGACATTTTTTCATTATAGAGCTCACAGGCAAATGGTACATGATTTCATATTTAAGAATATGATTTTTATTCTAAAAGGTTGTCTGTGCCTAAAAATGAGAAAATCAAAGTCTAGCGACAGTATCATATGGTAAGCTATCTGAATCGTGTCAAACGTTAAGTTGGTGGTTTGAATCTATTGTGTAATCAAAAGTTTTCTAGATTGGCAAGCCATACAAACATGTGCTCTGAAAAGTTGTTGAGATCATTTCAAACCATTTTACTTTTTTATTTGAATGAGCAGGAGGTTATCTAGTCTTTACGCAGTAATCTCCCTAGCGTTGAAGCAAGTGGGCGCAGCATACACCTGAGATTTTGATAATAAAAATCTATGTGTACCCACTTGAAAATGAGAAAAATCATTAAAAATGGCCAAATTTTGACCACTTTTGGTCTGAATTGCGAAAATGAGAAATTTACACCCATTTGAGAAAAACTCCTGATGTATAAAATTTCTCAATCAAAGGAGTGGTATCGATATGGTGAACTTTTTGAACACACGTTTCTCTTAAACCAGTCATCAAAACATTCTGAAAATTTTACACATCGTCAATTTAATGGATTATCTTTTGGATGGTAACATTAAAATTTGAAATATATATATATCCTTTTCTCTATATTGTTTTAGAAAACACATCAGACACTTCTTTTGTTCTTGGTATCATATGTTGAGAATGAATGACATAAACACAATTTGTTTAGGTCTCTCAATATTGTAATTGTACAAAGGAAAGTTTGGTTGATTTTAAAAAAGTATCATGTTAATGAAATAAAACGTTTATCTTAATTTTTATCTATTTTGGGGGATTTTGTTTTAAGTTTTTGCATACTTCTTGTTAAATCAACCAAAATTTCCTTTGTATAACTGTAATATTGAGAAGTCTAAGAAAATGTTGTATATGCTATTTTGTTCCAACAAGGTTCGGAAAAACATTTAATTTCATTCTCAAGAATTGGTAGAAAGGAACAAAAAACAATTGCACTAAAAACAAAAAATGTTAACAAAAACATTTATATAAAATATATATAAATAATTTTTGCATTAAATTGTTGCCAATCTGTCAACAATATATAAAGGACCGTGTTTTTTTACAGAATGTTTTCAATAATTGGTTTAAGAGAAAAATATTGTTGAATTCAGTTCACCATATCGGTACCTATCCTTTGATTGACAGATTATTTTTTGCCCTTAAAATAAACATAACATAATCATGTGCACGAATTATTCATTTGTTGATGTTTTTATTTATATGAGAAGATTTCTTCATATGACAATCAAATACATTTCCTTATAGGAAACAAACAAAACAAAGCAATGTTACCTATCATCAATCTTCATCCATATATGGGTTAATTCATAAATCAATAGAAAGGTTGAGCTATTTAACAGAGCGTGAATGTGAACTTCAATGCGCACACAGGAAAATGACATCAGATTAGTCTACTTTCTACATGTCAACGTGAGAGATACAGGGATTCACATGTACATGTAGCTCATTACTAAATTGATTTTAACTATGTTGTAAATGTGATCATTTTATTTCATCTTGTAAACAAGAAAATGCAGCAAACTCCTCGAGTCGAGGTCTCCAAGTCAAAAAAATACCTGACCCTCTCATATATCTGTTGATTAATCTGTTTATAACTGATTCAAGAGCGTGGCACTGAACGAACCTATATGCCTATTTGTTATTTGTTTAGTTGTTGGTTTGGTAACATGTTTATGACGTCACAAATCATGCGAAGAATCTTTAAACCAATCAGTGAAGTCTATATTAATTGTTTGTGGCAATACGTGTCTGACGTCGCGGGTGATTTCATCATATTCCAGTCACGCCATTTTACGACATTGCATAATTTTAGCTGAATTTTGCTTCATTTCACTTTATTTGAAAGACTTTTAAAAATATAATAATGAGTCAGTATTTTTTTTTATAAATATTAATATTTGAATTTGAGGTCAAAGTCCGAAAATTTGATCAACTGATTGAAATCACATTTTAAAGAGGTGAAGAAGTGAATAATTACAGGAGCAAATGTGATCAATGGTTCGAGGTCTCCCGCAAAGTAGTCGCTACGCTCCTACTTTGCGCTGCCTTCGGCAGAGGAGACCTCAAAAAAATAAATACCAATAGGCCATGGTAAAATCAGACTCACAGTAATATTATTAAAAAGCTTCACGTTCATGATTTACACGAGCGAAAAACTTGCTGAAATGCACACGTGTGCATGAACACACACATTCAAGTTCCTCTCTAATAGTTTTAACTTGTTGGACTAAAGTACCCTGTGCTCAATAGCACAAAGTTCCCGAAAAGTACACTGTGCTCAAAAGCTTCATCATCTTCCGACAAGGACCAGGTATGTGATTCTGGTTCATCATATTAACAAATAGAGATCGTACATTTGAGGAATGACAGGGTCTGATTTGCTTAGTGATTTGAGAGGTTTTTCATCAGTGTAGAGAATATGAGAGGAAGTCAATCAAGCATACTGACAAAGGGTAATTGATTCAAGGTCATATGATTAATTCAAGGTCATATATTGTCTTAAAGGGCTCTAATGGGGAACTAGAATATTGTTGAATGGGAAGATATGTAATGATTTGTTAAATAATGGCTTGTATAGTATCACTTATAAATATAGGCTTACTATTGCTAAAACTCTTCAGTGTATTAAAGTGCAAGCAAATTAGTTATGAATGAAATGAACCCCCCCCCCCCCCCCCCCCCCCGATAGGGCATTGTGACATTTTCATTTCCACCATGTGTGTACTGTATAGCACACTTTATTTGATAAATGGGTAGTTTTGATCAATATAGCTATGAATTATGTATAGAGAAACCTCCCAGAGAGCCATCATTTCCTGCCTAAACAATTAGTTCGCTTAATGAAGAATGTTCAACTCATAGCAGCTCTTCCAAAGGGAATAAATCATGTTCAAAACTTCCGTCTGCTAAGTTCATGTCTATTCCTCTCTCTTTCTCAATAATAAAATGTCAAATTTTTCATCTTTGCATGCTCGGTGTCTTCACTGCGACCGATGGGAGCCGAGCGAACGAAGATGTAACTTTCTGGCATTTTTACATCATATAAAGTGAGTTATCTTTGTACATGGCCCTTGTATACGTAAAATAATTTCTGATTTCATTTTTGCATGAATAAGTTACTGTAGCTAATACTGACAACACACTGGGATGAGGTAGATTAAAACGAAGATAAGTCGGAATTAATTGAGAGTGTTCACACTTGTTACGCAAGAAAATTAAAAGTACATTACGTCCTGGTTTGTTTTAACAATTTATGATTATCTTATTTTCATATTGCATCAATAAGTTACAGCATCTATTACATAAAGAATAAAGTAGGTTAGAAATATGATTTAAAAGTACATTACGACCCAGTTTGTTTTTTACAATTTATGATTAGTTTATTTTTACTTTGTATGAATAATTTACTATAGCTATTACATCACATTGGAATGAAGTAGGTATTAAAAAAATCAAAAGTACATTACATCCCTGTTTATTTAAACAATTTACGATTACTTTTTTATTTTTATATTGCATGAATAAAATACTGTTGCTATTATCAACTATTATCATATTTCAATGATGTAGTTTATGAAAATATGATTTAAAATGACACATGAGGCTAAGGGAGCAATATTGTACATTAACAAAAGGGTGTACCAACTTCCTGTTATGATTATAGGATGATCCGTATATTATAGGAAATTAATAATAATTATACGGAGAGAAATTCCCAGTGAGCTTATGAATGTGACATATATTTCTGGACAATATTTCACGGTGAATGTGATTTGTATTTGGTAAAACCCAAGTTTAAAAGAGTAAACCCAAACTGCATCCTTGAATACAGTTATTAGAGCCCTTATTTGTAAAAACCAAAGCACCATATGGGCACACCAGAAATCTATGCCATCAAAAAAGGAACTGAAGTTTACCCCAATAACCCGCCACGTAAACAATTTTTTTTAAGCATGACAAGAATGATACCACTACATGTATATTTTACATATTTTCATATTCTTTTTTTTCTTTTAATCTCCACCCAACCAAAAAGATATTTCTATGATAATTACATCAGGCTTGGCATATACATCTATAATACAAGGAAAAGGGCTAGAACCAAACAACGAAACACAGTTCAAACTAATTAAATAAGTCTAGCCAGAGAGACATTTCAAGCGAGGGATTCTATCAATTCATCTAATGAGAACTTATTTATAACTCGATATTTGTAATTAATCTTAGCAAACTCAGGAAGTTGCAATTATAAATCCTAACATTAGGCTTGGATATAACCCAACATAGCTCAATGACCTTAAACCATGCAAATATGGGCAGTGAAGAAATTAGATTTCTAATTAAATTTATTGCTATTTCCAGAGTTAATACCCTACAAGATGTTAAGAATCTTAAGTACTCTCTTCTATTGTTTTTAATCATTCCACGTGGAGACAATTCTTTATTCTCTCCAAAGACTCCCAAGAATAAAATAGATCAATTTAAATCAGAAATATAATTAAAACTTGAGTAATATGAATTTACACCTGTGTATACTAAACGCCACTCTAATATAATGTCTTGATACCTTGAGGGAGTGTAATAGACCTCGTATCCATGCTGCATCAAATCTCAGTGTCTGGTACCAACTGCTGAGTGGCGACTACAAATTCTGGTGGCCATTTTATAAATTCACCTTCTCTCTTTATCCCCTTTTGTATAACGACAAAAAGGGGACAAGGGGGTTTAATACAAGACTACTCCAATGTACAAATCAGACAAGTTTTACTGTAAAATAAAGGTCTGCAACTCACCCTAATGTCAGCCTCCAACGATAAGCAGTAAGGCTGGTTCTGATACTGCTGGATCTCACCAGTGATTTCAGCAACTTTCCGCCTCTTTGAGAAATTGATTATACCTTCCTTGTTCGGTAGAATATCCGGGTTTCCCTCTTCTATGTGAAGGATGTTGGTCAAGTACATACCTGAAGTAAAATTTATGAGTTGTTAATGAAGCTGTTCATGATGGTTTTATAAATGAAACAGGAAATACAGAAAAACTGAGAGGAATAGCAAGGAGTAACATGAACAAGCACGAAGCTGAAACTCTAAATTGTAAAGAAATACAAGAAAATTGAATTCATTCTAAGGATAAAATGCTGAGATGTGACTTTATACTTCAGTAATCACTTTCAGAAATGTAAATGGAGTTAATACACCCACACAGGACTGCTTTCTCTCGAACCAAGTTTTATTGAGTAATCCTAAAATTCATATAATTTTCAAGTTTTCATGTGTCATGTGTATGTAGCATATTACTCACAGAGTATATAACTCAAGGAGTCTCTCTATTCTACTGTATTTTACAAACTAAACCATGGCCACTCCGTTCTCATAAACACAATGCTAAATTAGGTTAAGAGTATAATGTATTATAAGAACAATTATGCGAAATTATATTCCTAGATCCATTGCTGTCACCACGAATACACCCAGAACTTTACCTACAATGTATCCTTGAATATGTCTCTAAGAGACTGCATGAAGTCAGTTCTGCAGCATGGCCTTACGGCATGGCCTTATATTTCCAAAATTTGAGAGAATTAAGCTGCATAAAGTATTGGGGTAAACAGTATGATGTAGATTTTCTATATCAATTTTGTGAAGCTATGTGGCCGCCTATGGTCACCAGAGAGCAAATGTGACTGAGGCTTGATAAACTCTATGAATAATTTTTAGAAATTAATTTGTCACATTTATAATCTGATATGAAGGGGTAAATTGTAGGCGTAAGTATACATATGTTTTTGAGATAATTATATAAAAACTAGCACATGTGAATTGAGACACATGTCTTACCCCTTATTTCACAATTGTTGTTATTAATTTGCTTTTGTCAAGATAACTTTCCTTAAATCTGTATGACTATTCTGAAGTCAAAATGACTATTCTTAAGTCAAGTTAACTATTCTTAAGTCAGGATAACTATTCTTAAGTCATGATAACTATTTTTAAGTCAGGATAACTATTCTTAAGTCATGATAACTATTTTTAAGTCAAGATGACCATTTTTAAGCAAATACTGTATAACTATTCTTAACTCTACTATTTTTCTTAAGTCATGATGACTATTCTTAAGTCAGAATGACTGTCCTGAAGTCAAGATAACTATTCTCAAGAAATATGCTGGATCTGCTTCAAAAAACAATTAAGCTAAGTTCACACCAACGGCGCTTTAATGAGGCGTGCAAAGCGGCTTTGCATGTCGCATTAAAGCGCCATCAAAGCGCTGTTGGTGTGAACTTAGCTTTACATAAATGCTCTACTTCATACGAACAACTGTTTGATACAGGAGGTTAGCTTGCACTTGTTACAATAATGTAGATCAGAATATACCAGGTGTACATGTTGAGCATTTCAAGAGATATGTAAAACCTAATGTCAATACATTGACAACTAAATGCTATATGAATGGTTCAATGATTTTAACACCAAATGTCGAATCTGGATCATGAATGTGTAGCTTGTATTCAGACATCAATGATACCATATATGGTATTTTAAGGATGGAAAAGAGCACATTGTTCAGCTAATGGAAAGTGTCGCTAGCAATTCCCACTTACAACAGATGCTTCCTTCAATACAGTCGTTTTCAATTTTCTCATATCCTGTTGTTTCAAGGAAGCTCATTAACACGATACACAATGGCTCGAATGTCCATATTTAGGAAATCAAAATTAGATCAAGAGAGTTGCTGTTTTTCTAATTATTAAATTAGTAAAAAACAGCAACTCCACAGAGTAGCAAATCCCACCGAACAAAACATGATTTGATAAATAGCCACCATCTCGAAATTTTCTTATTGAACAAATATCCTATGTCCCGAGGCAACAGCATATAAAATTTGAACCCAATCAGTCAACTGGTATTTGAGTTATCAAAGATTACCCTTTTTATGAAAAATGGCAACCATTTTGAAATGAGTGGCCATATTGAAAGTTCCTTCTTGAGTAGAGGTTCTATGCCGATAAGCGTCAAGCCTATAAAATTTGAACCAAATCTGTCTACCAGTTTTTGAGTTTTTTGCCAAGTCACACGAACGGACTGTCAAACGAACAATGGATGGCTTATGTATATCTTTGTTCGTCTAGTGGGATAATAAGCATGCATTCACTACATTTTTAACATGTGATAGTGCAATGTTTTAAAACTTATTTTTGACAGGTTGGCTAAAACAATTCAAATTTTAATCAGACAACCATAAAATCAATAATACTCTGTATTTGAAAAAGTTATAAACATCTCCTATATTACATTATGTCACCAGTAACTCCTATATTTCCTCTTATGCAACATTGCTAAATGTGTGCTTACCTAAGAATGGCACACATGGAGGGTTGATTGATCGGAGTTTTTCGATATATTTCCTCAGGTGGTCTGAATTTAACTCACACGCCTCTTCCAACGCCTTACTCAGTTTAGTTGGCAATTCCTAAAAAAATATGAATATTTTTTTTGTATATATAATGATACTTATCGCTAATTATCACTATTTATCACTTTCAAATCATCTGGCAACTTTTTGTCTCTCTTTACGTAGGAGAATGCATTTTTTGCTGGAATGTACTTTCTTAAAAGTATCAATCCAAAGTAATTTTAATACGAATGATGTGTTTTGTTAATTTTTGTCGCGCCTTACCAAATTGTATGTTTTACCAAATATTATAATGTACTTTATTGTAGGTAAGAGAGAAATTGTCACAGTAAGAGAGGGAGGGGGGGGGGTAAATCAAGAAATAATGACAGTATAAAAGGTACTCACCAAACGGGTGTGTTCCAGTCGATGTATTGGAGCAGAGTTCATTGCACTAACAACCTCTAGGACACCACTGAAGTTATTATTCTCTTGGAACATGATCATAATCTCAATGATACGTGACATCACAGCTACTCTTTCCTCAAAGTTTTCAGCTTCGACGATGCATTTTTCAAGCCAAAATGTGAACTGGAAAATACAATTATACATATTTTGGTGGATATATCTAAATGGGTGGCTATGAATGATATGATATGAAAAGACTCTTGTATCTATGAGATTAATTATTTTTCATTTATTTATACACTCTTTATGACACTCTTATGAGATTAATGGACAAAATAGTTCCCCAGAAATGACAAGCCAGAACCCCTCTATTCCAAATATGAGCAAAATAAGTGGCATTCTGCACAGCTGCACCAAGGTCAAGAAGATGATAAAATTATAGAAACGGCTATAAAATTGGCTGGTTAACGAACCAAATTATTTAGAATTTATTGGCATCTAGGTATCTACATAATTTTTATCTCTTCATTTTCCAGGAATTTTCTATGAATTGCAATTGAATTAATGCAATGTCTACATCCTGGAAACTATAAAATAATCAATTATATTTTCCAGGAATAACTATATGACATAATCATTTTTTATAATTCATGTCTAAATGCACATCTGGCTGTGTGTAAAAATATATGGATTTCCATGTTTGTCTAAATAATTATACCATATAGACAATGTATCAAAAGCTTCTTAATTTATAAGGGGCAACAAAAGATAGGATATATATACAGGTCTAAAGTTTGGTGACTTGAAAGAGCTTTGAAAATGTAAATAGATTTTTTTTAATTAATTGTAAACCAAATTTTTTCCAAGTGGCAAGATATTCAAAGTTGATAATATATTTTTATCATTTGAGAAAAAATCTTTATTCCTTTTTAAAAAATCATCTTTATCATTTGAGACTGAATGCTCTATCTTGTATGAGTACTCGTATCTACAACTATTTTTGAGGTTATGAGTATTGGCTATCAATTTCTAATTTTTTCTTCAACATGTATTGTAATGACTTCAGTATGAATGAAATGTCCCTTGGTCTTCTGGTCTTGGATTGTGATATTGGTTCTTGAATGGTGGGGGAAAGGGGATATTAGACATTGTTTCTTGTCACGTTAGATCACGGTTTTGGGATATATGGGGTTTGTTTTTCTTGACTGGTATGCACTTAGAGTTTGCTTTTTCTTGCTAAGTTCCATTTCAACTTTCAGTCCTTTCCCTTTGGCACTAGTGCCTATATATTTAATTGGATGCAGAAATACATTTGTGGTATATCAAAATGTTTAGATATTAAACTGACATTAATTAAGGCTGTTCTGTATGTGCAGAAATGTCAATGGCTCCCATGTTATTTTTAGTTTTGGCACAGAGAGTACATTAATCTACCTAGATTAATAGGTGAGGGTTATTAATCTCTGCAATATATGATGATTCAGAAATTCAGTGACCTACTTTTTAAAAATACAAAAATGTAGGTCACTGAATGTTCTCCTTTTTTACTAATCAACAATATCTATATAAGTGCTGAACACGCGGATGTACCTTAAATCAAAAATGCAATCAATGACACCATCCATGTTTAGAATATCATGATGTCTTGTATTATTTTGCTATATTTCTCTTTGAAATTGAATGAAATATTTCTTTGTATTGTATCTTTACATAAATCGACATGCAACCTTTATGGCTTTTTACTTTCTCTCTTATCTTTACATAAATCGACATGCAACCTTTATGGCTGTTTACTTTCTCTCTCCAAGAACATTTCTTGGAAAAAATATGTAATGGCAGAAAATTATAAGAATATATAAAGAGACAAATTTGAAAGGAATGACATAACTCTAAATTATATAAAAATTCAAGAGAATCAGACACTTTATTCAAATTTAAGAGAGAAATAGTATGAAATAGACATGCAATGAGCAGATGGAAGAGTGACAGCTGACATGTGTACTTGGCATATTCAAATTTAAGAGAGAAATAGTATGAAATAGACATGCAATGAGCAGATGGAAGAGTGGCAGCTGACATGTGTACTTGGCATATTCAAATTTAAGAGAGAAATAGTATGAAATAGACATGCAATGAGCAGATGGAAGAGTGACAGCTGACATGTGTACTTGGCATATTCAAATTTAAGAGAGAAATAGTATGAAATAGACATGCAATGAGCAGATGGAAGAGTGACAGCTGACATGTGTACTTGGCATATTCAAATTTAAGAGAGAAATAGTATGAAATAGACATGCAATGAGCAGATGGAAGAGTGACAGCTGACATGTGTACTTGGCATATTCAAATTTAAGAGAGAAATAGTATGAAATAGACATGCAATGAGCAGGTGGAAGAGTGACAGCTGACATGTGTACTTGGCATATTCAAATTTAAGAGAGAAATAGTATGAAATAGACATGCAATGAGCAGATGGAAGAGTGACAGCTGACATGTGTACTTGGCATATTCAAATTTAAGAGAGAAATAGTATGAAATAGACATGCAATGAGCAGATGGAAGAGTGACAGCTGACATGTGTACTTGGCATATTCAAATTTAAGAGAGAAATAGTATGAAATAGACATGCAATGAGAAGATGGAAGAGTGACAGCTGACATGTGTACTTGGCATATTCAAATTTAAGAGAGAAATAGTATGAAATAGACATGCAATGAGCAGATGAAAGAGTGACAGCTGACATGTGTACTTGGCATATTCAAATTTAAGAGAGAAATAGTATGAAATAGACATGCAATGAGCAGATGGAAGAGTGGCAGCTGACATGTGTACTTGGCATATTCAAATTTAAGAGAGAAATAGTATGAAATAGACATGCAATGAGCAGGTGGAAGAGTGACAGCTGACATGTGTACTTGGCATATTCAAATTTAAGAGAGAAATAGTATGAAATAGACATGCAATGAGCAGATGAAAGAGTGACAGCTGACATGTGTACTTGGCTTATTCAAATTTAAGAGAGAAATAGTATGAAATAGACATGCAATGAGCAGATGAAAGAGTGACAGCTGACATGTGTACTTGGCATATTCAAATTTAAGAGAGAAATAGTATGAAATAGACATGCAATGAGCAGGTGGAAGAGTGACAGCTGACATGTGTACTTGGCATATTCAAATTTAAGAGAGAAATAGTATGAAATAGACATGCAATGAGCAGATGAAAGAGTGACAGCTGACATGTGTACTTGGCATATTCAAATTTAAGAGAGAAATAGTATGAAATAGACATGCAATGAGCAGATGAAAGAGTGACAGCTGACATGTGTACTTGGCATATTCAAATTTAAGAGAGAAATAGTATGAAATAGACATGCAATGAGCAGATGAAAGAGTGACAGCTGACATGTGTACTTGGCATATTCAAATTTAAGAGAGAAATAGTATGAAATAGACATGCAATGAGCAGATGGAAGAGTGGCAGCTGACATGTGTACTTGGCATATTCAAATTTAAGAGAGAAATAGTATGAAATAGACATGCAATGAGCAGATGGAAGAGTGACAGCTGACATGTGTACTTGGCATATTCAAATTTAAGAGAGAAATAGTATGAAATAGACATGCAATGAGCAGATGGAAGAGTGGCAGCTGACATGTGTACTTGGCATATTCAAATTTAAGAGAGAAATAGTATGAAATAGACATGCAATGAGCAGATGAAAGAGTGACAGCTGACATGTGTACTTGGCATATTCAAATTTAAGAGAGAAATAGTATGAAATAGACATGCAATGAGCAGATGGAAGAGTGGCAGCTGACATGTGTACTTGGCATATTCAAATTTAAGAGAGAAATAGTATGAAATAGACATGCAATGAGCAGATGGAAGAGTGGCAGCTGACATGTGTACTTGGCATATTCACTACATGCAGATGATATACAATAATATCAACACATTGTTTTGATGGCACACTTTCAAATATATTAGTGAGTGGGCGGGTAATTATAATTTTCAAACAAGGTCATTTTACAGGTTTTACCGTACAAGCATGTGTATTCTAGAAATTAATGACACATTTACTGGTCTGATCAGATGAAATTTCCACCTGTTAGTTCACTTACCATTGTAGAGAAATGTATCATTTTATGAAGGTTAGGGGCACTTTCCCGTTTATCCTTCTTCTCTGTACTTCCAACAAGCTCAGATGGTTTTACTGCACGGTATAAATCAAACTCTAATAAAGTCACCTGGCGGGCGATTTCAATAGGGTGAAGCTGAAAGTATAAGGAAATACACAGTTGTCATGCTATTGTAAAATATGGTGGTGAATCTGATAAACATTTCAAAGGAAATACTCCAATTGGGCATATAACTCATTTGGAAATGAATGAAGAAGTTCTCATATATCTTTCTAATTGATATAAAAGATCTATCAAGTTAAAATGTCACTGGAGAACAAGACATGAAAACAGGGCCTGGGTAATTAACCAGGTCAATGAATATGGTTGCCTTTTTCAGTCTGTTTATATACCATGATAAGATAAACAGTGATAGATCAATGATATATATTTTTCCAGTGTATAATTTAATTTTCAATACAAGAGTGACATCTATAGTGTAATAATAACAGACCTATACACCTAATGCAATGCTGTTTTACAATCATTTTAGCATCTGCCATCTATCAATGATATAATTTTTCATATGAATCTTATTGCCTCTGGTGTTGCACAGATTGCTAAAGTATACATGTTACTATTATAAGAGTTTGACTTACCTGCATCAGATCAAACTGATCAGGGGTTCTGGCTATGTGCCACTCAATAGGTGGCAGCTCCTTCTCATACACAATGTCCTTCGGTTCGGTCTTGGCTTGCTTCTGCAAAAAAGAAGAACAAAAGGGTAGAAGCATGACAAAATGTTTCCACTTTCAAATGGATCCAAAGTAGCAATACTGTGTTAATGTTATTTATATTGAACGCTGCATCTCCTGTAAATTGTGAAGGTGACACTTACCCGCCTCTGGATGACCTTGGTGATCGACTCCACCCACTTCCTCATTGCTTTCCCTTTGACCGCCTCGAGGAAGTCTTCGAGATTGGTTAAAAGACTCTCATCTCTCTCGTAATCGTAGTAGTGGTGGTCCACCCAATGACGGAGAACGTTCAACACTCTGAAATGTATTCAGTAACTTTTTAGCCACAGTTTACAATATGAACTTGGAATGATTGATGATCTACCTAATGACAAAGAACATCTAATACATTGAAATGTCTTACAAGAATGATTGACCAGGTATTTCAAGAGCGAATTACTCATGCCTTAAGAGACCATAAAGGAAAATGGGACAGGGACAATAAACAATAGATACTACCAACAATTAATTTGAAAGGTCCTACCTGAACTGGACTGGTTTACAATATTCTTTCCTGAATCGTTTCAGGTCTTCCCTATTGGCGGGATTGGCACTGGGAGAGGTGGGGCTGCTTGCTTCGTTACTATCAGATTCCTCTTCAGGAAGAACTGGGTCAGGAATTTCAAACCTGAAATAACATCAACAATGACGCAAATACTAATGCATGAGTGAGGAGCCAAATTGCATAAACAAAGAAGTTAAACATTGGAAAGGTTACATGCAAGGTTACATTGTGTATGAGAAGGTGTCCAAATATTGACAGTTGTGGAAAGACTAAATTCAACAATTAAGGTTCAATGTTCTCTACCAAAAATAACGAATTTTGAAAATACTGATTGGCCAATGCTGATTACCCCCTCCCACTGACAAAATTAACATCATTTTTCAATGATATACAAATGTTGATCACTGGATCACCTATTCCTCTTCTCAACCCACTTACATGACCACAGTGATGCCACTATATATACCTATTTGTTAATGAAAACACAGAATGAAATCCTGTGCTAAGAGCTGATGTGAAAAAGTCAGTCAACCTCAGTGGGGATCGAACCCACGACCCCTCACTTTCCGGGCAAATGCTCTACCACTGAGCTACAGGACCGACTGGCTTTTCCACATAATGCCACTGGCAATTCGGTTCCTCATGTATGACCTGTACTTATATGATGTATATGTACTTATATGATGGCAATAAAGCTCTTGATAAAAATAAAGCCATCATAATTCATATGTGTTCCTAATCCACTGACCTTTCCATAAGTAACTTGAGTAGCTCCTGAGGTTTACAAAACGACCGATACGTCGTAAGAAATGTTCGTACAAATTTTGGATCGGCATACATGTGGTATGTGAGACGTTCAACCAGCTTCAGCAGTGTACCACCCTTTATTACAGGACTCTCTCCAATTGGGCTGGTGCTGTCTATCACTATATTATCTTCAGAGTCTTCTTCTGCAAACCTGAAGACAAGATAATAACAATACAATAGACCAATTCAGTAAATAATGCCATCTATTGGTTATGATGTTATTCTACAATTTAGGACAGAAATTTTACCACAGAACAATTTATATTTTTTGATTTTCCAGAGTTGGCAAATTCAAGACCATGTCAGTTTAAACATCTCTCTAGCTTTTATCATATCACTAGTAATAAATAATTATTTTTCAATAAACAATTACAATGCATAGAAGCTTCCCTATTGCCAATAAAGGCATTTTAGGCTAAGCCATATCTTCTTGTTTAAACCATCTTTTCAGTCAAATATGTATCTTAAATCATGACATTTTCCCTAGCTTACCTATAGTGTTCAGGAGATGGAAGGCGAAGGGGTTGGGCCTTCTCCTCGGCCAATAGCCTGCTGTCAAGCATTCTCTCCAGGAAACTGCGTTTCTGTAGCGATACCAGCGCCCACATCCAGTTATTTTTCTCATCGATAGATTTGGCAACTAGTGTCATAGATGGTTGGTCCTTGAGCTGAATTTCAAAAGCATTTTTCACTTCTGAAAAAGACGAATGAAAAACAAGAATCATTGATAGTAATTTCTCAATAACATGAGAGAAATAAAATTATTCAAATGATTGAACTTTATCATTATACATTCCCAAATGCATTAAAAGGCAAAAAATATTTTACATAGAATATGATTTTGATTGATATCATATTTATCCACACGTTGATATCAATATCTGGACGAGTGATCCAGCGAATGAGATACAGAAAATCATATCTTGAAACAATAAAATGAGATATAAAGCTTGCATTTTTAAAATAAACATAAGTCACTAAAAATCAATATTTTATGGAAATACCGGGTGTATCATCCTTGTCATTGATAGTCAGCTTGCGGAGATGAAACTTGTCTTTCAAGCGATATTCTCCTACAGGCCCAGTGACTGAAGACCTTCTAAGGTTTTGTTTACATAAAATAAGTAGACCATCAAATAGGAAGACATGTCTCTCAGTAAGCCTCTTGCCAGCATACTTAGATACAACACCATCTGGAATTACATAAAATAAGTAGACCATCAAATAGGAAGACATGTCTTTCCGTAAGCCTCTTGCCAGCATACTTAGACACAACACCATCTGGAATTACATGATAAACAGGCATGATAAATCATGTCTATCTTGTATGTGCATGTGGGTTGCAATCATTAATATTTATTGTATAAACATGGCTCTCGTAAGCTGCGGCTAATAGCCAACTAGAAAAAACATTAACTCCTCAGGACTTTGTTTTTGGTATGATCGTAACTTATGATTCTGAGAAAACCATTGTCTACTTTTTGACGAACAATGACTTGTGATCAAATCATAAGTCACGACAGTTCCAAAAACGGACCCCAGAGTAAGAAGTCTAACAGAACAAATATTCATATTCGTATATTGTTAATATTGTTAAAATTGATATTTGGGTTTATTGATATTCCTACTTATAGGTCATATTTTTGAAATTTTGGTGATTTTTGATTCTAAATAAATGATTCTACAATCTACTTTGTAACAATTTAACTGAATCAGTCAAACAGTCAAGGTCATCATTCAAGTTGCAAAATCGTAAAATCATTAAAAAGGTAACAGTTTGCAAGAATGTGACTTTCAAATCAGATTTACATTACTGTTTATACATCTAGGCTACTGCCACTCAATTTCTAAATATTTGGTACCTAACAGCTTAGTTAGAAGAACATTCTTTATGAGAATTTACTGTTCATTTCAGTTATTAATACATACCCATTACAAACTCATTGGAACTCTGTGCAATATCTTTCCCTTCCCAGCCATCTATAGACTTCTGAAGATCATTCATTTTGTTGAGAGCGGCCTGTCGACCCATACGACCATAACATCTCAGAGATGTCTCCCTAAAAATAGATAGGGTTTCATTATAACAGGAACAGTTTGTGTAGTGTTTATAATGCTATCTGTAAGACAATCAATGTAAGCTGAGACAAGATTTTTATGATTTTCTGGGTTTGAAAGTTTGCATGATTTCTTGAGACTACTGCTGATGATATACATGTATACCAATGCATTTTCATATGAGTTAAAAAATTCAAAAAATTTAAAAACATATTTAAGAGCCCAAATATTTTCTTTACATAGATCACATCATAGTGGAAGTAGTTCCCAGAAAACTGTGTGAACCTAAAGTGTTTGTCATTTTATCAGCAGCTATCTATGTATAAGGGGAGGCATCATAAGATCGATGTAGGTTAATAAACTTGACGAATCAAGATTTACCTCTAACCCCCCCCATTAGAACTTAATTTTTAAAATGTTGAAAATTGTTGTGGGGAATTATCCATTGTGTTTCGGTTTTACACATCAAATACAAACCATGCCCGTTGCACGAGTACTTGCTAAAACTAAACAATAAATTAATTGTTTAGGTTATATTGTGTCTGTGTATCTTGTCTTACAATAGCCTCTTGGTCTTAAAGATACCAGTGATTTATGGTAACTGCTTTATTGCGTATGTTTAATGTTTGAGATGTTGTATAGTACACGTCGTGTAAGGTCAAAATGCCCACTATACAAACAAAATTACCATTATATTTTATGTATAGGTGAACTCTTGGGAAAAAACAGCAGACTTAAAAACATTCATATCTTGAAAAATAAAATACTGGTGATAGATTAGAAAAGATCATTGACAATTAAATACTTCAAAAAAATAAAGGCTAGATACATCAACTGACATTGTAAAATGTATAGAATAAGTCCGTTCATATGTCTTGTTATGATATTATTAACAATCATAATCCTAAAGACTGTGCAAAGGAGTCTGAAACTTCCAAGAATTGTTTGGAGCAAAGAGACATCATACTCCAAGAATTCTCCGAAAAACAAACATGGCGACTTAAACCCAGAATATGATGAGCAAATTGAAGATGATGCAGATAAAGAATATAACACAAGCACACAAAACAGTGACATTAGAAACACTACGAAATCTTGGAACATAAAGACTATACTCATTTGGAATCCACAATACAAGCACAGTGGAATGTCAAATATAACATGTGACAATTGTCATTGCGTTGTAACTGAAAACAGATCACTCTTAAACTTCAGCAGTGCCGTTATTATTTCATCAAACACAATTATGAAACAATATTTACAAAAGCGAACCTTTTCAGGTTTATTGCCAAATTCCCGTGAAAATGACCAGATATGGATTTTTGCAAGTTTGGAGGCACCACCAAGCCTTCAAATGTGGCAAACGGTAGATGAAAAAAATGAAATCACAAAATTATTCAACTGGACCATGGGTTACCATAGAAACAGTGACATTTGGAATCCCTATGGATACTACAATGGTTCCCACATCAAATACAAAGAAACTATAATTGATATAAAACAATGGTCTATTCAACCAGATACCAACTTTGCCGAAAACAAAACCAAGCTTGTTTTCAGTGCAATAAGCAACTGTATAACGAGCAGTAGACGTGAGGTATACATCCACGATTTACAACACTATACCTCCGTTGACATATATGGTCGATGTGGAGATTTATTTTGTGAACAAAATACATCATGTGAAGATGAGTTCTATAAACCATACAAATTCTATCTGGCGTTTGAGAATTCGATTTGTGAAGATTATGTGACAGAAAAACTGTGGCGTGCTCTAGTGAAATGGAATGTAGTTCCGATCGTACTCGGAGGTGCAGATTACGAGACTCTACTTCCTCCTAACTCCTACATTGACATTGCAGATTTTTCCTCAACATCATACCTTGCAAGATTTCTGAAAATGCTCAATGAAAATGACAATCTTTACAACCAATATTTCATGTGGAAATTCATACCTGAACATAGAGATCTTAACACAAAGTCAGAATGGCCACTAGAAACAACATTTTGTCAAATCTGCAATAAGCTTAACAGTGCCCCCATGTCAAATGAGTATTTCATGAGCTTAGAACAAGTCTATGATAAGAAAAGATATTGTAAAAAGACAAGTAAATATTATGATTCAACTTTGCTATAGCTTTAATGCGATATAGTGTACATAGGTAACATATTACTGCAAAACATCCTCCATCTAGAGGTAAATTTTTAACCAAATAATGCCTAAAATCAAAATGAGACATGGCATTGACATGCGAAATGTCACTACCTACCATTTTTTACAGATATTATGTAACAGATGCCAACCATTGAACACCAACCCCTGTCCAAAAAAAGTTGGAGAGTATAACAATATGTCACCACCCGAAAAATCTGATTCTGTTTTTCTCATTTATTCTGCAATATGATTTGCATAGAGTTTTAAATATGTATTGTATACCAATCCCCAGGATCCAGTTAGTTAGTCAGATGTTTGGCTACTCACCCTGGTTTACGTTTTGGCAGTGTATCTTTACATATGATGTCCAGCTTGAGCTTGGTTTGATGTAGGAGACCTGAGGCCTGCTCCAGACTCTCCTGGTCTTCCTCTGTAGGACTAGTGCTTTGTAATGTCTGAAACACATTGCAAATATACATAGAGTTCTAACACATGCCAAATATACTTTGTAATGTCTAAACATATAGCAAATATACTTTGTAATGTCTGAAATATTCTATCTGGTGTCTGAAAGACAAGGCAAATATACTTTGTAATGTCTGAAAAAATATTTTTGAAGATGTCTTTGTACCTTCACTTTGTAAAGGTATAATGCAGATACCCTTTAAAGAACCTGAGAAATACATATGTCAGAAAATCTTGAATTTTGTCACTTCAAATGTTTGTACAATAAAAAACCAGTTCTTTCATTGATCAAATTTGTCACATGACAAGAGATATAGAACCTTACCTTTATGACATCCAATATATGAAGACAGTGATAGATAGGACCTAGTAGTGACTTGGGCAGGACGTATTTCACAGCATCTCGAAAACCATTGCCAGTATTCTGCAAACAACGCAAAAACATACAAAATGATACATTTGAACTTCTACAGGTGTATAGATCTTTCCAATAAATCCTGACCCTTTTTGTTGAGCCAAAAAAACTTAAGTATATTGGCTAGATTTATGATATCATAATTTTGCAGGCAGTGATGTTTGTAGACAAAATTGTAGAGGTTTTTTGAGTTAGAATAACTTAATCTTATTTCTACCCATTCTGATACTCATAGCATCTTTCTGTTTCACCTGAAACATGGGCTGAGAAGAAATGAGATGTCATGGATTATCATGATGATTTCTACCCAGAAATTGTAAGAATGACAACATAACTTATACGTAAGTTGATTTAATGGATTGGTATTTCTAGCTATGTCTAAATCATTTTTATTGATTCAAGCCAGAATTTGCTTGAAGAGTCATTATAAGGTGTTTTAGCTAGAGGCCTGTATCGAGAAATGTATGGTGCATGGTTTTAGACATCAAAACCTAGCTCCTCTATAGCTGCAGTGGTCTTTAATGCTAACTCGCGGGCAGGCCCGTTATCAAGGGATGACTGGCTTCAAATTGCATTTTTTCAAAAACTCAATCGTTAATTGCGCAGACTGTTATACATAGTGATATTCCAGGAAAGTAAATTAGTAAATAGATACTATTATTATGAAATTATACTTGAATCTGAGTTGTATAGCAAAACCATAACAACAAAACAACTAATAAAACAAACAAGGAATGTTGTGTTGTAATAGGTGAATAAGATACTTTCTTCAGTCATACAAAAATGTTGGATATCACATTTTCATGAAAAAGTTGCCCCGGGTATTGTGATGTCATGTTACCATAGTAACCATAACTCTACCCACATTTTTTGTTTTTTTCTGAAACTTCACAATTTTAGTTGTAATACTTCAAAGTACAAATTGTGAAAATTTGAAGACACTCTGTTCAGATTTGACAAAATGCCAGCACCAGTCCTGTTACTTTTGGAACACCCTGTATACCATCACGACCTACATTCTTATCTTTTAAATAGTAATGTGTAATCCATTTCATTCTGACACATATGTTATTTTGTTTGACATTTAAATATTAATAAAAATACACTTCATTATAAAATATTGATTTTAAAATACATCATTGCAACATTGTGTAACTTTCCAGAAAAAAATGTTATTAAGAATTTAATTTTTGATTTGTTATTAATGTAAACCATTGTGCAATAAAAAACATCAGATACACTCAAACACCACAAAATATCAGAATTGCATACAACCTACTTGGAGGTATACCATCAATTTGTTAGGCTAGGCTAGTATGTATTACCTAATGCTAAGGCCTTGAAAGTGTTTCGAAAAAAATAAGAGTCACGTTTATTTGTAACAGTACAATATATGATCTATTTTCAATATATTGTTATGTTTAAGAAAAAAAGAAAATAGATTTTTCGTTAGTTTGTCATATTTTTTGCATTCCTATGGCTGATACGCCATGATATCGGAAGTCTACGGAATTTCTGGAAACAATCCCCAGAATATTAGTTGAAGGATAATATATATAGGTCATTTAATGGGAGGGATGGAACATGAAATTTATTCTGAGGGAAAATATGATATTGACCAAGGAAAGTATGATATTGACTGAGGGTGATAGCCCAATGTGATATTTACGAGGTCAAAGTCATATTTTCTCAAGGAAAAAATTCATATTCCATGACAACCACCATTAAACTAATATTATCTACTGAGTAACAATTATATGAATATGTCAAACTAAAATTGGACATCGAATTAACATCACCACAGAAAGCTCTTTCTTTTCTACCAAGAAAAAAGTTCCTATTCATGAAAAGCCACAAGTTATTTGGACATATCTTTTTCAAGATACCAATCCAGTCTTCAAAAACTGAATTCATACTAGGGCTCTGCCGGAATCGGTTCAGACGGTTCGGAATCGGAATAGTAACTTTGACTCACAGAATCGGAACTTTCGGAACCCCTTTCGGACCACTAACACAAAGTAACAAAAAAGAAACGAACTTGCTTGATAAGTTGATATGACAGTGTCTTGGCATAATTTGCACATTGTTTTATATTTGTTTTGAGCTATTTGAAGTAAAACTCCAACGTTAACTTAAAACTATCGATCTTTATACCCGTCTCCTCATGATTTGGTTTGCCAGCCATTTTCACTTTTGCGTAAATCTAGATGGAAAACGAAAATATATACGAAATGTAAATGCAACGGAAGTCATAAATTATCTGAAAAAACTGAAGGTCATACTCTCAAATCAAAACAAAACTTGATTTCATCGCTTCGACTAATACACATGTATATTTGACTCGGTTTGAAGAAAAACATTACTGGGGAAACACTGGATTCAAAGCCAGGAGTAGGTAAGGTTCCAATGTTTGTTCCGAAACCCTTCGGAACATGATATGAAAGTTCCAAACACTGGTATTCAAGCAAAAGTTTGCGGTTCGGACCAATTTCAGTCAAATGGCACGGCCCTAATTCATACTACAATGTACAAGTATCTATTATTTCAATGTCACTTACATCTAAAGTTTCTTTTAAATCTTTTCTTTGAAGTAGTATATTCAATCTCTCTCGACCATGAGGTTTCATAAGATCTTCTGCGTATCTCTCATACACAACAAATTCTGCATTCTGGAAGGCATAAGGCATAAGTATAAGTAGGCATGGAACTTTTTTAAATGAATATTATTCTGAAATATGATTTAAAATATGATATCAGACTGGTCACAAACTGTCCAAAGGTTATACATAAAATATAAAAAACAAGTATGTTTATACCAATATTGGTTATGAAAAAATAATATTAAAAACACAAGCTTTATTGGTTGACTGGGTGTGAAATGTGTTACCAGTAGACCTGGTGAATGGTACATGATATGTTCCAACACAAACAATTAGTACCCCAAACAATATCTTGCCTCCCAAATCTTTAAAGTTAATTTTCAAATTAGAAGCAGCAATTAGATTCAATAATCTAAATTGTACAAAAATGCCTATAATAGCATTACAATTTAATAAGTCCTAACAAAAATACTAAACAAGACACACAGTGATAAATATCGCACTTTGAAGAGCAAACTGGCCACCATGCAATTTACCCAGCATGGCCAAAACCTAATCAGACCTTGGAGTTCTGCTCTTGCATCTGTAAACATTTCAAGTTGACAAGGTTAGCGGTTTTCCTGCAATTTTGATGACAAGAATTTATTTGTAGTCTTGAACTTTGGGAAAATTTAGATAACATTGTTTGTGACCTAATTTGATGACCTTCGACCTTGAAAATTTCACTTTTTCAGACCTCAGTAGGTGTTTTGTAATTAAGCTGACCTAAATTTAAATCCAAAATATCAATTTAGAAAATCAAATTTTTGACCTTTTCAAGGCCACTGAAGGTCAACGAAAGGTCAAATCTGAAATCTAAGGTGAGATTTGAACTTCTGAGAACTTGTAGATGTTTTAAAAAAAAAATTTGGTCAATTTGGAGCAAGTTGAAAAATTCAAAATGGCCACCAAATTCAAAAATTCAAAATGGCCACCATGTAATTCAGCCAGCATACCCAAAACCTAATCAGATCTTGGCAATAGTCTGCTCTTGCATCTGTAAAAATTTCAAGTTGAACGGATAAGTGGTTTTCCTGGAATTTTGATGACAAGATTTGTTGAAAAATTCAAAATGGCGGCCACGTAGTTTACCCAGCATGCCCTTAACCTAATCAGATCTTGGTACTAGTCTGCTCTTGCATCTGTAAAAATTTCAAGTTGAACAGGTAAGCAGTTATCCTGGAAATTTGATGACAAGATTTGGTTTATGTCCCGCCCGCCCGCACGCCCGCCCAACAGCACAAGACGACAATATAGCACTTTTTCAAAGTGCGATAAAAAGTTAATATGCTGTTGAATCAGGGCATATGAATAAAATAAGAATTATATTTGAAGTCAAAGGTACAAATGGATGGCTGGACGAATGAATGGAGAGCCATTCTCTGTATCTCCAGAACTTTGTTCAAAGGGATAATGAATGCGGGTACCTATTGAATGCGGGTACCTATTGAATGCAGGTACCTATTGAATAAGGTCTCCACAACAGGAAAGGCTCGTAAATGCATGATTAGATGATACGTAGCAAATAATAACAATAATCATATACCATTGGAAAGTCAACTCAATTTGATAAAACCCAATCAGATCTTGGCACTAGCCTGTTCTTGCATCAAGTTGAAAAGATAAGTGGTTTCCTTGAATTTTGATGACAAAATTTATGTTGTTCCAAGCTTTTCAAAGTGTGGTAAAAATTCTTACCTCGGCAAGTTCCTCAAAAATGCCACCAATCAATGGAACCGAGTTTTCTTCAGTTGCTTCGACAACATCTTCCAAGGAACTTAATAATTTCGTAGAAAATTCATACACTTCAAAAATATTGCTAAATATAGCGTCCAAATCGCCACTTTTTGGGAACAGTTTTTCAAATGGGTCCCTGAATACTTTAATTATCATGTTAAGATCTCGAACATGCTGAGTTTCTTCTAGGATGAGATCTTTGACGATGTCCTCATATTTTAGAGATCCTTGTTTAACAGGTTCTTCCTCGACACTGAATGAGACCTCATCATCTTGAAAGAACATGTCCATAAGGACCTGGAAATACAGAACATGTATATTCATAAATTAATCTTCCAATCTACTACCCTAAACGAGCCATAAGTGAATGTCAATATGCATAGACAACATTTTTTACCACAATATGTTTAATACATATACTTTCAATGCAAATAAAAATGATCAAAATCAATCTTTTTGTTTTTTGTCTAGACAGTTCTAGATCAAATTTTATTAGAATCCCTAAAATTACTTAATGCTACTTACTTAATACATGCACAAAATTTTCAGCAACAAAAGTGATAAAGAACTCAGAAGTCTTTTGTGACAATGACGAGATTTAACCAAGTGAAACTCACCTTCGGTATTGCTTTGACTAACTTGTGTCTGATCCAATTTAGAGCTAAATTACCAGATATTCTTTGTGCCATCTTGCCATCAAATTGATGCAAAATGAGCACAGTTATTTCTGATGATACACTGAATTTTGGTGTCAAATCAGTGTCAAACTAGAAAACTAGAAAAACAATAACTCCACTGTTTTTTCTCAGCAAAAACTACAGCCATAACTCAAGTTAATTATCCTTTGTACCATACTGAGAAACAGACTCAATTGTGATTACCAAATACTAACAGCCATTTCAGGCAAATCACTCATAGAATCAATGTCCCATAATAATGCCACCAATCATCATTTCACCCTTCAACACTTATTGAACTAAAAAAATAGGCCAAAGTATGTTCCATGCATTGTTTTGTTGATGAAAGGATATCAAATTTTTGATGTTTTGAAATTCATATAAAATTGACAAGAGTAGGAACAACAAATCTTAAAATTTCTGTAAAGTAAATGAAATAAACAAGAATCATGAATTTTTCATGAAGAAATGGATATGCTGAAGATATGCTTATTATTTGTTTTAATCTACTCTTGCCTTATTCAAGTTAAATTTGAAGGATCAATATTTCAAGGTACTTATCCCTAATCAATAAGTTAAATAAACGTTAAATAGTGGTTCAAAAATGTACCATTATAGGAATGGCCACATCTCAGGAACTAATAACATGGAGACATGGTGGAAGAAAGGTGTGCAATCACTGGTATGAGTGGATGGTGTACTCAACCCTGACTCAAACTCTCTCTATTTCATTTTTCCACAGCTGTCAGTTCATAGAGTATGTTGAGCACAAAAATATTACCTTGTCTGCACACATAGCAACTTTGATGTCTTGGCTAGTAATCTCAGAGTGTTTTATGTTACGGACATAATTTCCTGCCAACTGGAAAACAAAGAATAATGCTTAGTGAATATATGATGCCACGTGATGGGGGGATAGGGTGGGGAGGGGATGGGGGACATTCTAATGACATCTGATCTCAATCAGGAATGTCATTTTTACTAATTTTAGTGCAGATAGTGCACAATAACAGGACTGGAATCAGACAGCATAAGTCATAAAATATCAGGATTAAAGCTTTATTCAAACAAGATGTCAGTTAGTATTAATAATAATAACAAGATGTTACTACTTCTTTGGAGCATCGATATATGTAATACAAGTTACATTTCAACCAACTAATTTGATCAATAATTGGTTGCGAAGTGTATAATCAAAAAAAGCATGAACATCTCTTTTTTCAAGAATTGATAAAAAGTTCTTATGAAGTCACAGAGAGACTAATTATCAAGCAAAACAAATTTAGAAATAGCATCATTGTCTCCCATAGGGGCACCTTTCTAGGTTTACCACCTACATTACTTCCAAGAATAAAATATCATGTTATCTATAAATTATAAAAAAAATATAAGTATTAAAGTTATAATATCATGTTCAAGATGTCATAAAGAGCATAATTCCATCATTCAAGAAAGTTATAGAAATATGTTAACAATATTATGTCATAGGCACAATAAGAAACATTATGTTGTATATTTGTCACATCCTCTATTGTCCTCTTCATACACAGTAAGGCAATAGTGATGCCCTCTTTCAAGGGATATATCTTTTAATTGCGTATCATTTAAAACTATGCTTAGGTATTGTTTCAAATAAGAACAGATTTGGAGAGTTGGACTATCAAGTAAAAAAATAGGCAAGAATGATGGTGCTAGTCTAATTATACTATATCGGAAGGGAGTTCCCATTTTGAAGGCTTTTTTGCATTTGATCACTTACTGTGTGATGTCATTGCATATGCATAATAGCTGGTGGCATTATTAACAGAGCAAAGATTTGATTTAGTTGCTACACATACAGGATTATTTTGATCACTTGGATAACTTTTGTAGGTTATATTAGTGTCCTCCACAAAATTTTTTCTCAAGTGGGTGGAAAGTTCTCATTTTTATAATCAGACCAAAATTGCTCAATATATGCCAAATTTTCATGATTTTCTCTCATTTTCAAATGGGTACAAATGGATATTCAGGTGGGTGCAAGCTTGTTTTCAAAATCTCAGTTGGGTGCTGTGCCCACGTGCTTTAATGCTGGGGATATCACTGTATATACATGTGGCCATCAAGTCTATTTATATTTCTAATCGTGGCTGTAAATAAAAGTTATCCTATGATATTTGAGAGATATCATTTATTTTCAATGAGTGGATACTAACCATCTCGACAAGCACGAAACACAAATCAATGTCCCCAATTGTTCATTCTGATAACAAAATATACTTGATAGTTTTGGCAATTAATGATAGATGGCAGCACTTTTGGACAAAATATATACAAAGGGAAATTGCTAGACACCTACCTTAAATATATCAGCGGCAATATATTCTAAGACTGCCACTATATAGAGTGACACTTGGAAGTCAACCTTATAGCCCAGCACCTCCTAAAATGTAAAATCAAATATGATTAGTAATATTGGGCCAGGGCTCAGCTGAATTGTGTGGCAGAAATAATTGCAAAAGGTATTCAATTTTATAGTTCAGGAGTATAAAAATGTTCAAATTTCAAAGTAATTAGGGTTTGTGGAATTTGGTATTTGGATATAACTAAATGTTCAAGCCAAAAGGTGTTCAGATCTGTAAGTGAAAGTCTAAAGATGTTCATGTCCAAAGATGTTTAGGTTTAAAGGGTTCCAGGTCCAAAGGTGTTGAGTTTAAAAATGTTCAGGACTAAAGGCAAGTCTCAAGGTGTTAAGACCTTAAAGTATTAAGGTCTAAAAGTATTTACACTAAAAGTATTCAGGTCTAAAGGTGTTGAGTTTAAGGATGTTCAGGACTTAAGGAATTCAGATCTAAAGGTATTCAGATTAAAAGGAATTAAGGTCTAAAAGTATTTAGGTCTAAAGGTATTCAAGTCTAAAGTTGTTCCAAGTCTAAGGGTGTTCAGATCTAAAGATACTCAGGTCTAAAGGTATTCAGACCTATAGGTATTTGAACTATTTTGGTTAAAGGTATTGGTTTTGAGGTGTTTAAGTCTAAAGGTGTTCAGGTCTAAAGGAGTTCAAGCATTTATACAGTATTCAAATCTGTGGGTGGTAAAGTTTATAAATGTCCAGGTCTAAAGGTGTATCTTAAAGTATTGGGTCTAAATACGTATTGTTCTTGTCAAATGATATACTGTTCAAATCAAAGTCGTTTGAATTAAAAAGTTAACAAACTGAAAGTTAAGCAAAAAGTGTCTGAACTGGTGAACATAAAAATCTTTGAAATATATTACATTTGTATGCTTCTCGGAAATTTCAACAATACATATTTCTCATTTATAAGTTAGCTTAACATGATAATGGCTCATAAATAAAACGAAGTGTCAATGAAATGTTAACTAGGAAGCAGCAAGTCTACGGAGTAGAAAATCCCACCGAACTAACATTCTTTTAAATCGATAGTCATTTTGGACATTACATGATAGACGTAACCAGGAAGTAGGAGAGCAGTATTGTCTCTTTTGAACAAAATATACACCCATGATGTAAGCTGCCAACAACTGATTCGAGAGTGACCAGTTTTTTATTCAACAGTCATTTTGAAAATTTTACATTTTTTAACAAATAATGCTGGTCATCTTGAATATTAACTTTTGAGCAGAGTACTATGTCCCTAAAGTATCAGCATATTAAATTTGTACCAAATCCATCAACTGGTATTTGAAATATGAAAAATTACATTTTTTTACCAAAAAATGGTAGCCATTTCACAGTTGCCAACTCCCGATTTAAATCGGGAGATTCCTGTTTTTTTAACCCATCTCCTGCGCAATTTTGTCATCTCCCGATTTTCTAATTTTGTAATTTTTCATCATCTCCCGATTTTTTCTCCCGATTTCCCCCGATTTCTACAAAAAACTTCGCATGTTTTAGGTAGAAATCCCCCGATTTTGTCTGTGTCCTCCCGTTTTTTCCTCTTACCTCTCGATTTTTAACTTGAATCCGAGTACTAATCGATCGTCTCCAGTATCTTACATAAAAGTCAATTAACTCGAGCGACATCTAATCATGAAAAACAAAGTTAATCTAATATAAATGTCCAATCAACAACAACGAAATTAGCGCACGCGCAACAATTTTAATCAGTAAGAGCGAATCCATCCTTTATTACGATCCTAGCGCATGCGTATTACGTAGATAATCTCCTGAGTGGAGGCGATAAGAATCTGCGCAAGTATGTCCGTGAAACGGGGGTAAGAATAGTTTTGTCTATTTATGCACGATTGCGTAAGCCTACCAAGATTAAGGATGTATATACATTATGAGAAATCATGTTAAATAAGTTTGAATGATTTTACCATTGAAGTTTGTCAAAGATTGAGATTTATCAGTCACATTTACGGTAAGCTTTTTGGTTTTTCCCCCGGTTTTTCCATCCTGGACCAAGGAGGATTGGCTCCCAGGATGCAACATCGATACCGATACTCCCTATGTTTTAAACTGTTTTATAAAGAAGTCTCCTGTTTCCTCCTGTTTTTAAAGAAAATATCCTGTTTTCTCTTGTTTTTAAGGAAAATATCCTGTTTTCTCCTGTTTTAAAATAAAATACCCTGTTTTCTCCTGTTTTTAAAGATAATCTGTTTTCTCAAGCTTTTATTATATTAAAATAAATTGTTTTCTCCTGTTTTTAAAGAAAATCTCCTGTTTAGACTGAAAATCTCCTGTTTTCTCCTGTTTTTTAGATGGTAACTTGTTTACCCTACTATCACACCAAACTAGTTCTCACTACGTTCTCAAAAACGGGCTTCAACTGTGTACGAACGGACTGGACCTACTAAGAACCGTTTGGGATCTATTAACAAACTTCATCGAACGTACTCGAACGGGAAGGTCCTCTAGAACTTAAACAATGCTCAAAATGTTCTCGTGGTCGTCAAGTTCTACAATTAGAACGAGTGACAACGTACTAACGACGAGCTGGACGTACTACGAACGGAACCGTCGTACTTCAATCCTACTAGGGACGTTTTAACAACGAGTTGTATTGTCTGAGGACGTGTTGAGAACGACTAATTGCAAACGGGTTTAAACTGATTGAGAACGTATTTAACACTGCTTATGAACGAGTTAGCAAAAATATAGCTATCACACCAAACAAGTTGCCACTGCGTTCTTCAAAACTGTGTGCGAACGGAATGAACGTAGCTGCAACTTTCTAAGGTCTATTTACGAACTTTATGATCGTTCTCAGACGGGAATGTGATTTTAGAATTTTGAATCGATTCAAAATTCGATGGCGACCATAACGTTCTGTACTCAGGTCATGTTGACCTTCTAGACTAAGGGACGCGTTCTACTACGTTGCACACCGACGTGGTGCGACCTGAACGAACTGCGAACGAGAAGGACGTATTGAAGACTGTTTAAGAACGAAGAAGCTAATTATTTCAGACATATTTCCCGACCACAGCAAGATTGAGCCCGTTTTATGACGTTTTCGTAGGACTGGCAAGAACGGGTAAGAACGAGTTTGGTGTGATAGGGGGGTTACTAAAATAAACCTCATGTTTTCTCCTGTTTTTTAAAAGAAGTCTCCTGTTTTCCCCTGTTTTTAAAGAAAATCTCCTGTTTAGACTGAAAATCTCCTGTTTTCTCCTGTTTTTTAGATGGTAACTTGTTTTCTAAACGAAACCTCCTGTTTTCTCCTGTTTTTTAAAAGAAGTCTCCTGTTTTCTCCTGTTTTTTAAAGAAAATCTCCTGTTTAGACTGAAAGTCTCTTGTTTTCTCCTGTTTTTTAGATGGTAACTTGTTTTCTAAAAGAAACCTCCTGTTTTCTCCTGTTTTTTAAAAGAAGTCTCCTGTTTTCTCCTGTTTTTTTCAGTAAAAGTCTCCTGTTTTTCTCCTGTTTTTTGCAAAATATCTCCTGGATTCTCCTGTTTTTTTTAAAAAAAACGTGAGAGGTTGGCAGGTATGCCATTTTGGAATTCAGTGGTTCGGGACTTCTATGTTCCTAAGGTATCAGCATATAAATTAAAAACCAAATCTGTTAACTGGTATATGAGTTATCAAAGATTACATTTTTTATGAAAAATGGTGACCATTTTGAATTGAGCAGCCATATTGAAAATTCCTTCTCGAGCAGTGACTCTATACCCATAAGGCATAAACCTATAAAATTTTAACCAAATCCATCTACTGGTACATGTATTTGAATTGTCTGTCATCTATACAAACAAACAAATGGAGGGACGAACAAACAGACAGACAGCTTCTCTATATCCCTATGAACTTCGTTCGGTGGGATAATTATTATGCATTATCATGTTAATCTTTTTTCCAAACTACAAGTCTTTCCAAGAATAACTATTTCTGTCTTCTTTCTCCAACTGATAAGTCAACATATTTCACAAAGTACTACTGTGTAATATCTGTATAAACTAGTCATGAGCCAGGCACGAGGCAGTTGCAAATATTTTACAAAAAAATACGAGAAGACATTTTTTAGAAACTATAAAAACAAAGTCAAATTGAGAGTATTATATTGCCTCAATTCAATTTAAGCCTCACCTTCTCAATATTGCCTCACCTAAATTCAGATATTGGCCCTGTTCTGACACAAGGTTTGAATAGGTTCTCAATCTGGTTGAAAGACTTCTCCTTTAGGAGAAAATGGGATACACTTGCGCATCACATGACTTCAAACACTCACCTTTACTAAAATATGATACACATGTGTATCACATGACTTCAAACACTCACCTTTACTAAAATAGGATACACTTGTGCATCACATGACTTCAAACACTCACCTTTACTAAAATAGGATACACTTGTGCATCACATGACTTCAAACACTCACCTTTACTAAAATAGGATACACTTGTGCATCACATGACTTCAAACACTCACCTTTACTAAAATTGGATACACTTGTATATCACATGACTTCAAACACTCACCTTTACTAAAATTGGATACACTTGTGCATCACATGACTTCAAACACTCACCTTTACTAAAATAGGATACACTTGTGTATCACATGACTTCAAACACTCACCTTTACTAAAATAGGATACACTTGTGCATCACATGACTTCAAACACTCACCTTTACTAAAATTGGATACACTTGTATATCACATGACTTCAAACACTCACCTTTACTAAAATTGGATACACTTGTGCATCACATGACTTCAAACACTCACCTTTACTAAAATTGGATACACTTGTATATCACATGACTTCAAACACTCACCTTTACTAAAATTGGATACACTTGTGTATCACATGACTTCAAACACTCACCTTTACTAAAATAGGATACACTTGTGTATCACATGACTTCAAACACTCACCTTTACTAGAATAGGATACACTTGTGCATCACATGACTTCAAACACTCACCTTTACTAAAATTGGATACACTTGTGTATCACATGACTTCAAACACTCATCTTTACTAGAATAGGATACACTTGTGCATCACATGACTTCAAACACTCACCTTTACTAAAATTGGATACACTTGTGTATCACATGACTTCAAACACTCACCTTTACTAAAATTGGATATACTTGTACTTGTGCATCACATGACTTCAAACACTCACCTTAACTAAAATTGGATACACTTGTATATCACATGACTTCAAACACTCACCTTTACTAAAATTGGATACACTTGTGCATCACATGACTTCAAACACTCACCTTTACTAAAATTGGATACACTTGTATATCACATGACTTCAAACACTCACCTTTACTAAAATTGGATACACTTGTGTATCACATGACTTCAAACACTCACCTTTACTAAAATAGGATACACTTGTGTATCACATGACTTCAAACACTCACCTTTACTAGAATAGGATACACTTGTGCATCACATGACTTCAAACACTCACCTTTACTAAAATTGGATACACTTGTGTATCACATGACTTCAAACACTCACCTTTACTAAAATTGGATACACTTGTGCATCACATGACTTCAAACACTCACCTTTACTAAAATAGGATGAAGCTTTTCTACAGGAAGAACCAATGGGGATTTTTTCTTTCCTTTCTCCAAGGCAGTGTTAGCGTCCCCTATGGCCCACTTATCTATGGGGTGTGGGAAGGTTTTCTTAACACAGTCTTCCACATCTGTTACAGTATGAGGTTGAGATTGGCATAACATATTTAAGAGTTGCTGTATAAGACTGTCTATGTATTCTAAGGCATCTTTACGGGCATGTAGATTTGGATGGACCTGTCTCTGAACCTAAAATAAACAAATTTGTTTTTATTTTTTATTTTATTTTTTTGAGTATAACATACCTAGCCAAGCATTGGTATGAGAATCAACGGGCGAGTAGCAATATCCACTGGTATTTTGGCACTTGAAATGCAATATAGCTTACTTACTTCACTTTGAAACAAACATAACTAATTTTATCCTGGGGATTCTGAAATGGGATTCCTATTGGTCCTATATGTTTCACGCATTTATTTAGAATGAGTTGAACCTAATACGGTTACTATGTTACAGCATGGGCATTCAAGAGAAGGGTATGCAACTTCCCATTATTTTTGCATGAGCACTTTCCTGTACACATTTCAAGAAAAAATAATTTTGTACTTTTCGTCATCCTTGGTCCAAGGGTATTTCTCTTCTTTCCATAATTTCCTGAATTGAGTAATAAATGAAGTCCTTTGATTGAAGGATGACTTATCATGTATCTGTTACATTTCTAAGGCATGGCACGTATTGAAAAATGCATGGTTTCACTAGTGTGCAAAAACCAAACTTAGCTACATATCAGGCAGTCAGGGACTACATGACATGAACAAATTCTCATGACATGAACAAATTCTCATAAGTGATGTTATCGTCACAAAATATATACTTTGCTATTTTTTAATAATTAACAAGATGCTACAAAAATTAATCAAAAATACAGCATGTGGGGAATCATGTGAAGCAGGAGGGGGTGGCTGTCTGTACATGAACATTACACAGCCAATCTGCAACAGTACCGTTTTGAAAGGGTACTTTAGACTAAAATGGTACCGTGAACACTGTACGGCACTATACTCCAACGGTACCATACTCTTAATGTACCATGATTTCAGAGTGATTACTGACCACCCAGGCCCGTAGCCAGGGGGGGGGAGAGGAGGGAGCAGCCGCTCCCCCCCCCCACCTGGCCAGAAATTCTTTCAAAATCATGCAGTTTTTCACCATTCTGAGAACTTTTCAAATGATTTTTTGCCAAAACTGTCAAAAGCAAAAACTCCCCCCTTGGTAAAACCACTCCCCCCTGGTAAATCCTAGCTATGGGCCTGCCATCCTCTAAATGTCGTTGAATATGGAACTTATTACTGTAATAACAGCTATTTTCCTTATATCTTTACAAAATAAATAAAAATAAATTAAGCAAATCACGGTCACAAATGGTCCTCTTATTTAATTTTTTTTTACAAAGATACTAATTGTTAGACAACATCTTAAATCGAATAAAAATCTATGGTGTAAATTTTCTGAGCCCATATAGATTTCTGATACATTAGAAACTTAGTTACAGCTAAAGCTGAGATAAATCATTTATAAGTATGCTCAAAGTACATATAACAATATGAGTAGTTATTCATCTAAATTACATAGAAATCCTGTTTTCTCAGAAATAATAATCATGTTTCAATTTCAAAGCAAACAACATTGTATAACTTGTAGCTACGGTATTCTCTCGAATGAGCCCACCATTCCAATGAGCACATGTCATATGCGATTTTTATAGTGAATAAGATCTCAAGAAAACATCAGGTTTAATGTATTAGTTTAGATTATTTACCTAACAAGATATCGCTTGATGATTATTTATGCAGAGAAAGAAATACAGGAGCTGTAGAGTATGTAAACCTAAGCAATAACAACTAAAAAGATTATTGGTGATATTTTTTCTTAATATTTTGTATGTGGGCTTACTGGAATCTCTCAATATCTTATCCTTTTTAATTTTAATTTGGGAAGTGCACTGTGCATTCATTAGAGAGAATATGGTATGCATCATTTATGGGTCTGGGGGTCATTAATAGAAACATTTTAAAGTTATGAATTAGTAAATCAATTGTTGTAACCATAGATCGTAGAGAACAATGGATTTTATGAATTCTTAACTTTAAGAAGTTTCTGTTAATGCCCCCCTGATTACTTGTTCTCATATAATAATGAGTATCTCTCACAAAGAACATGGATGCAACAATATGTGTCTAGTAGTTTTGTTCTGCTACGTTGAATAATTATTCATTACATGGAACAAAAATTAAACTTATGTTTACTTTTTGATCTACATATATTTTTATGTACGCCCGTAAAACAGACATAATATGTGAATTTCTGTTATTACACACACTTTTAACTGAAAGTTAAGAGTACAACAGTCCCATTAGACACACTTTTCCCAAAGGGGCTGCAGTTTCACAATTTGTACACGAAGAATTCATATGATGTCAGAGGTGTGCTGATGTCAGGTCTATTATGATCACTTAATTTAGTTTCAATTTACTGCATAATTACTTCAATGTAAGTAGCAAATTTTAGAAACAATGTTTGGTTACTCTGACCTGGTATGATGAAAATAGCTCAATTTGACCATAAAACGCCAACACCAACACAATACGATCATATACACAACACCTAACGAACTGACAAGTCAACTAAACTTATATCCATAGCTCTTTTAGACCCGTAGGACAAGATAAACAAAAACAAGGAAGTTAGATATCTCAAAATTATAAGTTGTTGTTCCAAGAAAACACAATTGTTTCTTAACATATTACATTTGCACTTACCTTTTGTAAGGCCTCAATAAAGAAGAGGCTTCGCTTCAGGTGGGATTCCTTAACCTCCATTGTGCGACTTGCGGTGGCTCAGTCCGCTAAAGTACACACATAGATGACACAACAAAATGTCGATGCCCAATACATTATCGGGGCTCCAGCAGTGATTAAGGTACAGCAGTTATATCATGGTTTATTGAAGTATTGTCAAATGCATTTTTACTTGTAATCCTTCTTCTTTGTACAAATAATCAATCATTCTGAGTTCTTGTTTTTATAGACAGGCAGCCATGTTTAAAATTTTGTTCAGAACCTCAAACTTCAACACTAAAATGCGCTATGAATCCGAGCCATTTGCGTTACATTACGATGCTTGCATACTCAGTATAATATATATTTTGCATCCGCTTATGCTCAATTTGATACTATGGCAGAATATGGAGATATTCTTCGTAATTTATAAAGTTCAACAAAATATTCTACTTCTTATTTAAACAGGAAATAACTTTGACGCATGCGCAATTATATTTTTAAACGCCATCTATATTTCGGAATTCGAGGTATTTCTTTTTGCACTGAACGAAACGTGAGACCCGGTAAGGTGATTTCTGTACATAATTCTTTATTGAAAGTGAGTGCTCCCTCCTTCTTGTATTCACTATTCATTACATTAAACTAATAACTGTAATTTAGTTTTAACATAGAGAAAATAAGGGGGGAGGGGGTTGGTGACTTACTCCCAGTGTCTTGATCTCCAGGTACCCTAAGAAAACAGTTAGTTTCAACACTACAGAGACATAAACATAGGTCTCTGGTTTCAAATCAAGCAATCCAGAAAATCATGTCACTTATTGGTTATGTCATTCAGTTTTATTCAGTCAAGATATTAAAAAAGTGTTGTATCTATTAGAATATTGATAGATAATTTTGCAGGATTGTACAGTAAAACCTTTTTAATCCGAACGCTGACGGGGTGAGTGTTCGGATTAGCAGGTGTTCAGCTATTTCTAGGTTTCTTAATATGAGAATCAATGGGAGATAATAAAATTGGGAACCAAGAAAGTGTTCACATTGAGAGGTGTTTGTATAAGAGAGGTGTTCAAATACTGTACTTGATCCATAATTATGACCAGGACTAACATCTCTCACCCCAAGGCATGCACAGGGTTATACATTTGTGTAAGCACATGGAAAAACTAGGAAGAACAGACAAACTCATAATATTATAATTTTAGTTTATTTTCCCAGATATTTTACCCAAGCTCCATTTTACTACACCATGATACCATTAGATAAACAATAAGATATACATATTAACTCTCAATCTGATTTTTTTGCTTGATTTTCTGAAAACTGAACTTGTTCAGTCGCACTCTCTTCTGTAGCAATATTGTCATTTTCAATGTTTGTAGATTTAGAGTCATTAGATTCATGTTTATCTTGTAAATTTTCTTTTGATGTTTCATTTTCATCTTCTTTAGTCTCTTTCAATGCATCAGTCTCATTGTTAATGTCAGTTTCTTTTAGAGAATCAACTTCTTTTTGTTTGTCTTCACTCTCATTCACTTGTTTTGAGTCTTTAGTAATTTCTCCACCTTCATCAATTTGTTCATCATGGTTATCAGATTTTTCAGTTTCAGATGAATCTTGTAACACATTTTCTGATTGGTTCAAAGCAGAATCATCACTGGTTTGACCAATTTCTGGACCAATCACAGGCTTTGTTTCTTCAACCTCCTCTTTCTTAGGCATTAAATGTTCAAGTGGTTTAGTCAATGTGGTAACATCAAGGAATCCAATGTTATTCTGAAAGAATCAATGAATTATTCCTCAATATATTATACAAAAGTCCTTGTACACCAGGCAACACATATAAAAGTGACTAGTACCTAATATAGAGATCATGGTATGAATTCAGAATATCAGATCAATTTGAGTGATATCATTCTAATAGATGAGTTGATATCAAATATCAACATAAGTGAGTGAAGCGAATGAGTGTTGATATTTTTTATCAACTCATAGATAAAAATGATATCACAAGAAATGATCTGATATTGTGTTTACTCCATGATAACTATAAAAAACTCAAATTTGTTTAGCAGACAGAAATGCTGCTGATAATTGATTAGCCACAGATGGGATAAACAATTTTCTGAAAAATATCACACAAATCAACATAATATCGGAAATATCACTGGCTATCATTGCAAAGATAACACAACAATAATTATGATATAAAATAAAATGAAATATTGCATACCATTTTGACGAGTTGTAAGACTGGTACTCCTAGTGTTTGTGATATTTGGCTAGGAGGGAACAGCACCTGCAGACATTTGTTGAAGTAAGGTACCAGATCTTGAACAAATACGCTGCATAGACGGCTCAGTTGGTCATGCTCATGGTCATCTAACATACTCTCTTCGGCTCTGAAAAGTAAAAGATTGTAGCTTATTTTTTCATCCTTTGTTTCATTAATTAATTTTTCATTTTAGATTAATAAATTCATTATTCATTTTTCATTCTCGTAAAATTCTATTCAGACCAATTACTTTTTCACTCTTTAAAGTATATCATTTGATTGTTAGTTTTAGGGAGTCCATTCAAAACAACAATGATGTTTTCAAACAAATTAGTTAAAAAAAACCTCAGACCCATCCCCCTCCTAATTGGTTTTAACATTTTACATACTTATGAAACGCGAGGATCCCCTTAACGATGACATCCAATGAGTCATGTAGTAGAGCCGTGACATCGTATGTAAGAGCTATTGGGGCGCAGAGTCGAAGCTCGTTAAATGCTGTTAGCATGTCATTGCAGTACTGCGCCAATGGGGGAAACTCCAGGAAAACATTAGGCGGCTGCAACTGGCCAGTCTATAACAACAAAATAACTAACATTTTCATAAAAATAATATAATTCATTGTTTAACATTGATAGTATTATGGGTATATCAAAAGCCACGCAGGAGAAAAAATGAATTCCTATTATATGGTAGCACATGCCTATTAAATTAAAACGACTTGTACCACTTGATGTGTTCAAAGACATTGTGCAGTGTATGCATATTTTACTGAAGTTGGAGAATGAAGAATGTAGGTTTTTAGTCCTATGTACAAATCTGAGAGTATTTCTCTTAACTCTCTGAATCTTAACTTCAAAACATTTAACTACAAGCATGAAAAATACTAATGTTTCTTTCAATGTATGTAAAAAACAATTTTACCGTGTTGATCAATAATACCAGTTCTGACAAAAAGGCTCTCAGTTTTTATCCCAAAAATGCACATGGCGTGTAATTGTAACTGCATGAAAATAACAGTTGTATCATAACCATAGTTTTATAATTGTACAATCATAATTGTATTTTTATTAACAGGGGTGGCTATTTTATGAGATCAATGTGCAAGTACCTGTGAAGGCAGAGAATATGAGCTGCTAGGAAGGAGTCCACTAGTTGTTACAAGATTATAAGACTGCATTAAATCATCAAAACGACCATTAGCTGCTACAGTTGCATTTCTAAATCCCTGGAGGCAAGCATTTTGAAATATCGGCGCCAGAAGTCCTCGGAAATCGGCCCCAACCCGGCTGAAGGATAGTCCGAAGTACATGCACTGTCCCAGCAAGGAGTCTAGTCGTGCCCCTATACCACGACTCAGGTCATCTTTCAATGTTTGAAGGAACTGTGACACCTACAAACAATGGATATAGAGATTTGAAAAGTACATTACTTTAAAGTTTAGTTTAGCTTATTTATCTATTTAAAAACATAACAAACACCCAGTCTAATATATAATTACAATGTTGGTTAATTAAAACACAGAATGAAATCCTGTGACAAGGGGTGATATTATACGATTTGTATCATTTTGTTCATCACTCATTATAAAGTTTTCTTCAAAATTATTATCTTCATAAAAATATGAATGAAAAATCTTCTCAATAGGCTTTCAAAAGATAAGAAAAGGAAATTTCAAGGAATGGGTCCATCAGCTTTTCATTCAAACAAAGAAACATCATAAAACTGAAAACATAAAATTTACACATATTGCAAAATATATAGTTAGGGCCACTTAAAAGAAATTATTGGGTACAAAATGCTTTTGAAATGAAATCATGTCTTATCACTTTGACCAACAAAGTTGCTGAATAAGTTACGTTTTGCTCCACTTGAAAAGTCAAAGTACAAGAAAATCACACAGGTGTATGTAACATACGAAACATAATCAAACAAAAAATACTTATAAATCACATGTTAGGATAGAGGAATTAATTTCTGTTTTGTATCACTAAGGTCTGATGTAAAAGGGATAAGGCAACTTTTTGACAAATATTGATTAATTAAAACACATAATGAAATCCTGTGGCAAGGACTGATATTATACGATTTGTATCTCTCCTAAAACTATGTTCTGTGGGATGATATCAGTGGAGACGATAACCCCATTTAACGTGAAGTACTGCAATTGCCATATTGCACGACAATTGACGTGAAATTATGAAGCATAAGTGCGCATGTCAATAGATAATAACGGCAATTGCCGTCATGTCCGTCAAGTGACGTGCAATATTTTGCATGGCAATTGACGTGCAAACTATTATCTTGTAAAAAGTTTCACATATTATCGGCAGGACAACAGGCAGTTATAAACTGGGAAACTAGTGGGTAAATCATGATCTGCATCGTATGTAATAGTTATAATCATAAACAATTGCTATTGTCCGGGTTGTATTTTGAACTCACAACTATTATGATGTGCTTACGTCAATGTTTACAAGAAATATTTATTCAACAGCAAACCGGAAGTAAACAAATGATGGAAAGAAAACTAATAAATTCTAATCTAATGAGGATAGGAATTTAAATTTTTTATAATTCATTTAATTAATCATTAGATCACTATAAAGAAGGTTTAAAAACTAATCTAGCCAGGAAAAAAACGAAAAAATCGGCAACACACCGAGGTCAGGAAAACACTTCCGGTCAAAAATAAGTGGGAAAGTAGACCCCATTTTAGTGATTTCCAGTGGTCTTTTCTCGGAATCGGGGCACACGTAGTGTTAAGAGATTAAAATACCATTGGGTCAGTACCAACTTTGTCGTAAAACCCGTCGGATAGACGATATCTAGACAGTTGAAAGAGTATTAGTAATTCCAATATGGCGTTTTTCTAGGATTCGTGAGAGGTAACTTTGATTAGTTCTAGCGCAAAATTCCCAAATAGGATCGCGAATTCCTGCATACAAGTGCTAGATTAGATTAAATACTTGAAGAAAATGCAATAAAAAGCGTTCCGTCGATCGATTTAGACTTTCCAAGAATGCAAGTTCGGTGGTGACTTCATTGGTTCGTAACATTGACAGGAAAAATCACAAGATTGAACGGCATTTTTCTCCACAATTTTGGAATGAAATACTTCCCTGGGATTTAATATATCATTAATGTGTACCAAAGTTTAAGTACTATAAAAGAAATATTACTTAGATTGTATATATAATATATTAAACACTAGGTCTTCTAATTAACCTGGTGTTTAAATTTTGAATTACAATGAACATTATGCTTATTGGCGTGATTCACGTCAATTGACGTGCAAAATGGCAACCTCCGTGTTACACGTTAAATGGGGTTATCGTCTCCACTGGATATACAAGGTTGGATATGCTAAACATTGTATTCCTTCACCCAAGCCTAAATTGCGAATAATCAGGTTATCATTTTAGATGCCTATGATTTAAGTTCAAACACTTCCAGTAAAATATTCAAGAAGCTTATGTTATCAAAACATATGGTAATTTTAGAATTTCGAAGAATGAAAGCAATAAAGCTCTTTTTTATGAAATGCAAAAATATGTCAAAAGGCAATAATTTTTAGAGGGAGTGAGTTAAATATCAATGTATGCCATACCTACTGAGGTTCTAAGTATACAATGAGCGGGGAATACATAAAGTATCTTTCTTTTTATTATAAATATGTGTGAATGTGTGTTGCCTTAGCCAATACTAATGGCACTTCACATTTATTTCTCTATGAGAGCCATAGGTCAACAACCTCCATGGCCAAGATATCCTTACATTAAAGCCACTTAATGCCTATATTATTCTTACTTTGGAACCATTAACTTCACTTGATCGATTCTGAGGAAGTTTTGGGTGACATTTTGCGTGAAATTGAGTCATTATCAAACTATTGACACACATTTAACATAACTGCCACTTTTAAAATTGATCGTTCTCAAAATGAAAATAATTTCAGAAAATCCCATCATTTTGGGAAAACCTTATAATGACTAAGGAATTTTACAAGTTTTCACATTTATGGTAAATGGTCACCAAATGAAGTTAATCATAGTATATCTTAAGTGGATGACATATGCTATACTAGAGCCATGTATTCGAAGGATTTTAAAAGCAAATCTGACCAACCTTTTGCACGACCCATCCATGGAATAATGAAGCCTCATTCATAGAATCTTCCTTATTTGGAGTAAATATCGGGTCTTCATCGCTAAAGATGGCTCTGTACTGGGTAATGACGTCAAACAGATGTACACGACTCGCTTCTATCGTTTTGGTAATATGGAAGTATGCTAAAGAAACAAACAATTTAAAATACAGTCTTCAAGGATACACTGACATTTTTCTCTGGCATAATGATTTTATGTATGCAATAATATTAGATAGATATATATTTTATATACAGCATATAAATGAGGTAACCATGGAAACCATGGTGTTGTAATATTATTCCAATTAAAAAGAGAACAAGACTTTGTATTTAGGGATGTTTTGAGAAAAATACCCTTTGAATGTCATGATAACCTAGAAGATGTTACATGTAATTCACTAGCTTTTGTTACCATATTTGGTAATGTATAAATTAAAGGGTAATGTGGCACTTACCATCATCTCTTGGAATGCCCTTTAGAATTCCCTGAAACCATGAATCTCTAGCCTGCAAATAGAGAATACAGAGTGAACTATCCTTACTCGGTTTGTTTATTTCGCGGTATGAGGAAAGAAGTTCTATTAAAAACCTGTTTGGGGACTTCAATGGTATACTACAGCACCATCTTTGGATAGAATACTCTAATTTGCAGGCATATAATGCCCAGAATAACTGGGAAACATGTGATCATTACAGTGAACGGTAAAATCTTTGGGATTATTTTCTGCAGATGAATTGGTCAATGTACATACTGTACATTTGGTGACATTTTGGTACTCCCATTATGTAAGCGAGCAGAACTTTTGATTTTCGTGGGATATTTTTGTTGAAATTTTTTTGACATGAAGTTGAGATGTTTTGCTGTATTTCTCTGAAATTTTTTGATCATAAAATGTTTCAAAAAATATCATTTCAACATACAAATAGATGTATTATGATAAGTTACAATTATTTGAAAGAAATGTTTTGATATTGTAATAAATAACAAATGATCAAACAAACGGTCATAAACTTTGATTGCATTATTTGTAAATCTATCATTTATCAGAGTTTCTAATGTAGCTTCTATCTTATTTTTTCATGAATAAATATGTTTTCAAAGTAAAACGTTAAAGATACCTACCTGTAGGAACTTAATTCTCAGTTCAAGTTCTGTGAAGACATCCATCCGTCTGAGATAACCAATAACACGCAGACACGCTGGCAGCTGAACATTGGTACGCAACTGTTGTATAAGCTGAGACAACATAAGCTGACTGCACACTTTCACCTCAGACACGATGCTCTAAAATAAAGCATTTAACACTTATATGTACAGGAAAATGTAAAGTGTAGCAAGGCATAACATGCAAACTGTCACCATTTGCAATTTGATACAGAAACTGACCACCAATCGCTAAACACCAACCACTGAACACCAACAACCGAACGTATAAAGACTGTCCACAAAAAAGTTGGACACTACCCTCTTGCGGGGTCTCCATGTTTTTACTAAAACTATATCTTGTTTTGAGTAGTTATGCAAGTTGTATCATTGTTAAATTATATAATTTCATATGTTGCCTTTTCTTTGTGGTTTTCATTCATTTGTCTATTGTCTTAAATTCTATTGAAACCCATGCAGACAGTGACCACTATTTCTTTCTAAATTTGCACCCATATTCCTGTACTATGGGAACAGCTAATCCACTGCATGTATTAACCTGTAGTACGGGTATAGCTAAATGATAACCATTTGATGTAATTACCTGCACTACAGGTATAGCTGAATGTTTCTTTTCCAACCTGCGCACATATGCTCCCAGTTCAAGTGCCTCCTCATAATAACCATTGCGTACACATGTATCCATCAACTGGGGAACCTCCAGGATCTCCAGCAACTGTGTATGCTTCTGTAGCGTCAAGGAGTTCATCCTACGGCTGAAATAATTATTAACAGTATGTTGGTCATGAATATTGAGATTCAAGTATAGTACAAAATGTTGCTATGGTGATTCATCAAAAAAATGAAAAGATCACAAATTCTGAGTTCTCTCGTACCACTATTTTTTAGCGTTTTGGTCAATATAATGGATATAGTTCCACATTCCTATCCGGCCAACCCTCATCTTAACATTATTTTCAACAACTGTACTTAAACCCAGAGGCAACAGCCTACTTACCTTGCATGTATATTCTGTGCTTGAGTCATGAAACCCTGGCATTGTTCAGACAGTTCAGGTAGGCCCTCCAACATAGAAGCGACACTCTTCTCTATGATTTGAAACTGAAATAAACATTTAACTAAATAAAGAAACCTATAAAAAGGGCATAAGGGAAGTACTTTTTCTGAATTCAATGAAATATGCAAATATGCAAAGAAAACGGGTTTTGAATCAAAAATGGCTTGTGGTTTGACAAATATTAAATTCTCTTTTTTCAAAACATAAAATTTCCATGATATCATTTACTGATGACCATCGATTGACAACACAACAAGCAATGTTCTAATTCTTACATCTTGAAAGATTTCCTTTGAACATTCTGCTGTCTGAATGAATGTCTTGTAGTTGTGGAAAGCAAGATCTTGAGTCTCCTCTAGGATGGTGGCCCGCTCTTCAGCTAGTCTCTCCGGCTCTCTACCTATAAGTAATAGTTTTAGTTTAGTTTTAGCTTTAGTTTATTTCAGTATCACTGGGGTAACACCTTAAAAATCATCAAATAAAACAATTTTTACGTTTCTTACACTAGCTGGTGTTGACTTATCAGACACTTTTTCACTTAATGCAGAATGTTTGCATTTGCTACCCCTATGACAACTTGGGTCAGCATTAACATGGTTAAGAGAATAATCAAAGTACATGTAATATTCATCTATAAAGTTAAATCAGCCTGACATCTATCAATCCAAAAATTCATCAGAAATACATTATAACGTCTATAACTCAGCTGCCACAATATGAAATGGAGATGTTGTTACAATACCCTAATAATAAATATAAAGATACATTACACTTAAAGCTTATAACCATTGGTGTTGAAATGTAATGATATAAATACTAACTTAGTTTATCTACGCCAAATGAGCTAAGTTCAGCAAGGTATTGTGCAAAGTCAGAATTATCCCTCCAAGTATCTGGAAAATAAATTTTATGTAAGAATTCATATGCAACTGGTAGGTGCTGATTTCGTTTTGAATAAACCTTTAGAATGAGTGTTTGTCTAAAAGACAAACCATTAAGTCACTCTCTATGGTAGGGTTAAGCAGTTCAGTGGTCAGATTTTTATACAGATCTTAGTATTGTTCTTGTTTGCAACTAAATATAATGGATTTACTTAAAGATGACAAATACAGAAATTATTCAATCAAGGCAATAAAGGTGTACGCGATGGTTCAGAATGACAACAATATTATCATCTCCCCTGTTGAAGAGCTGTTGAATTCCGGGAACAGATTTTTTACATCTGGGTTTTTCCCCATTGAAATATACTAAGTCAGATTTTGAATACATCATTTCAGCATTATTTGACATTCCTCTTCACGGATATTTGCACAATCGATAAAATATAGGTCCTTAAGGCAATCTGCAAAGCGTTTTCACGAATATTTTTTGAAACTGACGATAATCATGAAATGTTCTACGGTGACGTCACCGACTTAGTTCCCGGAAGCCGGGACTCGATGACTCGACATGAAAAAGAAGCAAGTTCTTGTGTAAATAACGCAGGTTTGATGTCATGTTTATATATATGTTTGACTTATATCAATTGTGAGGGTTGTAACTTGAAATTAGTATGACCTTTATCGTCCCGACAATACGCAAAAATATGGTTTTGAGGTTGGGAGAATTTGGTTTAATCAATGGACCAATGAAAATTTGTCCCACTTAAAGTGATGCATTGCGGGAGATATTTATGTTACTGGCCATGTTTTCGTCTATCGTCTATTATTTGGTCAATTTAGGTCCAATTAAGGCTGTGGTGCAACAAGTCAGGACATGAAAGGGAGTGTGCTAAATTCAATGCCCCATGAAAAAATCTAATCAAGGACCATCTGCTCCATAAACTGATGATGATCTGCCCTCTGAAGAATAAGGGCACTACAGTTGAGACAATCATTCTTGAACCGTAGAATAAAATATCAAATTTTCACTGGTGATGACTTCAAACGAGACCAGCTTTGAATCACAGGAAAAATCAAGTGCCCTTGTTGCACATGTACTCCTCAAACTACAGTACGCTTACAACCCATAACCCCAGGCCTGTCATCTTGGGAACACATAAAAGGAGTGACTTAAAAATGTTGAACACCTTCCTTCAAGTTGCAAACACCTTGGTCCAAATTTTGAACACCTTGGTTCAAACAGGGACATATAAATCATGTCTCTGGTTCAAATTTTATTGCATTCATCCAAATTTTGGAAACCAAAATTTGGGAAATTTGCATCCCTCGCGTTGACGAACTCCAAACAAATTATGTCCGGTTTTTTCAGCATTCATTTTTTGATGGACTACTCGGGAAATATTTTTGCTTGACAATAATCAGAAAAATGTGCATTTGCATGACAGATTTTGTTACGCCAAAAATAAATGGCGAGACTTCAATTTCTTCTGCAAATAAGCAAATTGCAGGACAGTTGACAGGCCTGTAACCTATATAACTATAGTCCGGGAACGGGATAACTGTAACCCTTACAGAGCTTGATATAGAAACAATGAGGATAAAAAGGAAGTCCAGATCGATATTTGTTTATCAATAACTCTGATAAAAATTACTATGGCAATGCATCCAATTCATATCATCAATTCACCATCATACCCCCTAAAAATAAAAATGAAAAAAAAAATTGTCAAAAAATTACGATAATTTCCTCTAAAACAGTGTGAAAAAACGGGTTAAAACATTCCAAACCCTTCACACGCACAAATTTAACTATGCAGAATGAAACAAACCTGGAAAAGAGCCTTGGAATATCGCGGACAACACACTTTCGTCTTCCAAATCTAAACTTGCCATTTTCCAACTTGGCACCGGAAGTAACCAGGTAACTTTCACGCCATCTATAAATGAAATATGAAATCAATGCTTAGTTGAAAGCCCATGCACTTGTGCAGTGATGTGTGGTTTGACTTTGAAGTATGTTCAATTCAAAGATTGCATTCAGTTTATCTCACACTAAGCCAAAATAAAAATACAGGGCCTTCATTATGAATGCTGCATGTCAGTGCAGAAAGATATTGGCTGACTGTGATCCTATTTGATTGGCTCATAATAATTGTGTCGCTATCATCAGTCAACGGTTTCTGCAAGTCCCTAATCTTTTATGTAAGTTAAACTCCAATCTTGGCGTTTGAAACTCTAATTACCTGGTCATCATTGGATTGTGCAGCATGTGTTTCTGTTATCAGACATTGTGAATGGGATTTCTTTGCAATTTTATTTGATTGTGCTCGACTTAGATTCTTACTCAAGCACAACCAATGAAATTACCAGTGTCTATTTCATACTTGAGCACAACCGATGAAATTAGCCAGTGTTTCATCAATCATGTCAATAGTGACTGGCAAATTTCAATGTGCTCAAGTAAGTATCTTCGTACTTAGAGCACAATCAAATAAAATTGCAAACAAATTACCAAGATTGGCTATCGCTATCGAGGTCAAGTATCAGAGACAAGCTGACGACAATATCGTACCTTAGTTTATAAGGTACGATAAAAAACATGAATAGGGACAGGGCTACCAAGAAACTGGAAGAGGATGTTGTCATAGTGTTCTAAAAGATCAAGAGAAATCTAATGATAATTTTTTTTCATGCTGAATACTGCATAAGTATCCATTGTGTCCATTCAGATGGGCATCAGTAAATATCTATAGGAGTCTGATTTAGGTTTCAAAGTTATGTTTACATGCAAAATTTCACAATCTGCTATTTGTTACAGACGCCGAACTCCAAATGCTAAACACTGTCCACAAAAAGTTGCAAACTATAACAATGTCATAACAGGTTGTGGTGGTTTTGATGACATAAAAAACAATTTTACACACAATATCTTTCAAATTCCTTAAAACATGATTGTTTCATAAATATTCCTGGGGGAGGAGCTCCTTTGTTCGACGGAGAGTTTGAGTAACATAAGTTTTATAAAATGGAATATACAATAAATAATGTATATATTTATTCCTCATTGATTGTTTACATTGGAAAGTATTACTATAGAATAAAATAACATTCTAACATTTCCACATTTATTAAGAGACGTCACAGATACCCGAATTTGTCTTGTTATTTTTTGGCCACTCTGTATATGATTTTATTTTACAACAATTTTTGCTGCTTCTTTATCAGATACAGTATAATGTTCCCAACTTTTCTCAGGGTCATATGGCTCCCAACGACTCGCAGGGAAAATATGTTTATTCCTCTCATACCAGCTTCTCAATGTTACTTTTCCAGCATGAGACTCGTCCTTCTCAATCCTAGAGTCACTTATAATACGAATATCATCATGAACGTCAAAATTAAACAACGGTCCACTTTTTCCACGGGCTTTTGTCACGATAAAGTCATAAAATGTATAATGATGGGGGATGATAAGATCTTCTTTGACGTACATCAACTGGTCAACAGTTACTGCTTTTAGTTCATTAAAATCTTTGCGCAGATTTTCGAGACATCGTAATAAGAATTGCTGGATACTGTTGCCCTTTTTCATGCGAGCTTGACGCCGGTGTCCAGAGCCATCCCAGTAACTGTAAGTTATTTCTATTGGTTCACTTTTTATCTTTGCTTGTTTATCTGCCCATTCCCTCCTTAGCTCCTCTCTGAAATAAAAATATTAAATGAATTACAGATTGCCTTTCGTGAATTATACAATTGCTTATTTGGCACAAAATGGAAAAGATAAATGAATCAAACTTCAAAATTCAACTTGGTATAACACCATGCATAATTGCAGTAAAGAAAAATGCTTTAACTTCAAATCTCAACAAAATCAAAATATCAAAAAGATTCCTTTATTTTTTCAGAGAAATTCCCAAAATAAAGGGTTTCATTTTTAGTTCAGTTCAGCCTGTACATAAGATTCCATACAGATGATGACATAATCATGACAACAGAAAATAAACAAACAGTGATAAATATAACACTTTTTGTTTGCAAAATGGCCACCAAGTAATTTACCTAGAGCATGCCAAGAACCTAATCAGATCTTGGCATTAATCTACTCTGGTTGCATTTGTTAAAATTTCAATTTGAACAGCTAAGTGGTTTTGCTTGAATTTTTGATTTTGATGACAAGATTTATGTGGTGCCCATCCACCAAGACACGCACACACCCATCAGCAGAAGACTGCAATATATCATTTGAAAAAATGTGATAAAAAATAATTGATTTCATTGGATTTGAAACTGTGATCTGCCAATTTTCAATAACATATGGTCTTTGGACACGTAAACTTGGCAGCAAAGAGTGGGAAAAGCCAATTTTGCTAGCATACTAGAGAACATACTATGGAGTTAGAAAGTGTATACCTGAGCACGTTATCTTCCTCTTCCCTGTCTCTGTCTGGAAGGAAGCTTGTGTCAACATCTGGATTCTTGCCTGAAAGTAAAAAAGCCATTACACGTACATGTACATTGTATAATTGCTCTTCTTCATATCACAGACATCACTCATGGATTACATATAGATTTATTACCATGAAAACCTTCTAACCTTCGTTGAATTTTTAGTCAAGTGCAATTGTTACACTGGCACAAAAATCCTTCATTACAAAGCTAACAAAGCTTTTTAACCATGCAGGATGGTTTCATAAATCTACAGGTAATGAACTAGATGCGTGTAGAAATAATCTTGGCTTTCATCATCTAATATTCAATATACAGTCGAACATGATATAATATTTGAAATCCATATACAAAATATAATAAATAAATTTCAACGTTGGGCAGAATACAAATAGAGCCTATATTAAAAATATTTAAAAGGGATTAAAGAATATTATCAAACTGAAAAAGGTAAGATGAAACTTTATCTACTAAACTCCTTCACTTTTCAAGTTTAAGGGAACTTTTTGTAAGTCTGCCACACCCTGAGTCGGCAACCAATAAATAAAATGGGTATTACAATTTGTTGCCATAATAATAAATGCACCAGGCTATGTGGACCCTCGTATAGCTTTGCTACTTTGTAGTCATGTAGTTCAATATATAATACATCAGATTTTACAACTTTAAAGAAAAATTAAAACATCTTTTTGAATTCTCGAAAATCTGATCTGGCTAATGAAATATTACCATGCGACTTTAATACTATTAATATGCTACTATTCGATGTTCAGTTACCCCTGTGTTAAACATACTCAGTTTAAAATTAATATGCATTGAGAGTGACAAATGCTCACCAAATCTCTTCTTTTTGAAAGCAGGACCTGCATCATCATCATCTGTTTTCTCTTGTTTCACCTTGACAACTGTTTCTTCATCTTCTTCTTCCTCTTCCTCCTCATCTGGGTCAAATGACAAGGCAGCTTTCTAGAAGAAACATAAATAAACATTGTGATCATTTCATTGTAGAGTAAACCAATACCAAGAGTGTTCTACTAGGGTTCTTATCTCAAGTGGGTGGAGAATTCTTGTTTTCACAATTTAAACTAAATTTGATCAAAATATGACTATTTTTCATTTTTCTAATTTTCAAGTAGGGGTTAATGGATTCACAGGAGGATGCGAGCCTATTTATAAAATCTCAAGTAGGTACAGCACCCCCTTGCTTTAATGCTGAGGAGATCACTTGCTCCTATATTCACTCAACCCATTCTCAAATATAAATTATGCACCAAAGTGAAGAGATTTTATCTTTATTACGAGCCATATTTCTAAAATATATACACAGTACAAATTTCTAAAAGAACCCTAACAAATTTTATCTCTAATATTAATCAATGCCACTTATTTTCTTGTCACAGTAACAGTTTTTCAGGAGTCATCAAGTGCAGAGATAATACTCATACTTGTTTTTTATCCTTTCTTTTCTTCTCTTTTTCTTGTTTGGTTTTAAGACGTGCCTCAGCATTATCTATTGCCAGCTGTTTCTCACGTTCTCTAATCACATCTTCCTGTTTTGCCTTCATCTCATCCAAAGTAACAAGACCTATAAAATATATAAAATGGTTTATGATTCCAATTTATACGCAAAAGTAAAGATTCAATAAATTTATCAGAAAATGTCGCTTTTTAGTATGCGACATACTTTGACATACATCATTCTATCACAATATTTAAAATGTACTAATGTAAATGTTATAGTCCACCGGTATAGCTCAGCGGTAGCAAAGGTACCTCTAACGCATTAGGTCCTGGATTCGATCCCCAGTTCAGGCAAAACTTATTTTGCTTGTTTGCGTAAAGTACTTCAGGGTGTTTGACTGAGTGGTCCACAACTCGAACAAAAGGCTGTGGTGTGTACTTGTATGTCAATGTATGGGTGAACATAATAGGACACAGGGCTCCTTTGAGGAGGGGTTTCTGGGTCTATATTCCAAGCTAATTACATTAATTACGACCATATATATATACAGGATATACCCAAGAGGTATAGCTCACCTTCATTGGTGGCCTGGTACACAAAATACAATACAAGTACCCTGGTAATTTTCCATAAATGCGACAAAGGCAGAATCTTTGTAGTTTAAAATAGGTGGACAGGCTTAACACTGACATGTTCATCTAGATGTTACCTTTAGAGATGATGTCAAATTCTCAACAGTTGTGGGAAAACAAAGTTTATTAATTAGGGGAGGGGGGCATTTTATAAAGATTTGAAGTTTTGGTGAATGGTGTGGCAATTTGGCAAATTCACACTTTTGTCATGACGAAGGTAGGGGTAATCTCAAATGAAGTTAACTTTGCTTTCCGCAACAGTCAGCATTTAGACACACCATCTCTCAATTCGTTGGAGTTACCTACAAATGTGAATAACGTACTAACCTATTGTATCAGACTTAAGTTTCTGCTCCACTGCATCGTAATGACTTGCAAACTTGTTGTGAATATTTCCAAGTTTCAACTCTTCTTCAATTTTTTTCTTCCTCATCTCAGCATCTTCTTGCTCTTTTTGTCGCTTTTTCACCAAATGGTAGGCCCTCTGTGCCTCCTTCACTGAATACGCCATCTTGATATATCTGAAAATGACAGTCCCTTGATGAGTCATTACTTAAATTACCATAGTTCTGTTAATAATTGCCAAAGGAAACAAGATACAAAAAAGCTGTAGATAATGTGTACAGAAGCATATTATACGTACATGTTTTAGGTATTAAACACATACATGTACGAGGGTATATCATAAAGTTCTCATAATATCTCTCTAATTTTTTTATTTTTCAATATATTCTGATAAATTTTTTACAGAATGTGTAGTATACAATGCTGCATTAATCTATCAAAACATATTTTGTATAACAGAAATATTATTTAAGAAATGGTTGCCATAGTAACCAGAAATCAAGGCACCCGGGGCAAATAAAAAATCGTGCATGAATTGCCCGAACTAACCATTTTTAAATGAATAATAAGTTATCAAATAAGCTATGAAACACATCAAATTGTTAAGCACCATGTATTCTTGACTGTTTTGAACTATTAAAATGGTCATGTGAATTTTGTGATCTCATAATGGATGATTGTAATGCTTCATTAGAAGTGATGTTAGACACTACAACTGTTTTGTCAAATATTCCAAGGAAAGTCGATTTTCCACTTTAGTTCATCTTAAATAAATAATAGGCCACACATAAGGTGTAATTTTGTTGATATCTTTGCAAAATATTTGCATTAGATCATCTTTAGTATGAGCATGGGCATTCAACTGAAAATTATTTTTCTGATGATCACTGCATCTATGCATTACCTAACTCAGTCATTTCTGATCATTACGCTTTGATTCTCAGAGTCTGATATCACATCTAATGAAGCATGTAAGCATCCCATATGACATCACACAATTCACATGATCAATTTATTTTAAAGTAAAAGCATTTAACAACATATTCAAGATAACATTTTAATGTGTTTGATAATTTATGAGAGTTTATTTTGTATGTAAACAAGGTTAATAAAGCTCATTATATCTCAATTATTTTTATTTGCCCCGGGTGCCTTGATTTCCGGTTACTATGGCAACCATTTCTTATCTAATATTTCTGTTAAACTAAATATTTATTGATAGATTAATAAAGTATTCTATACTTCAGATTCTACGAAAATTTCATGAGAATATATCATACACAATGAGTTGTGATGCATTATACATTTTCTATCTCTGTGCATCATTGATTTTGATCTAGGGCTGTGCCGGAATCGGTTCGGACGGTTCGGAATCGGAACTTTGTCTAACGGAATCAGAACTTTCTGAACCCCCTTTGGACAACAAATGAAAAGAAACAAAAAAGAAACAAACCTACTTAATAAAGTGAAACGACAGTGTCTTGGCATAATTTGCACATCGTTTTATATTTGTTTTGATTGATTGGAAGTAAAACTCCAAAGTTAACTTACAGACAATCGATCTTTTATCCCCCTCTCCTAATGATTTGGTCTTACCAGCCATTTTCACTTTCGTGTAAATCTAGATGGCAAACGGAGATATGTATGAAGTGTATCAAAATATCTGTCATAGGCGACTATTTACTCTGATGTACCATAAATCAAGTTACAGACTTGCCAACCTAAAATGAAAAATTTTCGGGAGATTTAAAAAAAATTGCGGTACTTTTACGGGAGTTTTTTTCAAAATCTGGTAGTTTTTGCGGGAGTTTTTTGAAAAAAAGCAAGAGTTTTTACGGGAGATTTTTGAAAAAAACAGTAGTTTTTACGGGAGATTTCAGAAAAAATGGGAGTTTTTGCGGTAGGTTCTGAAAAACTGGAGTTTTTACGGTAGGTTTTGAAAAAACTGGAGTTTTTGCGGAAGATTTTTTTAAAAACGGCAGTTTTTACGGTAGATTTCTGAAAAAACGGGAGTTTTTACGGTAGATTCTGAAAAAACGGGAGTTTTTACGGTATTAAATCCAGGTATTAAATAATTGGTTGAAATTATTATGACGCATGCCCAGTTAATAAATTAATTAGAACTTACAATCTAAGATAGGTGTCACTTACGTTCATTATTTCACAGCAGTCCCTACCTATAATGCGCCTTATATTGCGGGAATATTTTGTTTAGCGCCATTTAAAAACAAAATGTATTCTCCCGACAGAATATGAACTGGCCCCCGTTTGTAGACATTTGGTGTGCAAACTTATACCGAACTGATCGCAGAAAAGCAATTTGAATCATGGGAATGAAGCACTTTTAAGTTATTTATGAAAGTATCGATAGTGAACCATGGGAGCCAATCCTTCTTGGAGTAAAAGAAAGAAGCGTGCCTGCAATAATCAAGGTCACAAATTTGTCAAATTCCTTTTAAATACGGTAGATTTTGACAGCAAAAAACAGAGATTTTACAGGAGTTATACCAAGAATACGGGAGATTTTACTGGAGTTATACCAGAAAACGGGAGATTGTACGGGAGTTATACCAAGAATACGGGAGATTTTACGGGAGTTATACCAGAATACGGGAGATTTTACGGAAGATTTCAGCAAAAATACGGGAGATTTTACGGCCATATTTTTAAAAAAAATTACGGGAGATTTTAGTAGAAATACGGTACGGGAGTTTATGAAAGTTTTTACGGGAGAAACGGTACGGGAGTTTGGTATTTTTTACGGAAAAACAAAAAATTTACAGGTTGGCAAGTCTGAGTTATCTTAGATAATTATAAAAACTGTATGTTGTGAAGATCGCACTTTATTTATTTTTATCTGTGAGTGATTTTGTCCCTTCGATTCCTATTTCCAGTGAAAACTGAAGGTCATTCTCTCAAATCAAAACTTGATTTCATCGCTATTTACTATATTTATGCGACTAATACACTTGTATATTTGACGCAGTTTGAGGGAAAACATTACCGGGGAAACGCTGGACTTAAGATATTAACCACTCATCACCAATAGAGGTAAGGTTCTGATGTTTGTTCCGAATACCGGTATTCAACCAAAAGTTCGCGGTTCAGACGGATCTAGGTCGAATGGCACGGCCCTATTCTGATCAATTATGATTTTGATCACAAAAGAAGAATTTGATATGGGTTGCTTACTAGTCTACCTATTTCATGGCCTGACTGATTCACTGGAATAAAAAAAAAAAAATTAGAAATTTCCAACTAGACGGAGTAGCAAGAATACTGACAGTATTCACCAGTTTGCATGATGGAAAATGTTTGAATTTATACATACCGCACGTTTCTTATTGTTTTATATGAATTATATGAATTTCCGGAGAGATAACAGCAAAACACTGAGAGGAAATTTCAGGAACGATTTCAACCGGAACTAAACTAACTTGTTAGTGCGCATGCGCATCTATTGTTTCCGGTTAAAAAAGTAAGTTAAAAAATGTAGTTACTTATTTGTCTTTTTGTGAAATTAGATTTATCCTAGTGGATATTTGAAATTATCAAATAGGGGATCATGTAACATTTAAACAGCTGTAGTGATTTGAAATCATATACATTTGAAATGAGTCGTGCTATTTTTCATTTTCTTTAATTTTATCATTTTATCGCCCATGCACATATCAAGGAGGATTGGCTCCCAGAGTGCACCACCGATATTCTGTCCCATATATGGTAGCGGTGACCTTTGACCTCACAGGTTTCAAAATGGCTTCCGTGCTAAAGAAAACAAGCGGAAACCTGTCACGTGTCAACAAGGCCAAAGGTCACGCTACCATATATGGGACAGAATATCGGTGGTGCACTCTGGGAGCCAATCCTCCTTGGCACATATTATACATTCTAAAACCAGCCTACAGCAAACATTCTCTCAAAGCCCAAAAATGAAGCAGTTGTCTCAAATTGCATAGATATACATTTCAATCTTTAAATTGGCAAGTATATCAGAATGTCCATCAACCAGGTCCACTGTCAGCTGCCCTGAACAATTCATCTGGCGTACCTTTCTACATCTCTCCATTCCCGGTAGTTCAGCTTCGTTAAACTCAATAATGAAGTTCTTTACTATTAGGAATTTTCTTGCCCGTTATTGAGTATAACCTCCTTACTATTCTTTCCTTGCAAGTTCTGGATCTTTCAAAAGCATTTTTCCGCGATACCATGCAACTGATACTTGACAATAATATAAAAACACATAACATCAAGCGATTTAACACAATATTGTTGTGTTCAATGTTCTTTTATACTCGTAAAATGAGGCTACACTTACCAATCTCTAAAATGACATTTCCACATGTCCGTCATTGTGTCTGTTCGTCCGCGGGTGTCCCTGGTTAAAATTAAAATATTAGGGAAACAAAATTGTTGTCAAATAGATTGATGATTATTATCGCGATTACTCGGGATAAAAAGATCAATTTTGAGGATAACAGGTATCTTTGATTGATTTATATAGCGTGTGTATTCACGCAAAATAGTTATTAATTGCAAACCTACTGTTTGTTAATGCAGTGTTGCAATGACGGTTAATTTCTGATACAATTTGCAATTTCGATGTTACCAGAACTGACAGACATTTTTGTCATATTCCAAATCGTGATTATGCATCAATAGGGTCTAAGGGGGATACGGGATGGTGTGTATGTATTCATAAGGTATGTATGCATGCTTGAATCACAGATGCTTCATATGAATATGATGCATCTTTCGACAAACTGAAGTGTGATGGTCAGCATGAACTGAACTGTACAGTATATCAGGCAAAACATATTTGCGCAAAGTTTCCTTTTTTCCTTCAGATCATTATAGCGATGAGGCCTGATGAACATAAACAAAAGAAAAATACTCAGTACAAGAAGAAGCATGGGATAAGCTCGAAAAAACAAGAAAAAACAGAAGATTCTGGGAAAGATGGAAAGAAGTTTAAAGACACAAAACAAGGAAAATCTGGACCCAAACAACCCCCAGCAGCAAGAACATATAGAGATGACGAAAATGAAGACAAAAGGCTAAATAGACCTGAAGCTTCGGCTCATGATGATCGCATAAAGGTGGAAGCACTTTTAATGTCAAGTGTTATTTAACTTGAAGAATTTCTTTCCTTTCTGTATTTTAGATATTTACATTATTGATTTATAATTTTCAATCTTATGGAAGAGCCAAGATTACAAATTTTACCTTATTTCATTATTTTTACTTCTTCTTTGATCTATGAGTTTGTATTTTTTGTTTTTGCATACAACCATAAAAAATGCACAAATGTGTAAATAAACTACATAAACTGTAAGCTACTGTAACATCCCCTCAACTGATTGTGGTAGCGTGGTTAAAAGAGAGGGAGATGTTATTGGTTAAAATTATGAGCTTTATTCTTAGTTAATTATGGGGGGTGTAAAACATCTGTCTTTACAATGAGTCTTATAAGAAATAAACTTTTATGTCGAAAGAAAGATGGCGCTCTGGCAAAAATCTCTACATCTTGATTATACTTGGAATTGTCTCATAAAGGGGGGGGGGGATAATATCACCTTAAGAAATATAACACGACAAAAGTTATAAAGAAACATATTTACATGTGTATATTGTTTAGATATAAAACATAAAAAATGACAATGGTACAGTACCGATTAGTTATGAATATTCAAACTATGTTCTGGGTGAAGTTTCTATATAAAGTGACTAACATGGACTAACAATGACTAGCACGAATTTTAACAAGTGACTAACATGAGCTAACAAGTGACTAGCAAGTGACTATCAAGTGACTAGCAAGTGACTAACACGAGCTACATGGTTGGAAATTTGCAATATGAATGCCGGAATTTCCAGAGACTGGGAAAGCTGGACTATGGGGTACTTTGGGAAGGGGAAATACATCTCTCTAATAGGATACATGGTCCTGGGACTAGAGGAGATGTAAAGGGGCTCCTGGGCAACTTTTGGGCCGGAGCATTATATACATTTCAAGGTAACTTTCATGCCAAATCTCGCAACAGAATGTCATAAAACATATATCAATTTGTTGATCATCATTTGATTAATACAAATATATATTTACCTAACACCAATAGAGTCGGAATACTGCAAAATCGATCGAAACGTAGGAGATATATCCATTAGCAGCCTTACAGTTGAAATCTAAACAGAACACAAACCAAAATTCTCAACTGAGGAAAACCTTACGCCGAATTAATAAACTAACCTAACAAATAAGAGTATTTCACACCTAACACAGATACCAAAATATGATTAACATAAATACGCTGAATACAGAAGTTGTGATTGAAGTAAATTGCTTATAATTAATGGTAATTACTGGATAAAATCCTGGGACTATATTCTGTACTATTTGTACCTTTAATATCAATACGCCATCACTGAAAAGTATTTATGTGGAGATTGGCATTTTTCTTAGAGAGTGAATATCAGCTGAATGCATATAAACAACTTATAAACAATTAAAGTTAAAATCTAATTAAATACAGAGATAAATACAGTAACAGCACACCAAATAATAAGAGAAATTATGTTATACGTTTATATGAATTTGGTGGGTTGTTACACAGCTTCCCTCTTTAATAAGTGTTCGACCCGAACACGCTTTAAAAATTAAAAATAGAAGTCCTTAATTTGATAAACATGTAATGGCAGCACCTATAATTATAGTAATTCACACTGTCATTATACTACTAGTCTGTATATCGCTGCCTTCTTCTCTGGATCTGCAATATCAAAGTTCAAAAGTTCATTCACTGCAGTTTATTATCTGCCATCATTCATGTCAATGCACCAAATGTTCAAACTTCATGCATTTGAGATTATTGCTCAATGTTCTTTAATGTTCGTTAGATTCCCGAAAAATATGTGGGAGGTCGACAGGTCTGTAGATTGTAGTGGTGAATCATCAGCTTGCATCTGGTTAAGTTGACGTCTTCTGTTCTGCATCCCTGAAACATTGCTACACAGACATCCTATCCTGAAATAGCAATACGCCAGAAAGTAAACCAATAACGGGACAGGGTCACACCATCGGTACATAAGCCAAATTTTCATATTCTTACAAATAAGGGACATGGGACACATCTCCTCATCTACAGGGGCAATTGAAATGATCAACTCATTTCTACAGGGATCAGGATACCTTAACAGGTCATCAATCTTGGATAACTCGTAACATTGGGATGAATATTATTTCATTAATTTCCAGGTATCTCGGGACATTGGGATTTTCCTATGGGACATCCATTCTTATCTGGTCTAACTTGGACTTTTGGATTGATAATGAGATTGTGTTTCATAGAAACAATATATATTCAAGTTTCATAGAAACCTTCCACTTCGAATTTTATTTGAATTCGTTCACCACGGGACAAATGGCTCCATCTTTTGGAACTATATGGAATAATGGGACAGCTTGGGACTATCGGACTATCGCTAATTCGGTCTTTATTAGAACATTACTTGTCTGACTTGGTCTACTTGAAGAACATCCACCTTGTTAATTCAATAAGAACAATGTCTGACTGTTCTGGGACTATATACATTATTTACATTGTCTAAGGGGCTACTGTTTACTAACCAGTCTCCAGCTGGCGAAAAGGACATTTGTACCTTGAGCTCTTTGCCCAAAAGTAACAAACTCAAATGGGAAAGTTGCCCTATATACATCAATTAAGGACTAATTTATATGGGAACAATAGAATCTGGGAGTGTGACTTCACACCAATCGACATCGGATTTAGGCTCAATAACAGACTTCCTACTGTTCAGGACAATTAACCCGGCCGGGGCAATAACAACATTAAAAAGGTATATCGGACCCTTATCACATCAAATACAGTCTCTGAATTATTCAGGGAATCCAGACCCAGAATGCATGGATATTGGATACAAGCAACATACATTGACTATAAGATATTAACCCCTACCCACAGATATTTGACACTCAACTTCCCCTGGGATGGGACATTGATTGCCACTGGTGACAGTTATGGCCAAAACTGCCTCGCTAAATGTGGGCTTTTAGACCACTCTCGATCTAGACCACCCTCGGTCTCGTTATATGCAAAGGCTATTCGCGATTACACTGACATTAGCCCCTATTTCGAACCAAACAGTGGAGAACACTGCCTAATCATATAGACAATACTACCTAAACTTATAGGCAATAACACACCTGAATTTCGTATCATCGGCCACTTGACTATTTACAAAGATCCCATGTGGGCTGGGATGAGATCTTACTTACTGGTATATACATTATATTTATCATCTAAATAAGAGCACCTGAATACTCAACTTATCGGGTCGGGTCTGGTGTACGCACTGTGGTTAGGACATGTGCCATGTTCTGTTGGTGGAGAGACAACAGAATTAGTTATAATTGATGCCAGGGGTATTGACATCATGGACTATTAGAGATTGGGATACAGTGTGGAATATATCACATTTCATGACTGATATTATTGGACACAGTCTGTGATCGACGTACTTGGACTTAAAGGTAACATTTACAGGGACGTTCATTGCCTCGTATGGGTCCGCGGTACCCAAGCTATCTCTCAAATGGTCATCATGCCCATCATGACAAACAAAAAGAGAAACTCACAAACAAGGTATGGACAGGGATATAATGTATCACTATAAATGTGTTACCAAGGCCTTTATGGGCATCGTTCAAGTATGGATGGTTTCATTGTATTAGAATAATATGGTATGCAAGGTGGGGAAAACATACCATAATGGTGTATAATGGAGGTGGCCACTATAACAGGATGTAGATTTAGGGAAAACTACTTCATCAATCAAAAGGGACAGTCCCTATGGTAGGCTATGGGGACTGGGTGGTCTGAATAGATTCACTGTAGGTAACTAAAAATGGACATAGAATCACAAAATGTGGGTCTTGATAGGGCGGAACCTATCAAAATTCCACCGCTGCCAGCCAGTGTAACATCCCCTCAACTGATTGTGGTAGCGTGGTTAAAAGAGAGGGAGATGTTATTGGTTAAAATTATGAGCTTTATTCTTAGTTAATTATGGGGGGTGTAAAACATTTGTCTTTACAATGAGTCTTATAAGAAATAAACTTTTATGTCGAAAGAAAGATGGCGCTCTGGCAAAAATCTCTACATCTTGATTATACTTGGAATTGTCTCATAAAGGGGGGGGGGGGATAATATCACCTTAAGAAATATAACACGACAAAAGTTATAAAGAAACATATTTACATGTGTATATTGTTTAGATATAAAACATAAAAAATGACAATGGTACAGTACCGATTAGTTATGAATATTCAAACTATGTTCTGGGTGAAGTTTCTATATAAAGTGACTAACATGGACTAACAATGACTAGCACGAATTTTAACAAGTGACTAACATGAGCTAACAAGTGACTAGCAAGTGACTATCAAGTGACTAGCAAGTGACTAACACGAGCTACATGGTTGGAAATTTGCAATATGAATGCCGGAATTTCCAGAGACTGGGAAAGCTGGACTATGGGGTACTTTGGGAAGGGGAAATACATCTCTCTAATAGGATACATGGTCCTGGGACTAGAGGAGATGTAAAGGGGCTCCTGGGCAACTTTTGGGCCGGAGCATTATATACATTTCAAGGTAACTTTCATGCCAAATCTCGCAACAGAATGTCATAAAACATATATCAATTTGTTGATCATCATTTGATTAATACAAATATATATTTACCTAACACCAATAGAGTCGGAATACTGCAAAATCGATCGAAACGTAGGAGATATATCCATTAGCAGCCTTACAGTTGAAATCTAAACAGAACACAAACCAAAATTCTCAACTGAGGAAAACCTTACGCCGAATTAATAAACTAACCTAACAAATAAGAGTATTTCACACCTAACACAGATACCAAAATATGATTAACATAAATACGCTGAATACAGAAGTTGTGATTGAAGTAAATTGCTTATAATTAATGGTAATTACTGGATAAAATCCTGGGACTATATTCTGTACTATTTGTACCTTTAATATCAATACGCCATCACTGAAAAGTATTTATGTGGAGATTGGCATTTTTCTTAGAGAGTGAATATCAGCTGAATGCATATAAACAACTTATAAACAATTAAAGTTAAAATCTAATTAAATACAGAGATAAATACAGTAACAGCACACCAAATAATAAGAGAAATTATGTTATACGTTTATATGAATTTGGTGGGTTGTTACACTACTACTTGCAAAAAGCTAATGTTATTTTGAGTTAAATGCAGGACTATATCAGTGAAAAAGATTGTATGTTACTATAGGCCTATTATAAATGTGATACTTAATATGTCTGTAAGAGTTTTTCACATTTTTTCAAAGTGTGAGAGGTGAAAAAAGTTGATCAAAATTTGTTGTCATTAAAACAGAGTGATAGAATCAGAATGTTCCTGTATTAACCATCTTTTTTAAATTAGATAGTGCTCATCTTTTAGTGGTGAAACTTGTGAAATTGAGTGGTAAAATTGGGTGATACCAATACAACTACTACTAGTATTTGAGAATGTTGATAATTTTTTCAGGGAGGTGATGATGAAGGCCAAGCCAAAGTCTTCAAAAGAAGAGAGTTAGTGAATAACTGGGAGAAATATGAACTTCCCGTGGAATCAGAACCTGAGTTGAGAGGCAAAGATTTTTCAGAAGCCTTGGCTGAAGCTGGTAAGATTTAAGAAGCATATATCAATCTATAATGTTAGGTGAGGCATCGTTAGACACATCCCTGTCTCATCTATGTATTTCATCTACATAAGGATATGGAAAATGAATTGTCTTTCTTGCATATATATTTTTATCTATATTAACACCATTATAATATTCTAAACCTTCATTGTATCATTCACTCTCCTTCCATTGACTTTATGTGGTACAACTGGAACTGCTTATATAAGGAATCAAACTTTTTAAAATTCCAAATTTTTAACAAATATGTACAAGATATTTCTTGAAGGATTACACTCTATTAGATCAAGGCAATTTCAAGCTTTTAAAGGAACTAGCAAGGACAGAGAATGAAAAGGGTCATTATCTTATCAAACTATCAAATACTTATTTTCTTGTTCAGGCGATTCCTTATCTCAATTCCGGTTCCAAGATGAAAAGGACTTCAATGAATCTCTCGAGGATGGAGGCGGGGCATCAGATTTACCAAAGTTTCTGTCAATCAACATGGTGGATTTGACAGGCGCGATAAAATCTGTCCCTATACACGAGAGACTTGGCTTGGATACTGGGCTGTTTGATGTGAGAATTTCTTGTTTAATATTCATGAAGACCCCAAAGTACTACTTTAAATGTGTCAGTGCTTTTTCCATGCTTAATTGGCTATTATTAGATTAAATCATCCACAAATCATTGAGTCAAATGCTTAAACTCTTTAAATTCTAGAATTTGATATATCTTACCTTGCTATGTGTATTATTTCAGGAATCAACTTTGCAACTAATGAATGATGAAGCTAAGATGTATGCACCCTCCACACAGGGGGCAATATTAAACAACACACCTGAACAATCTTATACCACAAATGACAACATAGAACCCAATGAGGAGGACAAAGCCAATTCTGAACATGAAAAATCAGATGACACTATTATAAATGATACTCATACAGCTGAAAGTTTACCTAGTATTGCAAATGAAGATGCTGACACAAAAGCCCATGTGGATAGCAAAAATGATAGCAAAGGACTGACAGTTATTGATAATGAACTCATGGATCTATTAGATAATACAAATCAAGACTCATCCTCCACAAAATTACCACAAACTATGAATGCAGCCCCAAAATCCAATAATCTAAAAAGTATGGACGATGATCTTGATGTTTTACTGGGAATTACCCCATCAAGTACTTCTAAACCAGGGCTAAATCATGGTTCAGGGTTACAAGAACAATTTGAAAACAGAACAGGAGCTGAGTTAAGCAAAACAAATGATGTCCTGGAAATTGAAACAAAAGTTACAGAACTTCAAGTGGAACCAGTTGTTAAAGGTGTTGGTGAAAAGTCTGACAATCTTGAAGATTGGTTAGATAGCATGTTAGATGATTGAAAAATGAAGAAATATAATTATTTTGGTACTTCCTAATTCATATTGAGTTTTCTTAGGAGTTTTGTAAAAGTTTATTGGTTGAAATGGAGTTATAATTATTCATGGGAGAGTTCCATTTTATCCAGGCCCGTAGCCAGGATTTGCCAAGGGGGGGGGTTCATTTTTCAAAAATTTCCAGGGGGGGTTCACATTTGACAATTTTGGCCCAAATATGGCTAAAATCACTTGAGAAGTGCTCAAAATGGTGAAAACTGCATGATTTTGAAAGAATTTTTGGCCAGGGGGGGGGGTTCGCCCGAACCCTGCGAACCCCCCCTGGCTTCGGGCCTGTTATCTGTCTTATTTAGTTTTTCTGTCTCGTATTATTTCAAGTCTAGGACTATTACGAATCCACCAGCTTCAAAATCAACAAGGAATGAAATGAGGTACCAGGGGTTTCATTAGCAGCAGGCGACAAGATTTTCACCGGTTGTTTTCACAAAATTGCCTGTTGTTTTTAGACTTCAACTTTTCCATGTTAAATTTATGATTTCCATTAATTTTGCCTGTTGTTTTCATTTATTTAGCCTGTTGTGAGAAATTCTAGTGAAATCCCTGGGTTACGGAATAAAGCAGAATCTTTTGGAAAGTTGCTCTCTTTTTATGATATATTTTCTTACTTTTGATACAGGTTGTGTGTGAGCACAAAAATAAATAAAATATATTCAATTTTCATCCATCAAATCATTTATTTTACAAAAATACATGTATTTGAGGAATTCAGTACAAAACAATTCATATTTTACGGCAACATATACATATACAGATTTACATTTTTATTGCAGGGTCGATAAATAAGCACAATATTTTTCTGAACAACAACAAAAAGACTTTGGCTATCAACTTGTCAAAAAATAATTTCAGAGGTTTTTGCAAAGAAAAGCAATATGGAAGGATTTTCATTATATTATTTGATCTGAAACATTTAACATAAAAAAAACATAAAAATGTTGTCTTTATATTAAAGTATAATCTACAGACTATTTGGTATATTGCTTTGAAATCTCATTGAAGTCTTCTTATGAAGAATATCTTATAGCAGATTTCATTTAGCCATTAGTTGAATTTGAATTCTGTGTATACTTTTCAACTGGAAGAATTTTGATTTTCACTGTTATATTTTTGTATTCAATTTCTAATGATTTTGCATTTTTTGAAAAAGTCAGGTTAAACCCCCATTGATATAAAATGATCATTACATGTTAAAAGATAATTAATCTTAGAATTCAATTGCATGCCAATGGAGTTTTACATTAACCCAATTAGAAACATCAACACCTGAAAAACAAAGTAGCTTTTGTCAGTTTTTTCCATATAAACAGAGTACAAGCCTGACCAATACTGCCATCTATTATCCGTTGACATGTTTATAGCAAGTCCTCTATTAAAAATGAAATTTTTATAATGGCCTTTACTGATTATATTATTACATACAGGGGAAGGTGGTAATTTTATTTACACACAGAATAAAGTGATCTCCCCAGGATTTTTCTCAATGTAGAGTTCCTATTCCTAATTTCGACAAATCTCAATAGTCCACCCTTTAAGCAGGGTGCAAATTGTTAAAATATTTTCAACAGTGTTGCATATGATTTTGAACTGTATAGTACCCAGTTGGTTTAATGCTGGGAAGATCACTTAAATATATCTAAGGGGATAAATTCATATATCATATATCACCTTTTGAAATATAATAAATGCAAGGCATTATCATGCAAAATGTCACCACCTGTCATTTGTTACAGATGCTGACCTCTGAACCCAAACTGTTGAATTCCGTCCACAAAAAAAGTTGGAGACTATAACAATATGTCACCACTTTTACCACTTTTGGTGGTGACATAGAATTGCCCCTCAAACTTTTCATTGCATCTTCCCTTTCTTGAACATTTTAGATACTTAAATTATAAAAAAAGACTTCATGTTGTGAATGTCTCAAAGTTATATACCTTTTAACAAGATTTTACAGCTGTTTTCATAAAACTATCATTTCCAGTAATTTTGTCCCCCCCCCTTGGCCAAAAATTCTTTCAAAATTATTCAGTTTTTCACCATTTTCAGCACTTTCAAGTGATTTTTGCTCCCTCTCTGTGGTATATCAACTGCACTTATCCTGTATGGTATATTAATGAATACAACGACAATGACAAAACAAGGTCATACAAAACAATATTGGATCTTACATTCTCTTGATGTATTTAAAGGTATAAACTGGCAAGACATCATTAAAACAAGGCATTACCATGAAAAATGTCACCACCTACCATTTGTTACAGACACCAACAGCAGAACACTGTTTACCATCCACAAAAAAGTTCGAGACTATAACAATATGTCAGAACTTTTGGTGGTGACATAATATATCGAAGCGGATTATTTTGTTTGTAAACTCACTGTGACAACCAAATAATGGTTGACATTATTGCATTTATAAAATTGGCAATAATTTCATCAAATCATTCTAACTGATTTGAACTAATGCTGCAGTACAGTAAGACAAAATCTTACATATAGAAATGTTGAAGTGAAAACTTCTTAGTGGTCAGATATAAATGAAAATGTAAATCCATGATTTTGTTAGACCACCATTGAGGAATTGATTTGAAATAGGTACAGTTTGGGGAAAAACTACTATCTATGCATGATACTCAATTCAACACTACCTGCAATGTACATGATATAGTAGGTTGCCATGGTAATATAAGGTAACACAGTTTGTTTACATCCTTTCTATACTCGTAGAGTGTAACCATTTCCACAAGTACTACCATTCCGGGTCTTTAAGGACCTATTCATTATAATTTAAGATTCAAATGTATGAATAGTGTAAGAACACTGAGTGAGATTGAGCGGGAAACAAAAATTTTAGAGTACCTTTGCAAGAACTTTTGAACACCCTGTATAAGTTACTAAGTGAATCAGATGAGAATTTAAACACTATAAAAATTCCGGTTGGTATAAAAAAATTGAGCATCTAAAAATGATTATTTGAATCGGAGATAATCTTATTTTGTAGAAACCATAGGGTAGAATATTCTGAATGTAGGCAATCATAACAGAATGTCAAAAATGATTTTTAAAATGTTGATCACTATTGTATAGAAGAGAGACTCTTCATCATCTTTTAAAGGAAAACTGTTCTTTCCTGGCATCCCGTTATAGTCTTTGGAACTGTCTTTAGATGCGTCGGAGTCATCAGCATCAGAGTAAGAATATGGCTGATATGTGTCATCTTCATACCCCGTGTATAAACTGAGCTTATATTTAGAAGTTTCATGGGCTGGATGTCCGTAAACACCAACACCAATTGGCCTTTTTAAATCAGTTGTAACCTGTATGATATCATCGCCACATGTGACAGACTGGATGTCATAGTTTTCAAAAGTCGGAGATAATGTTTCAGATGAAATATAGATGTCAGCATCTCCTTGTGTCGTAGTTAAATGAAGTACCATGGGTCCCTGACGTGTAAGCTTGTAGTATGTGTAATTCCCAGCACCAATTGAACCACTGAAGGTTTGGAGTACGTAGGCAGATAAACCATTATTCTGCATTATTTGAGCAAAGATGAGGCCAAAAGCCAGGATCTTCCCTATGTTCCTCATTAGGATGTCATGGTAGAAGCAATACATCTTAATGTTTTTGGATTCGAACGATCTGAAAATAGATGCAAAAAAGGAATTAAGAACGTGTCAGTGGGCCGAGATCATTTAACATGGCTAAAACTCTCGAAATTTCAAAAGAGCACAGTTTTAGTGCACCTACAGACATGACAGATGTACAGGATATCATATGATTTTGATAGATAAAAAAAAATCATAGGATGTTCTATCTATCCCAGAGTTGAGGTCAAATCATCCCATAGTTCACCTTCAAAAGCATTCCACAACAAGATTCAGTTTTATTTTGTCATTTGATATTTGTAGCCAAAACATTAATCATTTCTATATTTGTGTCATGAAATCACCATGTAAGCTCATGTAACATTTGCACGTCACATTGGCGGGATTTTTTAAATTCATGAAAAAATTGATATCATTGGAATATTCTCCATTTTCCACAGATATTGCTTTTTTCCACGCATTTGCAAAATATCATAAATATCAATGCACAGTCAGCATCATCCATTCATCATACTTATTAAAGTATTTATAATAGGCAGAGGGTGAATAACATCAGAGTTCAAAGATGATATACGCTTATAATGTAAACCTGTATTGAGATGACATCTCTGATTGGTCAAAAGTCAACGAACAAATGCTGTCATCAATGGCGGTTTCAAAATTTTCGAAATACGCTTCGAATAATATTATGTTCATTTCTGGCATGCTTAACCAATATCATAGCTTCTCATTTCACATCAAGATAAAGAAAGGTGTATGGAATATGCCTATATCAATTAAGGTGCTATGGAAGTTAACAGGAAATGACAAAACAGGAAGTGACAAAATTTTTTGCATTTTCAGACATTTTTTGAACAAAGATAACAGAGTTCTGTTTTGACCTCCAGTCAATTCAACTAGTTCCAAATACCATTTACAGGTCCAAGATCACAATGTTCATGGTCAGAATGGCCCTAAACATGATAAAATATCCTTTTCAGCCCTCTGAAAATGTGACTGAAAAATAGCTAAAAGAAGGGGGTAGGAAAGGTCACTGTACAGAATCTTTCGAATCTTTCAGAAAATGTGCCAAATATATTGCCCTAAATGATACAATCTTTGAAAATTTGATATCATTCATAGAAAAAGAAAAAAAATGAAAAAACTGATTTGAAAAGTGATCTATTTTCCTTTTTATGACCGCCATTTTTGTTTCTGACAATTTTCTAAAATTTCAAAGATTGTATCATTTAGAGCAATATATTGGGCACATTTTCTGAAAAATTCAAAAGATTCTGTTCAGTGACCTTCCCTAGCTTCTACTTTTAGCTTTTTTTCAGTCACACTTTCAAAGGGCTAAAAAGGTTATTTAATCATGTTTAGGGTCATTCTGACCATGCACATTGTGATCCTGGTCATGTAAATGATATGTGGGAATAGTTAAATTGACTGGAGGTCAAACCAGAACTCTGTTATCTTTGTTCAAAATATGTCTAAAAATGCAAAATTTTTATCACTTCCTGTTTCGTCATTTCCTGTTAACTTCCGTGGCACCTTAAAACATCCCATCAAAGTGTAGTATTTGATAACTAAGCTTAGCTGATGAAAATTCGAACGAATGAAGGTGGTAAGCAAGAGTCATCTTTAAACTCTGGGGCTTTCCCTCCTCTTTATAATAGGTAAGTTTATTGGCGGGCTTATAGGATGTACCCCCATAAATGTGAGGTATTTTGAGTTTTTTTATTATTTTTGAATTTTTTTCTCAAAATAACCTCACAAAGCTTACTATGTTGATTCTTTGGGGATTTTTTCTTGTACGCCCATGGTAGAAGACATGCTAAATTTGTACTAAAATAATCAAATTTTATAAACTTTTTTATTATTTTCGTATCGACAAGACATTAATCATCAACTTGCTACAAAAGATAGCCCTCGAAATAATCTATTAATTCTTGTAATGACGATCTAGTACGGATAACAGAAATTTCTCAAACATTTTCAATTTTGTACTTTCCTTCCAATTTTGCAAATTACTCCCGTTATAAAGCATCGTTTCGACTGATCGATCGCTCATTACATTGGAAAAAGAATCATCTTTACAGAAGAGAAGAAAAAAGGTTAGGAAACTGCTGACATTGTTCGGACTTGAATCTTCAAATCATGTAAACAATTCCCCAAAGAATCAATATACATGTAGTAAACTTTGTGAGGTTATTTTGAGAAAAAAAATTCAAAAATAATAAAAAAACTCAAAATAACCTCACATTTATGGGGGTAATAGGATGCTGACTCTGTCAATTTCTGTCAAATGTCACAGAAAAAATTAGAAACAAATTAGAGAAACATATTTTGGTAAATGTCAAACGTTTTCGATTTTGCATAAACAACTGAAAATACTTAAGAATCAATAGATAAAATTATATAACCTACTATGTAAGAGAGAATCCGCATTTTATAAACTTTTTTATTATTTTCGTATCGACAAGACATTAATCATCAACTTGCTACAAAAGATAGCCCTCGAAATAATCTATTAATTCTTGTAATGACGATCTAGTACGGATAACAGAAATTTCTCAAACATTTTCAATTTTGTACTTTCCTTCCAATTTTGCAAATTACTCCCGTTATAAAGCATCGTTTCGACTGATCGATCGCTCATTACATTGGAAAAAGAATCATCTTTACAGAAGAGAAGAAAAAAGGTAAGGAAACTGCTGACATTGTTCGGATTTGAATCTTCAAATCATGTAAACAATTCCCCAAAGAATCAATATACTCCTGGTTAACTGTTAAAAATAATAAGAACATAACTTCGACATATGAGTGTTACCTGATGAATGGGACCCTCACGTGCCTTCTAAATGGTAGTAAACGAACGCTAGTGTAACTACATCAGCTTATCTTTCCGTCCGATCAACAATAAGTACAGTTATACAAGAAATGTAAACGAAGTGAAAATATTTCCAAAACTTTTCCGAAAGGCATGTCATTCCGGAAGTTATGATACGTTATGGTGTCACTACGGTAAATCATTGAAAAATATTGAAAAAATCACAAAATTCAAGTTCTGGTGTGAGGTTCCATATCCATCCGCCAAAAGGTATGACCCGATATAGTCCATTTAAAAATTTGTGGTTTTGTTCTAAATAACGCCATAGTTGGCTTCTAGGGTACCTAGTATGCCTCTATTTGGTATCAAAATAAAGAGGAGTTCATTTGAATAACGAAAATAGCGATGCAGGTCAAAGTAGTTCCGGCGTGAGCATGTTTACTACGCGTTTGCCCATCATCGCAGAATTGAGGAAATGGTAGCAAGTTACAATAAATGGACGCTGATATCTCAAAAAGAATTAGCCCATACAATGACTATATTTTTGCAATCCCCTATACATAACCTTCATCTTGACACTATATTTAACATAGGGTTTGCGTCTCGATTTTTAAATATCGCTACGCCAACATAGGGACTCCTTTTTAGGTAAAATCCCTGCTTCCCCGATGAAAATTAACGAATAAAGTAGTTCCTGTTTACGGGACCATATTCTTGAGATTTTTTTGCTAAAAATGGCACATTTAGAAAGTACTTGGCCTCAGCTTTACATACATACCTCAAATGGCCACAGTACATACACTTAAACCTACTATACACACCATTGAAGTTGGCATTGCTTCGTTTTAAAGTATTAATAAAAAACACTTCCTACCCGGAAGTGATATTTACCGTAATAACACCTTATATTACCGAACATGGGTTTAAATGGAATGTTTTTTCGATGGCATTATTACACCAAAAGTAGTGCGAAAATGGCCTTTTCACGGGTTGGCATAAAGTTTTGATGAAATTTAAAGACATTGTTCCTCCTTCACGTATATTATCTCATGGAAATGGGCATACCAGCGCAAAGATCTTTGTTCCGTGGTGAAGAAAAGCTATCAAACATTGTCTGAAGAGCAGATTTATCTCCGTAATTCAACTTTTAGCATGGCGACCTTGACCTTGAAAAAAATATAGCCATTTGGGCGATAATAGGTGATTCAAAAGGGGTTTTCGTAAAACACCGACCGCCGACCACCGACCACCGACCAGTCACTCTCCACAGTTGGGTACATGTGGTCGGTGGTCGGCTGACGGTCTTTTACATAGAGATGAAAAAATGCAAAATTAGAAGTAAAACTAAAACTGGGAATCCAATGACTATAGTACCTTTACTAGGTCGTGATTTAAAAACGTATAATTATCATTTCAAATCACGATGAAAACGTTACATCGTCGTGGTGTGTAATGTCATATTTTTAAGTGATGTTTCAGTTGTTAGAAGACCAATTTCATCCTGGTTAGTCACTTTGGAAAAAACGCACGTAACATTGCATTAAGTTCATTCTTCATTCATATGAAACGCAATAACAAAAACACACAAACATCGTCGATGTTGACGTCGTAACGTTATGTTTGATTTCTCAGTTGTTAAACGTCAACTGGTAAAAACTACATTTGATATGACAAAAAAGCTTTCTAATGGTGTACTGAAATGGTAAGTCACTTTTAATCCCGATAAGAGAACGCATGTAACATTATATCGTGTTCAGTATTCAGTAGGCTATGACGATAACAAATCATTTTTGTTTCGAAATTGTTAAATTTCAGTAAAAAATTAGGATAGATTCCCGTAGAAACGATAGGTTGGTTAATGATAGGTTAGGACCTAAGGCAGGGCAATTAATCGAGAGGAGACGGTCATGACCAATTTGTTTGCTTGCCATTCGTTGCAAGGTACAAAATCGGTAAAAAACGTTGCCTAGTCCAACGATTGACATTCAAAATCAAATTATTAATATTCTAAGGCTACAAATATGTTCGGTCTTTTACATGATATAGTCGGTCTTTTACACATTTTCTTCAAACCCTGTTTTGAGGCTACCAGTGGAAAACACCGACCGGTCGGTGGTCGGTGGGGTCGGTCTTTTCCGAAAACCCGATTCAAAAGTAAAAAATAGTGCTTTTTCGAAGTTTTACTTTTACCATATCAACTTGATTTTTCAAGGACATCCGCCTGATAGTTGTTGGGCCAAGTTTGATGGAAAATGGGCCTTGTTTGATATGCTGGCAGTGAGGTTGATTGTGGCAAGTAGTAAAACGGCAAACAATGGTGGAGTCATACCCGATGCTTGGATGTTCGCATTTTATTTAGCTCTCGTAAAATGAACGAACAAAAGTTCCATTTTCACGCATGTTCGGTAATATAACGTATCATAACTTCCGGAAATGACATGCCTTTCGGAAAAGTTTTGGAAATATTTTCACTTCGTTTACATTTCTTGTATAACTGTACTTATTGTTGATCGGACGGAAAGATAAGCTGATGTAGTTACACTAGCGTTCGTTTACTACCATTTAGAAGGCATGTGAGGGTCCCATTCATCAGGTAACACTCATACGTCGAAGTTATGTTCTTATTATTTTTAACAGTTAACAAGGAGTAGTAAACTTTGTGAGGTTATTTTGAGAGCCTGGACCATAAGTTAAATAAAGAAATTATGAAATGCCTGCAGGCATTTATACAGAAATCCAAGAGATTTTAATAACTTATTTTTAACTCGAGTGAGATAGTGACTCTATTTTAACATCTCATTTTAATGGAAAAACACTTGCATTTTAGACTACGTTAGATAACAAGTTTTAGCGCTCTCTCTCCCAACAGAAGTAAAATAAGCACAAGTGAAAAGTACAAGTGATATTTTTAGTACATGAGTTTTAAAAACAGCAACAAGTGATCAAAGGCAGCATAATAATGCCAAAGTGATCCCGGAACACCTTATAAGGAACACTGAAAAGGACTAAGAAGAAGAATTTTGAGAAAAAAAATTCAAAAATAATAAAAAAACTCAAAATAACCTCACATTTATGGGGGTAATAATAGGATGCTGACTCTGTCAATTTCTGTCAAATGTCACAGAAAAAATTAGAAACAAATTAATTTTAGAGAAACATATTTTGGTAAATGTCAAACGTTTTCGATTTTGCATAAACAACTGAAAATACTTAAGAATCAATAGATAAAATTATATAACCTACTATGTAAGAGAGAATCCGCATTCACTGCAAGTTAATGGAAAAATACCAAATCTGTAGTTTTATATAAATCCCGGAAGTCAATTAATTTTCTAGGTCATGAGCAACCACAAATAAAAAAATGGGTAAATACAAAAAAATCCGACCAGATTGATTTCAACATTATTGGTGGTATGTATATCAGTAATCTGTCAAAAGTTATAATATTTAATTGGATATTAATATCAAGAGCCCACTAGCATGTTTCTATAGCCTAATAGCACGATTCAAACTTCATGTAATAATAAGCATGTGTGCAAAGTTAAAAACAAAAACGAAACTGAAAGTGACCTTTAATCTACATTTTATAAATATGTATACATTTTTTATTACAATCCTTATACTTCTGCATCCATTGTCAATTGTGGTCTGCTTTTGGCAAGCCCTTATCAGATTCAAATCAATTTAGCCCAAATCAGAGGAATATGTAGAATCCAAATCCATGCACTTCAGTTGACTGTGCAACCCTAAAATTGAGAGAGTCGAAAGCATATGCTAGGACCAGGGGAGACCCTATCTGTTGCAAGACTAATGCCTGGCGTAACCGTCACCATGTTATTCAGTGTTTTTAAGTAGCACAAGGATCCTGCCATGATCGTGGTAATGTTATCGTGAAAGCCTGGTATAACCGGACAATGCTGTATTATATTGCAATGCCTGCCATGACCGTGACAATGTTATATAGTTCTGTAAGGCCTGGCATGACAAGTTCAGGTATGAGAGTGGTAATGTAGAAATTTAAGATTTGGACTGCTATAACTGTGACAATGTGTATTCACGGGTGTAATAACTTATGTTCATGTATATCCAATAAACTACATAAAATATGGTTTTACTCTTAAATATATTTCACTATTTAGAAATCTCCATCTTGGTACAATAGTCTCGAAACTGTCTGTTTCGTGCTGCCACCTATTGGCTAAATGAAACATCAAAACGCAATAACACAATTTGGTTGTTCTAAGATACAACAACGGGGGTAAAGCAGACCCGATGATGCAATGAGCTTGCTCGGCGGTATCATGACTGTGTAACGGGTCTTAATGTATAAGTGTGCTCGGCGGTAGGTTCAAACAACGCGGATCCTCAAAGCATGTGCTCATGGTATATTCGTGTTTTAACACCTGTGTGTATTGCAAAGCCTGGTATGACCGTGGCAATGTAATATAGTATTGCAAGGCTTGGTATGACTGCCGTGGCAATGTGATATAGTATTCCAAGTTCGGGTATGAGAGTAGTAATGTAGAAATTTATGATTGCTATAAGTGACCGTGACAATGTGTATTTGAAAACCTGGCATGTATACTAAGTACTGCAAGGCCTGGCATGGCCGTGACAATGTAATATAGTATTGCAAGGCTTGGTATGACCGCCGTGGCAATGTGATATAGTATTCCAAGTTCGGGTATGAGAGTGGTAATGTAGAAATTTATGATTGCTATAAGTGACCGTGACAATGTGTATTTGAAAACCTGGCATGACCTTGACAATGTATTATGGGATCGCAAAGTCTGGTATGACCGTGACAATGTAATCTTTGGCACTTGTGCTTATATATTAATATAGTATTGCAAGGCCAGGTATGAGGGTGGCAATGTAGAAATTTAGGCTTAGCGTACTACTATGACCGTTATAATGTATTGCAATGACTAGTAAATATGTATGACATTAATGCCAGGAATATCCTTAACAATTTTAAGTGATCGTCATTACAATTAAACAGTTTAATACTATGATCATGGTGTTTAGGCTTAACTACCTTAATCATGTCAAAATCAAAATTACTACCATACATAATATTCACACTCGCTTATAAACCACAATAAAGGCTACGGTCGCGCCAGGCTTCCACGATAACACTTCCAGGGTCATGACAGGCCTTGCAATATAATACAGCATTGTCACGGTTATACCAGCCTGTCACGGTTATACCAGGCTTACCAGGCTTACACGATAACACTACCGCGGTCATGGCAGGATCCTTGCGCTACTTAAAAACACTGATTAACATGGCGACGGTTGTGGCAGGCGTAAGTCTTGCAATAGATAGCATGTGGACCAGGGTGCACCAGGGTTCAAGGCCATTCCTATGAAACAAGTGTTTAATGACGCCACAAGATATAAAAATGTGAATATTATACATTATATTTTGTATCTACCAAGATGTTAAACACATAAAGGTGTAAAGATGCCAGGGTAAAGATGACTCTCTTTTCATCATGTGGTAACCACACAGGTGGAGTGTGTCACAGGAGGGAATGGTGTCACAAAGGGGGATTCAAACAAGAGTCGGTGTTACAGGGGAAGGGGGTGTTAGTGTTACAGGGGTTGGTGACAAAAAATAAAAGGTTTCACAGGAGGGGAGGGTGTTAAGGTTCAGCTGGAAAGTAACATTTTGGTAAAAAATTGCTATACCTGCACATGTTATTTTCTGGTACAAAATTAAGTATGAAGTCATGTGTGTATTTCCTTGCTTTTTTCAGGAAAGGATCAAAACACTGTCTATTTTTAGTAAACCTGGAAACAGGTCAATGGTAGTTCCTGTGTTGTCTGAAAACTTTGAAAGAAAATTTGGAAAAATAGAAAGTGTGAAATATCGGAATTTCCTGGAGTTCCCATTGAACTCCTACCAGATATTCTATAAGAAGACAATGTAATGATACTTTCCTGAAAAAAGCAAGGAAATTGACACATACCTTCATACTTTATTTTGTACCAGAAAATAACATGTGCAGGTATAGCAATTTTTTACACACTCCCAGCCACTTATCTGAGCCTATATCTTGAGATACTCTCAATTTAGACTAAGAGTCTAAGGAATACACTACATGTATTTTCAGGTACAGGGTATTTAATTTTTACAATGGTTGTTTTATATTTTCAGGTAAGGTTTACATGTACATCCAGTTTGTGAGAGTTTAAAATGGCACCAAGGTTGACAAAGGCTGTTCTAGGTGTTGCATCTGATGATGCCTTTCAATGGACACAAAATGCTGCCTTCCATACAAAACTCATTGTGTCGGTCTGTAAGGCAAATATAACCCTCACTAAGGGCAAAACGTTTGACCTACCCGATTTATCCATTTTTGAAAATGATTTGGAATTCAAATCAGAGTTTTTGAAGGATATTCAGGTCTTAGAATGCTGCCCAACAAAACAAGGAGTTTTGTCAGTCAATACAGAGATAATAATAGTAAAAAACAAAGTTAAGGAAAGTGAAAAGCAAAATGTCGACTTTGTTGACTTTAACGATAGAGTTAATCAATATGTGCCTTCTGTTAATGCATTTACGATGTTCTATAAAGCAGAAAGGCAAGAGGCAGTTCTGAATACAGTGTCCGAATTCAATGCAACAGCGACACCCCTACAGGATTTGGGCATTGAATCTGTTAGTACTAACACAGAGTGGGAAAAAATGTTTGTTGAATCATTGAATAATGATTTCGATGACTTGCAAATTATAGGAGTAACAAGTGAGACTATGGCAAACTGTGCTTTATATGATGGAGAATTGGTACATGTTAAATGTGTCAACGATGTTGACAATCCAAATGATACTATCGCAGGTGACACTGTAGTTGAACCTACTGATGGTGGTGTTGATGACTTTGAAAGGAGGAAAGAGTTATATGGTGATGAAGAAACATGTAAACTGTCCTCCTTGCCTAAAGAAGGCCCTGTAAATATGCATGAAATTTTGGAATTGAGCAAAATATGGCGTACAGCAAGGATATGCCTGATTAAGCCCAATGCTGTCTATAAAAAGAATGTCGCCTACATGACCCCATGTTTTAAGTTCAACTTAACAAGGAACAACAAACCGATGAAGGACAGCATAATAAAGATAAAGGTATACTATTTTAAGTTATAAGTACATTTTGCTATCAAAATTATAGGCAGTCTAACGGCTTAGTTGTCTTTAGTGCCATATAAACAATACAAGGCTGGAGTCCTCCCTAACCCTATGATCATCTTAATTGTAGAAAATTACAACAGATGTTACAGGCAGCCTAGGTAATAAGTGGGCCAAGGTGGTACCTTATGCCAGTCAGTTCACACTGAGTATCATACACTCTCCCAACTACAGCCCCCTCACCTCCTACAACAATGTCATCAAGAAATATTTCTCAATACCAAGGTAAGACTGGAAATGTGGTCCATAGATTATAAAGGAGATTACAAAGATGGCGGTAGTGTAGTTCATTTGCTATTGAGATGTCTAAACAGATTGATTATGCTGCCATCTTTACATGAACAATTTTTTTTCTATCACCATAGCCTTTTGAGTGGTAGTTTAATATATTATGAACATTGAAACCTGCGAAGTGGAATACCTCTAGAAGTGTAACACCTCTGTAAGTGGAACACTTCAGAGTCCCAAGACCAACTGACTTAATGTTAAATGAACCTTTATAAGTGGAACACCTCATAAGTGGAACACTTTTTAGAGTCCCCAAGACAAACTGACTTAATGTTAAATGAACCTTTAAAAGTAGAACACCTCATACATGGAACACTTTTTAGAGGTACTAAAGGTGTTCTACTTAAAGATGTTTTAGTTTAATTACAAGCATTAAAGATATCAGATGTGAGTCTTTTTAAAAAGAAAATGTTTTTAGCTTGTATACTGGAATAAATACTGTAGATTTCATCATGGTCATAATCTGATAAAGTAAAGGGTTCCTGTATTACATTATCTGATGGTGGGCCACAGCCTTCTTTGAATCATGAAGTCGTCGAGTTTAGAAAATGGCTTTACTCTTATAATTTAAAGCAATCGATTATGTGTATATCTTCACTGTTTACAATATTTACCCAAGGTGGGACTGAATTCTTCATTTTGGCTTTAATACATGTAAATACCCTTCTTAAACCTCATTTATAAAATTTGAATTTCATTTTCAATTAGATTGCTTAAGTGTGGGGATGTTCTGACCCTAAGTCTTAAAGATGATCCCAAATGCATGCTGGAAGCTGTAGATGGACGCTACAACCCAGACATTGTCGTTCACATGAAGGTTTTAGAGATAACAGGCCCTTCAGGCAACAAAGATGGGGAATATCTGGCAGATTTTGACCATACTGATGCATGCCAGGTAATGATTTCTCTCCATTTATTACAAGTGGTGACATATTGTTATAGTCTCCATCTTTTTTTGTGGACGGTGTTCGGCATACGATGAGTGGCATTTGGCAGTCAGCATTCGGCAGGCAGCATTCAGAGTTCGGTGACATTTTGCATGTAATGCCTTGTTTACATTACTAAAGATATTAAACTGACAAAATAATGATGCAGTATGGCTCATTGAAGTTTATTAAACACTTATATTACCATATCTTAATATAATAGAACTATTGTTTGCTAAATACATGTTGAAATGAACATGTACATGTATGTAGGTTGACTGGTCAATGATTGAAGTTGAACATCTGTTTGCTCCTGTTGGTGAATCTTTTGGTATGGTAACAACATGTAAAAGTATATCTAACAGCACAGTGCTTGATAAATAAAAGTATCTGACCATTAAAAGTGATGTGTCCATAGCTTTCTCAATTTGCATTTCTGAATGCCTTTTTAGACTGGAAGTGTACACGACTACATTCCTGTTGCCATGGAGACATGGTACAGATCCCGTATCCAAAAGGTTCACAAGGTGATGGCTCTGAATCCATATAAAACTACTATAGATATACTGACTAGAACAATAGCTCCACATACTGTCAATAGGTAAGCTATTATTTGTATGTATGTCAACTATAAATCCCACATTACATGTTTAACCATGCTATTTTGTGTTAATAATGATAATCTGAGTATAAGAGCATACAAGGGCTGTTCAATAAGTAAGCAGACAAATGCTCTTATTTTTAGGTTTCAGAAGAAATCCATCTCTTGTTTCCAAAATCCTTAAAATGAGATTTATCAGATTCAATCCTTCTTTAATTTTTTATTTTTTTATTTTTCAGTATTTCTTCATTTGCATCTGGATGTACATCTTCATTAGAATCATTTGTTTTTGTTTCTTCATTATTGTCATGTATATGTACATGTACATTGTCTTGCACAAAGTGTTCTAAAACAGTACCCATTCCAAGGCTACTATGCGAAACATAGTACTACAGTGTCTTAATAATCTGAATTGTATTTACAATGGCAGTTGTCCAATTGGATTACATGTATTGTGCAATGTAAATATTACGAAACTCATCAGTTATGATCATGTTTCCATTTTTGTTGATGGCAACAGCTCTTGGACTCTCAATTTTGTATACCTTCTTGAATGTTCCATCTTTGTTCAATACATGTATTCTGTCGCTATCTCTACTTGACACAATAATGTTATCATGTTGATCGAGACATGTGTTCCATGTACTGTTTAAAGGGTTATCGACACTGCCTTCGTACTCAAATAGAATTCTGCCATTTTGATCAACTCCCATCACGACATCTTGTCCATTAGACCATCCATAAGACACTATGACTGTGCCTTCGGAATTGCAAGAGATATTACATTTCCAATCATTTATGGCTTCGACTTCAAACGTGGATGTGATACAGTTTCCCCGACAGTCAACAATGGACAGTTGAGTTGGAAACTCTGCACCGTTGGATTCATTCTTATAAAGAACCACCAGGTTGTTGTCTGGTGTTGCAGCAATCGCAAATGGATCTTCCACACAATCGATTTTCTTAATGAGGTCACCCTCGCCATCAAGCATATGAATTGTAGCATCCCTAGTGTTAACTGCAGCGATTATGTCATCTTTAAGAGCTGCGATTTTCTTGGTGAATACTTTACTTGTTAATGAAAAGTTTTGGACATAGTCGTTATATCTGTATCTCGGGGGATGAAAGATGTGTATACCTCCTTTGTAACATGCTTGGATAATACTATTATTGTCCAGTACAGCAATGGCCCAAGGATCATGTACCAATTTAAATTGTTCTAGAATTTTCAACTCATCAAACAGTTCATTTTCCGCTTCCTCACAACCAAATTTTGCCTCAGCCATTGAGTTGCCCGGTTACTAGAACAAGAATATTATTTTTATTCAGAAACTAAAAATGAATAAATGATCAAAACAATGATTATTTTAAGGCAGTATATTAGTTAGTTTTTCCCATCACAAAACATGTACTTACTAGTACTGTACATGTATATGATATTATAGACCTCAAGTTGAAAAATGAAAAATGTTATAAAAAAACAATTAGGAATGAACTGACAGGTTTAATTATTGAATAATTATAGTTAGTGAGGTAGCACCGAAAAATGTACCCGCTTCTGAACAAATTGAAATTACTTGTTTCTTATGTATTTTTATGTGATACTTCAGAAATTTTTTGTCTGATGCGCCTTATCCGGGGCGAAAGTTGTCAAAATTGGGTTTTTGACCCTAAAAAGGAAAATTACAGGGGGTACATTATCATCATTGAATAATTCATTCAGTTGGTCTTCAATCATCATAATAATTTTATTGAGAGTTGATGAGATCATTTTAAGGTAGTATGCAAACTTTCAATGGTCTGCCACTCGTGGTTGCCATGGAAACCACAATTTTTGCTGAGAAAATCCTTAATTTTGGTAAAACCTGTACCTGTACATAATATAGAATGTGGATTATTTTTCAAATCAACAGATATCAGAACATTTTAGCATTTTCAAAATTACCAGGGCAGTTCAAACATTTATTTAAATATAAAGGATATTGCAATTTACATAACTGGGGAGTGTCAAAGACCATACAATTACATAAGTGATCAAAAGTGGGCGTCGCCCTTATCATAGTAGATGATTGCCATTCTCTAAAAATACAGAGTTTTACTTGACTTTTGAGATACATTTATAATGATGTTCTTTGGTTATACTAAATATGAAGCATTTTTGGTAAATAATGTACATGTAAGTGTTATACTTATTGCATTGGGGAGGGGGTAGATGGGGGGGTAACAGAATTGGAAGAGGGCAAAGCTAATTACCCTTAAGTATAAATCTCATCTACATAGTTCTGGATTTCATGGGGTACATCTTCTAGGTCTTTTTTCACATTCATATAGGATATTATAATTCTGCATGATTGGTAAGTATAAAGACCATAGAATTACTCAAGTGATCAAAAGTGGGCGTCGCCCTTATCATAGATTCATTCTCTATAAATACAGGAGTCTAAGTTGACTTTTGAGATACATTTACATTACAACTTCTTTGATTATACTTAATTTCAAGCATTTCTGGTTAGTAATGCACATCTGATTGTAATAGTTCTTGCCTGGGGGAGGATGGGGGAGAGTAGTAACAGAATAGGGAGGAGGCAGAGGTAATCAGCCTTAAGTATAAATCTCATCTGCATAGTTCTGGATTTCATGGGGCACATCGTCTGGGTCTTCTTCATATTCATCTCAATATATGGGATATTACAATTTACAGGATTTGTCAAACACCATACAATTACATATTAATAAATGATCAAAAGGAGTGTCGCCCTAACAATAGTAGATGATTGGTTCTTTGTATAAATACAAAATTGAACTTGACTTTAGAGATACATTCATAGTTATACTGAACTGCTGTTATTATAATTTATGTCAAGCATTTCTGTTAAATACATCTGTGTAAGTATTGTAGTTTTTACATTTGGGCAGGGGTGAGTAGTAACAGAATTAGAATGTGTAGATCTAATCTGCCTTTAGTATAAATCTCATCTTTTTAATTCTGGATTTCATAGGGTACATCTTCTGGAGTTTTCTGATTCATCTCCTGGTGTTGCTATATCACCAATCTCTTGTATGAGAATATCAGTCAATACTCACTGGAAAGATATGGAGTCATTTAGTTTTCATTCAAGTCCATCTGGTGGTTCACTACGAGGATTTGCAATATGGGCCATACAGACAATAAGTGCTTTATATGGATGAGATGGTTACAACAATCTATTATCTAGAGATGAGATGAGTGTGACACCCATAATGACCTTGGAAAGGCACAAATAGCAAGTATAGAAAAAGACATAAAGATGACAAAAACCGCAATCAAAGACTTCCTTGATCCATTTACCATTGAGGATGAAGGTCATCTCTACGGTCATAAGGAAAATCTGTGCCAAATGATGTCGCTGCAGATCTCATCTAATTTTAGTCAAAAGGGGAAATTGCATGAAGAGATACCATCTGAGATTAGTTGAAAAAAAGATTTCATGATCTAATAAAACATATGAAATTGAAAACTATAGCAGCAAACTACAGCAGTGACAGTGACAGTAAAAAAGTACTCAGAACAAGCTTATACAAATACATTCTGAATGAAACATCTTTGAACAGCTTTGATCTTGCTTAAGAACATAAAATTAGCCTAGAATGTCTCCTGCAATTCTTATTGAGCCCTGTGCCTTGGGCTCTAGGCACACTGACTGGACTTCTTGCAAGAACAGAGAAACGCATTCCTATGCATGAACATGTACCCACAAGTGCCAAAGTGAAAGGACCAAAATTTGTAATAGAACCCAGCAAGAAAAAGAAAACTTCTAAATGTATACAAGTCATAAGGAAAACAAACCCCAACTATCCCAAACCATAATTCAACTTGAAAGGTAGTTTTGTTTCTGGATCTGGCAGAGACTGTTTCAAGATTATACAATTGCAGATTGATTAGTTTTTGTATGTGATAATTACATCAAAAATTCTATAAAGGAACCTGAAAGAGGGGAGGGACACCTTGCCCTATTTAAGGTAGAAAAACATGAGTCCCTAAAGATTGGAATTAGTTCTTGTATGATGATGAAAACAAAAAGCAAATACAGCAAAGTGTGCTGCTGGATACTTGAGTTGGAAACAAATGAAGACTGGTGTCAGTGGGACTTCCTCCAATATAGACCCTGACATATATGCAGCCTTCCTAGCACTACACACATTCACAGATGAAGTGCCATGCAGAAGGGGCAATAGCATTAGCACCTTTTTAAAAGGCAAAGGTGGAGCGCCATATAGATACACTCAACTGAATGACTCTCAAATCTGCAAGTGTAGCGGTATATTCTCCCACATGATATTATTAATATATTAACATCGAGAGGTGAATGAAAATGATCAGACTATGATATTAATACTTAAGACTGACTGGCCATTGGCTCTGCCCCCTCCCATTTCTGCTACTACCCCCCTTGCCCCCCCCCACAGGGAATAACTATTACAATACTAAATGTAATCAAAGAAGTTTTAATTTAAAAAATAAATCTTAAAGTCAAGTTAAACTCCATATTCATAGAGAATGAATTATCTACTATTGTTAGAGCAACATCCACTTTTGATCACTTATGTAATTGTATTGTCTTTGACACTTACCAATCATGTAAATTGGAATATCCCATATATTGAGATGAATGTGAAGAAGACCCAGAAGATGCACCCCTTGAAATCCAGAACTAAATAAATGAGATTTACATTTAAGGCTTATTAGCTCTGCCCATTTCCAATTCTGTTACTCTCCCCCCCTCCTCCACCCCCAGACAATAACTATTACAATAAGATGTACATATATAACTTACCAGAAATGCTTGACATTAACTATAAATCAAAGATGTTTTTAAGTAAATGTACTTCAAAAGTCAAGTTTAACTCTGTATTTATAGAGAATGAACCATATACTATGATTAGGGCGACGCCCACTTTTGATCACATGTGTAATTCTATGGTCTTTGACACTTACCAACCATGTAAATTCTTATATCTTATATATTGAGATGAATATAATAAGACCCAGAAGCTGTACCCTATAAAATCTATAACCATGTAGATGAGATTTACACTTAAGGCTGATAAGCTCTGCCCCCTCCCAATTCTGTTACTACCATGTAATTGTATGGTCTTTGACACTTACCAGTCATATAAATTGCAACATTCTTTCTCTTTAAACAAATGTTTGGACAGCCCTGGTGATTTTTAGAGTGCTAAAATGTTCTGATATCTGTTGATTTGAAAAATAATCCACATTCTATATTATGTACAGGTTCAGGTTTTACCAAAATTAAGGATTTTCTCAGCAAAAATTGTGGTTTCCATGGCAACCACGAGTGACAGACCATTGAAAGTTTGCATACTACCTTAAAATGATCTCATCAACTCTCAATAAAATCATTATGATGATTGAAGACTAACTGAATGAATTATTCAATGATGTTAATGTACCCCCTGTAATTTTCCTTTTTAGGGTCAAAAACCCAATTTTGACAACTTTCGCCCCGGATATGGCGCGTCAGACCAAAATTTTCTGAAGTATCACATAAAAATACATAAGAAACAAGTAATTTCAATTTGTTCAGAAGCGGGTACATTTTTCGGTGCTACCTCACTACCTATTAGTATCAAAAATGAATAGACTAAGATATACTTACTTTGTTCATGGGTATTTAGAACATAATAAGATGATTTATTGAATGCTTTTGAGTCAGGTATTGTTAATAAAATTGTTGATAAAAGGTGCTTTAACCTCTTGTTGAAGTGTCACTTGTATGGCTCTATTTTTTCATGTTACAGTGTAATATTTAAAATTACAAAAACAATATTCTAATATTCTGATATATCTAGGGAAATAAATGGGGACTCCAAATGGGGTTGTGGGTTCGATCCCCACTGGGGTGGACTGACTTTTTCACATCAGCCCTTAGCACAGGATTTCACTCTGTGTTTTCATTAATTTTCATGTAATTTTATATCATAATATGAGGTATTTTCTACTTAGGCATTGTAGTTCTTATCTTTGATTACACTATATGTATTACATGTGAGTTAATAAACCAAACCATCACATGACGCTAGAGCTTCTTTGTGACCTTGTTATCACACCCTACAAAGTGCTATTATTTTGATCCTCTTGAGCTGATAATGGACATGCTTGTATATGTCTGTTAGAAAAACCAGCCATGACACAAGTCATCAAAATCCCAGGAAAACCACAACCTGCTCAATTTTATTTTTACATATGTAAGAGAAGAACAGTGAAAGATCTGATGAGGTTTTGGGCATGCTTGATGGCCATTTTGAATTTTTGATGAAAAGTGTGATATTTATCACCGCATGTCTAGATTTTTACTATTGTGGTAATATTTCCCTGGTTTTTAGGGTGGTTTTGTTTATTTCAAAACCTGTTCTTTTACATTGCTATCTTTATATTCAGGAAGTGCAAGAAATCAACAATCCTGCCTCTACTCCTGGTTGGTTCTGAAGGCTCTGGCAAAAATCTTGTTTGCAAAACTGTGGCTGCTAAACTAAACTTGCACTTTTATACAGTAAGTTGTTATTGTTTTGTTTTCAATTCATATTCCTGTTTTCACGTTATCTGAAAATGTAGAAATGTAGTATTACCACTGTTTCCAATATTGCATTATGGGATATCAGAATAAATTATACAAATATATATAGGTTATTTACTTGGAGGGATTGAATATGGGTTTTATTCCGAGGGACAATATGATATTGACCGAAGGGTAATATGATATTGACCGAGGGAGCGCAGCGACCGAGTGTTAATATGATATTTCCCAAGGTCAATATCATATTTTCCGAGGAATAAAACCCATATGCAATCCCGACCAGAAATAACCTATTTATTCCATAATACATTCCTCTATATAAAATGTTACATTTGGATAATGCTTTTATGAATTAGCCAAGGTTAAAAATAACCGGGAAACCAAAATTAAATTAATACGTTCCAATACGATTTTTCCCGGGGACAATACGATTTTTTCATGTAATACGCTCCAATACGATTTTTTTCCCGGGGACAATACGATTTTTTCATGTAATACGATTCAATACGATTTTTATTCCTTCATATTTCCCTGGGAAAACAGTAGTATTATGGAATAATATAAGTTATTTTTCAACTATATTGTCCTTGTAATGATGGTACATATATTATGGAGCAACAGGAACAACATTTATATATAAACACATACAATCAATGTTAATAAATAGACAAATGGAAAAGTGTGGGACTAATCATGTGTATTATGTGAATTCTCCTTATACCTATCAGTTGACCTATCACCTGACAGTTGAAGGTCAAGGACAGTTGAAGGTCAAGTATTTCTATTGAGCCTTCATTCTCGTGACGCGATAGTACCTATGGTAGCAACTTGAGAATCATGTTTTAGATCTCTTTAGAAAATAGATAATAGAAATTATCAATTGTCAATGCTTCAAATGAGCCACAATTGTTAAAGCTGAGAAAAGATATTGAGAATTATTATATTATTTGCAAGTGGCTGTCACAAGAAACCTTATGACAAAATTTGAGCTTTAAGCAAAAAGTGGTTATATTTGATAGGAAATGGAGTAAAATTTGGAGTTCTTCCACATTTTTTAGATTGACCTCTGAAGTAAATGTTTATTGGAAAAAATCGTATGTCTGAAAACATTCAAATTATTTTTCTCATGAATAGGTCCTGGTCCATGTATTGTGTGAGATGAAAGACATGTAAATTGAGAGAAACCCCAGTCTTGTTTTAGGTTTAATTTTATGTCTCATAAGATTTGACCATCTTTATTCTGGAACGTAATCAAGTTTAGCTTCTTTCATTGGCATTCACACAAGTCATTTCTCCTCACCTTCATGTAATAATCATCCATGTCTTTTTAAGGTGAACTGTTACGATCTGTGTGGGGATACTCCAGCCTCCACTGAGGCTCGTATTAAGGGCATGTTTGCGCAAGTGGGCATGTTCTCACCCTGTGTTGTAGTGCTCAGAAACATACATGCCCTCGGGAAAGACAGGGATGGTGTTGGTGAAGGTAATACATTGTACAGTCCCCTTTCAAGAATTTTGATTTCATGTTTCAGATTTTGTGGATGAAAAAAAGCTTTGCAATTAGAATAACTATTATTGCATATTCTGGTTTCTTAAATAGCTGTCATTTATATCATTTTAAACTTCCAAATAATTTTACATGAAATTTTAGACCTGGCTGGTAATGTCTAAAACTTGACCACATAAATTGACTCTCTGTATTCTGTGAAACATTGTTATATACATGTACATGAATGTTCTTGCGACAAATAGTGCCCTAGATATTGACAATATATCGTTCCAGATTCCAGAGTCGCAAGCTACTTTCATGAGATCATGAAAACTCCAATATCCTCTGTATCCATGGCAACTCCCCAGAATTATCCTGTGGTTGTCATAGCAACAACATCCAAGCCTAAATTGTTGACCGCTGACATGCAGGAGGGATTCCTACACGAGGTCACCATAGCAACACCGAGTGAACGTGATAGGCAGGAAATCATGGGTGTGCTAATAGATGGTGAACCTTGTGCATCCGATGTCTCCAAGCATCACATTGCACAGCGTACAGCCGTAAGAATCTTTTATTCTATTTTGTGTTCACTCAATTTTGTTCATAGTAGACTAGGACATATATAAGTGTTAATTTAACTATTATATCAATTTAAGTTACTCAATGAAAATTTTTAGTTTTTTGCTATGAGATTCATGTGCTGGATTGCTAGTTGATGGTAATAAATGAATGTTCACAAATTAAAACACATATACCTTCAATTTATATTGGTGTCTCAAAACATGTACATGCATTGAGCTTCCATATGCACTCAACGTATCTTACTCCAACCCCCTCACACCATAAACCCCCTTAGAAGTCTATATACTATTCACATGATCTTACATGCAGGGTATGGTATTAGGAGACCTGTTGGCACTCATCTCACACAAACCCCCTGAGAATTTTATATATATTCACATGATCTTATATGCAGGGTATGGTATTAGGAGACCTGTTGGCACTCATCTCACACAAACCCCATGAGAATTTTATATATATTCACATGATCTTATATGCAGGGTATGGTATTAGGAGACCTGTTGGCACTCATCTCACACAAACCCCCTGAGAATTTTATATATATTCACATGATCTTATATGCAGGGTATGGTATTAGGAGACCTGTTGGCACTCATCTCACACAAACCCCATGAGAATTTTATATATATTCACATGATCTTATATGCAGGGTATGGTATTAGGGGACCTGTTGGCACTCATCTCACCACAAACCCCCTGAGAATTTTATATATATTCACATGATCTTACATGCAGGGTATGGTATTAGGAGACCTGTTGGCACTCATCTCACACAAACCCCATGAGAATTTTATATATATTCACATGATCTTATATGCAGGGTATGGTATTAGGGGACCTGTTGGCACTCATCTCACACAAACCCCATGAGAATTTTATATATATTCACATGATCTTACATGCAGGGTATGGTATTAGGAGACCTATTGGCACTCATCTCACCATAAACCCCCTGAGAATTTTATATATATTCACATGATCTTACATGCAGGGTATGGTATTAGGAGACCTATTGGCACTCATCTCACCATAAACCCCCTGAGAATTTTATATATATTCACATGATCTTACATGCAGGGTATGGTATTAGGAGACCTGTTGGCACTCCTCTCACCATAAACCCCCTTAGAGGTTTATATATATTTACATGATCTTACATGCAGGGTATGGTATTAGGAGACCTGTTGGCACTCCTCTCACCATAAACCCCCTTATAAGTTTATATATATTCACATGATCTTATATGCAGGGTATGGTATTAGGAGACCTATTGGCACTCATCTCACACACAAAGCGTGCAGTCTACAACAGATTAAAAAATACATGGTAAATATTAAGTAGAATCAAGAATGTTAGTTTCATTAGTATTAAGGACCACCAACTAAAATTAAAAAATGCTGAAATTGACCCTAGAAATGGAGAATAGGAACAAATTTTGAACTTTTTAAAAATATAATGAAATAGGCTTTAAAATAGTTTATGATCTATTCTTAGTTTACAAAAAGAAGAATCTGAAAATCATGAAAAACCGCAAAACCTTTTTTGGTTATACCCTTTGGGAGTCCAAACTAAATATTGCAATATTTTTATGGATTAAATATTTTCCATTTATACATTATATATACATATTTCCAGTAGAATACTTACAATGTTTTTTATATGCAATATTTATGTCCAGGTTATGTCAAAATTCACTTATTTTCATAACAACAATTTTGTTACAGTGGAGTGTCGGGTGTCCTGTCACTAGAGGAAGAAAAATCCCTGGTAGAAGCAGGAATATTAGTCCTGCAGGAGGACTTTAACACAGCCCTTGATCAACTACAAGCAGCTCATTCTGATGCAATTGGTGCACCCAAGGTATATAGTCTCCAATGAACTCTGACCTTGCATGAGACTCATCTCTTAAAACTCTTGACTTCTCAAAACTCCAACTGCAACCTCTTGTAACTCCAACCTTTTGTAGCTCCAACCTTTTGTAACTCCAACCGTTTGTAACTCCAACCGTTTGTAACTCCAAACTCTTGTAACTCCAACCGTTTGTAACTCCAACCTCTTGTAACTCCAACCTCTTGTAACTCCAATTTCTTGTAACTCCAACCTTTTGTAACTCCAACCTCTTGTAACTCCAACCTCTTGTAACTCCAATCTCTTGTAACTCCAACCTCTTGTAACTTCAATCTCTTGTAACTCCAACCTTTTGTAACTCCAACCTCTTGTAACTCCAACCTCTTGTAACTCCAATCTCTTGTAACTCCAACCTTTTGTAACTCTGACTTCTTGTAACTTTTACCTTTCTTACTCTGACCTCCTGAACACTGACCTCTCTGAACTCTGTTCTCTCGCTGTTATGACCTCTTGTATTTCTGCTATCATAATTCTGACCTCTCATAACACTGACCTTTAAAAACTCTGACCTCTTGGAACTCTGACCTTTGGCTACTTTGACCACTTATAGATCTGACCTCTCAAAACCTTGGCCTCTCATAATACTGACCTCTCATGGGGATCCATTACAGCTTTCTAATTGGTTGATACTTTGACTCTACAGTTCTTTTATTCTTTTATGCACCATACCTCATGTGAAAATGTGAATATTTTTAGGAAGCTACCATAATATATATAAAATAGATTACTTTTTCTGTTGTGATTCTTTTGTGTTTACTATGACTCCACTTGGTGCAAGATCTCACACACTATAGTATTGCTACTATGTTGACACGACCTGAAATGGTGACTTATTATTATAGTCTCTAACTTTATTGTGGACAGTGTTGATATGTCGTGGCATTTTGCTTGTCAATTCCCTGTTTTATTTTAATTTTGTGCAGTCATTTTTGGAGGTAACAAATCTCATGGATGGTTTTTCAGATTCCCAATGTCACATGGGAAGATGTAGGGGGTCTGGCTGATGTAAAACAAGAGATCTTAGACACGATACAATTACCACTGAACCATCCAGAGCTTTTAGCAGCTGGATTGCGTAGATCAGGTATGTTCATTAGGCCACTTCAGATGTGATTTAATTTTGAAAAAAGACAAAAAACAGTCGTTTTTATGTGTATTTTACGTATTATTGCACTTTTAAAGTGCTTTAATGTCATCATCTTGTGCTGGTGGCTCTGCATGCATCTGTATGTGTGGGCTCCACATAAATCTTGCCCTCAAAATTCCAGGAAAATCACTTATATGTTCAACTTGACATTTTTACAAATGCAAGAGTAGACCAAGATCTGGTTTTGGGCATAATTAGTTAATAGATATTAAATACATTTCTTCAAATCTCCTTTCTGCCAATGGTAATCGTTTTTCACTTTTGCCAATGGAAATGAGGTTGGGCAATAGACTGAATGCCTATATGTTAAATGGTGGCAATTATGTTTTCAACCTTAGTGATAAATCCTGCCATTAAATCCTTTCTTTTTAATTGTTATGTGTAGCCTGCAGTAATTTTATAATGCTCTACTAGCATATGCCAATCATACCTGTACACTAAAACCTGTCTACAATGAACACTTTCTTCCCCCCTTTGGTGTTCACTAAATATTTTCTGAGATATGTTTTACTGTATATTTGCATTGTATGAAAAGCCATGGGCCGGGTTAAACAGATTAATAATATAATTAATTTATAGCCATATGGAAAATATATATGAGATATGTGTGATATAAAATAAGAGAAAAATATTGTTCACTAAATGTTGTCTGACATATGTTTTACTGTATATGTACACTGTATGAAAAGGCCAAGAGCCTGATTAAACAATTTAAGATGATAAATTCAAGACAAGCAGACAAATAAGCTGTAGCTTGATATACATGTTGAAAAAATATATGAGATATGTGTGATATAAATAAGAGAAAAGCATTGATACTTGAAAAAAACATTGATATTTCATGAAACACTTTTGTAACATATTCACATAATATTCACCTCTTACAATGATGAGATGTGTTGCAAAATATGTTGGAACCTTTCTAATTTGTTTGACTATAATTGCATCCATGTACTCATATGTGCAAAGGGTGGATATAAGATATACGCAAAAGGTGGATATAGCATACATGCAAAAGGTGGATTTTACATATATGCAAAAGGTGGATATAACATATATGCAAGATGGGATAGTCTTAAGGATCATTTTTTGGAGTCTGTCTCAGTAAAATTGAAGTCAATTTGAAATGTGTTTAGCTTGAAATGTGCAAAGTGAGTTATTTTATTTATAGTGGTGCATCCAAGAATAACTAACAAGATTACAAAGATTAAGCAATCATTTATAATCATTTATTCATTTATATATATGGACCTAAGATATTTTTTTACACATTGATGTTACTTCTCCCCCTGGCAAGGAGTCAATTTTGATACTTTATCAACTAAACAGGTCCTCTTTGCCTCAACAATTCTTTCCTTGAGTTCTCTGTCCATCATAACATTGTACCTCAACCTGCTGCCCCCCCCCCCATCCAAATGTTTTTTGTGCATCTCATATTTTAGATATTTTATCTCATCGCATTATATACAGTAAAACCTGCGAACAGGGAATGCTCTTGGGACTGGAGGAAAGTTTCCTTGTTCAGAGGTTTTCCCTATAGAGAGGGGGCGCCCTTTCAGCAAACTCAAACTTGCCGAATAAGCATATTTGTAATTATATGGACATTGATTGATTGAACCATTTTATATCATTCATAATCTAGAAGTTTGGATCAGTAAGAGATTTGGCTCAACATGACACATGTACTTATCTAGCTGTTATCTCCAGAAAACAACTGTTGAAAGGAAAAATTAGTGTCATGATAATAAGTAACAGATTTGTATTAGTTTTAAAATATATCAGGGTAATTAACAGTGGGTGGGATGCTACATCCTGTAAACAATTGGCTTATCTAAATCTCTATCATATTAATCCAAGCTTTTTAGAATCAGATATTGGCTTAAGACTTTCACACCTCTGAAAAATAATGGAATATACAGTGTCACCAATATTCCATATTCCTTGTTCACAGGTGAATTTTCATAATTTGCCCCAAAATATTGTTCCTTGTTCCCTGTTCAAAGGTTTTCCCTACAGAGAGGGTCCATTAACATGTAAGTCAATGGAAAAATATTCGGTTCTTTTGAAAAGCATTCCTTGTTCATAGGTTTTCCCTACAGAGAGGTATTCCATCGGACAGGTTTTACTGTAGTTGCAAATTCTAATATGTAGTATCTGTAGTTTGGTATATTGAAACCTTTTGCATATATGCATTATCTTTCCATATGACAAGAAGGCAGAGAATGAACCTGATGGACAAAAATGGATAAATACTCAGAACATGTTAAACTATGATGTATCCCCTTTTCGGGAACCGAGTACTGAGGACATATCCCTTGTGTTTTATAACAGAGTCCCAAAATGTGGATCATCGACTCTTGAGCACATTCTTTACTATGTTTCCAACGTAAATAACTTTAGATATTCAGAGTGTGGTGATTACAGACACTGGAGGTTGAACAATAATGATTACATAGCGTTTATCAGATCACTCACTGTGCTCAGTAGGCCATTTGTTATAGATAGACATTTATTTTATGTTAAATGTACAGATATAAAAAATGATGTGGCATCCACTGAAAGGGAAAGAAAACTTAAGGAGCCTATCTATATTAACATGGTACGTGATCCAGTGGAGCAAGCCATATCAAATTATTACTATGATCGCCTGGATGGTATGTCACGAAAAAACTTCTCCGAAAAAGAAAAAAAGAAAACAATTGAGGAATGCTTAGCAGGGGCATCATCGGGGCAGGATTTGGCAAGTTGCGGACTGAATATGAATCTCTATGCTCAGTGGTTTTGTGGACACTCCGATGACTGTCTATATAACATCACATACGCAGTTGAGACTGCCATCTATAATATTGACAGTGCATACACATTCATTGGCATAACTGAGCACTTTGAGCTTTCCCTAAAAGCCTTTGAGAAGTTGTTGCCAAGATATTTCAATGGCTCTGTTGCTAAGTATCAAACAAGGATACGAAAGAAAGTGACATCAAATAAAGTAGAACCATCTCCATACATTAAAGGCCTACTGAAACAATATTTGCATCCATCATACATTGTGTATAATCATATAAAGAAAAAGTTTGATGCAACTATTGCTAAGCTTGGAATACCTGTAGATGTGTGATGAAATGATGTACATTGACATCTTACAAGGAAGTGATATACATAATGTGATATGCATAGTGCATTGATATATGTTGTGATATGCATTGGCATCTTGGAATACAGGAACAATGTATGATTTTAAGAAGACATTTCATATAATGAAATATGTCAATGACATCTTGGAATATACTGACATCATGGAATTAAATCATATTGTAACAGTTTGGCCTATTTTTGTGGATATACGTGGTAGCGTGGCTAATAATAGGCCCACTGTTTAGTAAACGGTGTTTACTTGGTGAGTTACACGGCACACGTTAAATGTGCTATTGTCCCTAAAGAATTAAACAGACATATACAATTAAATATAAATATAAAACAGTATATTGTGGCGTTTATAAGCCCAAATAAAGATGTACATTAAATGTCAAGTATGAAGGTTAAAATGCTACGATATTATTATCTCTCTCAAAACTCACAACTCAAAAGTCCATATAAGCTAATATTTATCACTAATAAAGCAATATCTAGAGTCCGTATAAGCTAATAATAATCACTAAGAACACAATATCCAGAGTCCATATAAACTAAAGTATATGATCACTATATACCACTGTTGTATCTCCAATATTAAAAGTTCACATATGTTGTAATACTTGTACGTCTTGTATTGTACTTGTAACTTGAACCTGAAATAGTAATCTCCTGGATCCTCCACTATGTAGTGTAGTATGATTCAAATTTGATGATGTGAAATCATCTAAGTAAAAACAATTGCTCCGTAAACGTAAATCTCCTGGATCCCCTTCACTGTATTGTAGTATAATTCAGCTTTGATAATGTGAAATCATCAAGTCAACTATCGGCTCGGTAAATGGCTATCTCCTGGATCCTCCTCTCTGGGTTGTAGTATAATTCAACTTTGATTATGTAAAATAATCTAAGTTAAACTATCGGCTCTGTAAACGGCTATCTCCTGGATCCTCTTCACTGTGTTGTATTATAATTCAACTTTGATTATGTGAAATAATCTAAGTCAAACTATTGCTCCGTAAACGTAAATCTCCTGGATCCTCTTCTCTGGGTTGTAGTATAATTCAACTTTGATTATGTGAAATAATCCAAGTTAAACTATCAAGTCTGTAAATGGTTATCTCCTGGATCTTCCTCAATGTGTTGTAGTATAGTTCAACTTTGATTATGTGAAATAATCCAAGTCAAACTATATCAATTGTGTAAACTCCTAAGTCCTGGATCCTCCTCAATGTGTTGTAGTATAATTCAACTTTGATTATGTGAAATAATCTAAGTCAAACTATCAACTCTGTAAATGGTTATCTCCTGGATCCTTCTCTCTGTGTTGTAGTATAGTTCAACTTTGATTATGTGAAATAATCCAAGTCAAACTATATCAAGTCTGTAAACGACTATCTCCTGGATACTCCTCAAAGTGTTGTAGTATAGTTCAACTTTGATTATGTGAAATAATCCAAGTCAAACTATCAGCTCTGTGAACGGCTATCACCAGGATCCTCCTCAATGTAGATGTATGTTCTAACTTCAATGACACAAGATCATCAAAGTCAAAATATCTCGCTGGATAATCTGCTAAGTCCTGGAACCTCTTCTCTGTAGATGTATATTCTAACTTCAATGACCCAAAATCATCAAAGTCAAAATATCTCGTTGAATAAACTGCTAAGTCCTGGAACCTCTTCTATGTAGATGTATATTCTAACTTCAATGACCAAAAATCATCAAAGTCAAAATATCTCGTTGAATAAACTGCTAAGTCCCAGAACCTCTTCTCTGTAGATGTATAAGTCAAACTATCACAATCTTCAAACTACCAAGTCCAGGGACGTCTAATTCACGGCATCAACTGCTAAGTCCATGTAGCCTACTTCCTTCACAATTAAATAACAAGGCTACCTACAAATATAGCATGCACACAACGACATATGCAAAAATATAACATGTGAAAATATTTGACCTCTAAAATGACTAAGTTCATTTAATGTTAAGTGATACTGATATTAAAATATTCTAAGTTCAATATTTCTCTTTCCAAAAATAACAAAGTCCAAAATAATGTTTCACCAAATATTGACTAAGTTAATTTCATGCTAAGTTATACTGATGTTGAAATATTCTAAGTTAAATATTTCTTTCTCCAAAAACAACAAGTCCAAAATAATGTTTCACCAAATATTGACTAAGTTCAATAATGTTGTAAATCGTCTAAGTTCCTTGATGATCAAAATAGCTTGTTTCTCAAACACAAGTTATGTCAGCATTTCCTCTCAGTCTATGAAGGCTGGACAATACGTCTAATGCTTTGCGCTGGGGATAGCTTCACCCTGTTGAAGTTTTGTCCAGTCTTGTAGATCTCCCTTACTTCCAGTGCGATAAATAAACTAAGTTCCTCTCACTTAGCTACATCAAAGTTTCCCAAAAATCCAAGTTCCAAAATAAACTAAGTTTCGCACACTTAGTTTCCTCAATCTGCCCTTGTATACTGCAAACGTATAGCTTGGCTCATCAGATGTATTCTACTAAGGTACAGCTTCTATCTTCATGTGTATACTGCAAACGTATAGCTTCAAGACCACAAAATCGACTAAGTTCTATAAAACTTAGAAGATTTTAGCTGTTTCCCGAAATTCCGCTCTGGAGGTCCTTCCTCGACAACATCTGGCATCGCACTGACGAGCCTTCAACAGCGAGATAGTTATATAGGCCCGATGACGTCATCGATTTTCGTACAAGATTTCAACTGTGAATTACAGCTTAATTACGCCATATTTCGCTTTAATATTGATCATACAGCAAGATTATAATATTGACTCAAGAAATATAACAGTAATTAATCACTATCTAGTCTAATTTTCCTTCGATTCAATCGAATCAAAAGCAGGAAGTAAAATAATAAAGCTGCCATGTTAGACTACCGATCAACTACAAATTAGACTGCTAGATAAGACTGCCCGATCAACATAAACAAAATCGTGATCAAATAAATAAAACATGTGAACTATTTCACCTCTGTAAGTACAACCTAAGTGCTGCAAATGATACTACATTTATAAATCTTAATAATCTCAATGGGAAATTACTTTCCAAGTGTAATAATTACCTAATGTACAAAAATACAGCACTTTATCAAAAATCAAAAATTTTACATTTAAAATTCCGTTACACTCCCCCCTACCAAGATATTGGTACGTCCTCGTACCAAACTAAGACATAAATGTACTTTCTAACTAACTACAGACTTACAAAATGTATAACTTACAAAAAATGTTTAACCTGTCAATGATGTTCAACCCCGGGGTTAACTAACTATCAATACAATGTTCAAGTTTCTAACTACTTGAATATCTAACTATCTAAAGCTATCTAGATATCTAACAAGTTAACACCTAACTATGTTTCACTTCACATATTTAAAATTATACTCATGTGAATTTACTCTCTCTTGTAGCGCTTCCTGGATGATTGAGACCTGGACTTCCATCGTCTATTATGGGTTCTGGATCTCCAATCATGATCCCGGCTAAACCTTCTGTGACGCGGGAAACTGTCTGGAAGGTCTGCTTCACGAGTACGGTTTGTCCTGTTAAGCTCATTTGATGCTCTGTGTCTCAATCGGGAATGTCTATCAGAAAAATGAGCTGATCGCTTTCTGTCATGTCGGTATTCTGATCTCCAATCATGTCTGTAATCAGGTGACTTTGAATACGGCCTCGACTGATGACTATCCCTGCTTGTTCCAGGTTGGTTGTACACATCATTATGTTCAGAAACCTCAGCCACAAAATCATTCAAGTGTCTGGGACGTTTGCGTTCCCTCCTGGAAAGTTTGTCATCCACTTCCTTCTTGGGTGATGTCTTGACAGTTTTCTTGTAGTCTGGAGTTTCATCTGGGAGAATAGGTTGAGAGTCTCTTTCAGGCTCTACTTCAGGTTTTTCTTCCTGATCCTTCCATTTCACAGTCTTAGAGATATGCTTAGTAGAACAGGGAACCTTGTCAGTAATTAACTCCTGCACGGGGTCATCTGTAAGAGGTTCCATAACTATCTCTGGCTGTGACTTTGATATACGCCAATCATCTGGCAACTCAGCTTCATATGGCTTGAGCATATTAAAGTGAATAACTCTTGGTTTCTTGCCTTTGATCTGTATTCTGTAGGTGACATCAGAGATCTTCTTGATGATTTGGAAAGGACCCTTCCATTTACTCTCCAATTTTGGCGACACTCCTTTCCTTTTGGTATTGTCCAAATACCAGACAGCATCTCCTTCACTGTAAGAATGTCCAGCCAACTTCCGATCATACGCCACCTTCTGTCTTTCTGCACTGAGTTTAAGTTTCGCTCGTGCACGATCATGGGCTTCACTAAGTTTCTCTCTTAAATCAGTGACATAGTCACTTTCCTCGGTATCCATTGGTGGGACTTCAATTAATGTCTCCAGAGGAAGTTTTAGCTCTCTACCGAGCATCAACATAGCTGGTGTCTCTCCTGTGGATTCATTTACTGCCGTTCTGTAGGCCATTAGTGCAAACGGAATTTGCAAATCCCAGTCTGTCTGGTGGGGTTCTGGCTGAAGGAGCTTAGCCAAAGAATCTAACAACGTCCGGTTGTAGCGATCTTATCATCCCATCCGACTGGGGATGGAAGGGTGTTGTCCTCGTCTTTTCTATACCCAGCAAGTTGCACATCTCTTGAAAGACTTTCGCTTCAAAGTTACGTCCCTGATCAGAATGTAGGGTTGCAGGCATTCCTAGTCGACATACAACTTCAGCCACTATCTTGTCAGCAACAGTACGGGCCTCTTGATTGGGTAAAGCAAAAGCCTCCATCCATTTGGAGAAATAGTCCCCACATACAAGTATAACTTTGTTTCCCCGTGGAGTTTCTGGGAAAGGCCCAAGGATATCTATGGCTATCCTTTCCATGGGATTACCAACTCCATGTGTCTTCATAGGGGCACGATATGGTTTCATGGGTTTCTTCCTTGCACCACAAATCTTGCAAGTTCGCACAACAGCTCGTACATCATTACGTTGTTCATGCCAATAGAACCGCTGTCGACTCCTCATGAATGTCTTCTTAATGCCAAAGTGTCCAGCAACTTTGTTACTGTGGCTCATCTCTAAAACTATTGGCCTAAGTACTGCTGGTGCCAATATCTGAAGTGATGCAGTATTTCCTTCATCATCTTCCCAACTTCTGCATAAAACTCCCTTATTTAGCACAATGCGATCCCACTGGTTCCAATAGTGCTTGATAGCCGCACTGTTATAGCTTATTTCATCCCAAGATGGTCTCGCTTCAGACTTAAGTTTTGCTTTCAGTATTGGCTCAATATCTGAATCGTCTGCTTGAGCCTCTGCTATCTTCTCTAAAGTCCACTCTGGATGTATAGCCACTGTTGCTATATCTTCTACACAATACATGGTAGTCTCCTCTGGTATTTCACAGTG